AGAATATCTTGACAGATTTATAATTATTTATCTAGATAATATATTAATCTTTTCAAAGACTGAGAAAGAATATGTAAGATATATAAGACTAGTTTTATATAAATTATATCTATATTAATTATAATATAAGCTGAAGAAGTATGAATTCTATATATAGAAAATAGAGTTTCTGGGATACTGGATATCTATAAAAAGAATCTATACTAAGTAAATAAAAGTATAAGTTATACAGGATTGGTCTTAATCTAGGAATCTGAAAGAATTATAGTAGTTTATTAAATTAGTTAACTATTATTAATAATTTATAAACAGATACACTATTTATATAATATTATTCTTTAAGCTTATAAAAAAGTTAAAGAAGTACCAGTAGAAAGAACCACAGTAAAATATGTTTAAAGATATTAAGCAGTAACTTACTATATCACTAGTACTTGTATAACATGATCTAGAGAAAAAAATAACCATTGAAATCAATGTATCAGACTATGCTGTTAATATGCGTATAATATAATCCAGAGAAGATAGAAAGCTGAGATTAATTATATTTTACTTAAGAAAGTTGGTCCAAGCGGAACTTAACTATGACATTTATAACAAGAAATTACTAGCTATAGTAATAGTGTTTAAGCAGTAGAGGGTCTATCTTAAAGAAGTAAAACACACTGTTATTATAAAGACAGATCATAAGAACTTAATCTACTTTATAATAATCAAAGAGTTGACTAGAAGGCAGGCATGATAGGCTGAGATTCTGTCATAATATAACTTCAGAATTATATATTATAAGAAAGTAGAGAATGGATATGTAGATATGCTGAGTCACAGGCCAGACTATAAATTAGATAAAAAAGCTATTAAACCGGCCATCCTGAAACAAAATACAGATAGATTGATTAGTTATAATAAGACTAATTTAGTAGTAATATTAAAAATAGGTAGTAATCTAATTAAGTGATTGACTGAAGATACAAAAAATAATAAAATACTTTAGAAAATAAGTAAGGACTTACTAGACAAGATTATTATTAATAAAGATAGACTAGTATACTTTTATAGATTAATCTTTGTACTAACTGTAATGAAGATAAAGATTATGGCTAGATATTATGATAGACTGCTTAAAGATTATCTAGAAGTGGAAAAGATAACTGAACTAATCATGAGGAATTATTACATTCCAAACCTCAGATAAAAAGTATATGATTATATTAGATAATACGAGACTTGTATTAGGGATAAGCCTGCAAGATATCAGCCCTATGGATAAATATAAGTATAGAAGGTGCTATAATAGTTATAAAAATGGATAATAATTGACTTTGTTAGTCTATTACTGGAATTGGAAGGATTTAACACTATTATAGTTATTACTAATCACCTTATTAAATATATCTATCTTGTATTAAATAAGATAATAATAACAGTAATACAGATGATAGAACTATTTCTAGAAAACATTATTATATATTATAAAATATTAAAGTATATTATATTAGATTAAGACAAGTTATTTATCTTGAAGTTCTGGAGATTACTTGCAAATCTTATAAAAATAGAAGAATAAATAATAATAACTTACTACCTACAGACAAATGGATAAATAGAAAGAGTTAATCAGGTAATTAAGTAATATCTGAGATATTATATAAACTATTAATAAAATAATTAAGTAAATCTATTACTAATAGCACAGTTCTTATATAATAATACTAGTTACTTAATTATTGGAATATTATTGTTTTATGCTAATTACAGATATTACCCGAGGTTTTTAAAGATATTATTAGGAAAGTAATAAGTTACTGATATAGTTAAGGATATTGTTATATTTATAGAAAATATATATTTACAGTTATCTTAAGACATTAAGTTCATGAACTTGTATAGTAAGATATACTATAATTATAAACATAGGAGGAAACCTGATCTTAAAAGGGGAGAAAAGATGTTTCTACTCTGCAGAAATATCAAGATAAAATAACTAAGTCAGAAGCTTGATTATTATAAGCTAGGACTATTTATTATTAAAAATAAGAAAGGACTGGTTAACTATAAGTTAAGGTTGCTAAAATCAATGAACAGAATTTATCCAGTATTTTATATCTTATTGTTGGAACCCGCACCAAAGAACGCTAGAATTATAGAAAATATAGAGATTGACGATGATATAGAATAAGAATATAAAGTTAAAAAGATCTTAGACTATAAGAAGATTAGCAGTAGATTATAGTATCTAGTAAAATAAGAGGAATATAATATCTCAGAAAACATGTGAGAACTTATTAAGAACTTAACAGGCTGTTATCAACTTGTAAAGTAGTATTATCAATAAACAGGTCAAAGTTTGTCCAGAAAGAAGGAAAACTAACTAACTAAGTTAGACTAGGAGTGTCTGATGCAGCGGTAAGTTAAGCAGTATTATATTTATTAATCAGATACTCTAGCTCTTGGAGATCCTCAGTGCTTGGAGGATCCTTATTATCTAGTTAATCTAACATATTTGAGTCATGATCTAATATCTGATTATTATAATCTTTTAAAAATTACTGATATTTTTGCAAGCGGATGATCTTTACCATTACTTGATTCATCTTTTCAGAATACTGTAAAAATTGCTGTTAGGCTGCTGCAAGATCAGCTGCAACTTTTTACTTATTTTGCTTGAGCTTATCCTATTCTTGATTATTATAGAACTGTTTCTTGCACTTATGACCGTGCAAGACATAAGCTAAATACTTCTTACTTTAAGCAGATGAACTTATAATACAGACCTTATCTTAAGAAAAGCAGAAGGCACAAGGAGTGTTAACAAGATGACCAGAATTTTCAATCCTATTAACCAAATGTTTATTATCAGCGTACTTGTCGCGTTTAGATATGATGACCTATCTTAAGAAAAAAAGAGAACTGAAGAACCTAGTCAGACACGCACACGGGGGCACTTACCTTTATGTTCTTGAGGATAAGAACCTTGAAGGGAGGAAGGTGGTATTACAGATCCCTGCTAGCTAAAGAGACTAGTAAGATGGTTACATCAGGCAGAAAGGCTGTACTTAGAAAGATGTAACTCTTATCAGGAAAGACCCGAACTGAGCTGCTACATGTCATGAGTCACGTGACTGCGGGTATATGAGAGGATATATGGTCAGATATATGGTATATGCCTGGGATATACAGGATGGTATACAGAATAGTATACAAGAGACGGATATATAAGAACACTTTTTCATATACTTAGCTAGTTCTGTTCTTCATGCTCAATCCATATTGTCTTTAAGTAACCTATGTTTTGGTAGAGCTTAATAACAACACTCGTCCGCACTTACTTACGGATAGCTGCGCGGCACTATCTGGCCTTACTTCTCTTCTTCTGTTCAGATCAAGTCACCTTTAGATAGTCAACAGCCTGACTACCTTTGATTCAGTTCACAAGGTACGTATCGGAACGGGAGCTAAGCTAACAGGAACAGGGAGAAGCGATCCTAGGGTTTGACAAAAATATGGAGATTAATGATAATACTGAATAAGAATACAAAGTTGAAAAGATCCTGGACCATAAAAAGATTAGTAGTAAGTTACATTACTTAGTAAAATAAGAAGAATATAATATCTCAGAAAACACGTGGGAATCTATCAAGAATTTGACAGGCTGCCACTAGCTTGTGGAGCAGTACCATCAACAGACAGGTTGAAGTTTGCCTAGAAAGAAGAAAAGCTAACCAAATGAGATAAATTAAGATCAAGCTCGGATATAGCAGCTAGTTCAACTTTACTACTCACGGCAGTACTAATCTCAGCCTCAGATACTGCAGCCTTTTAATCACGCAGCCTTTCTTATACTTTATACTCCTTTTGCTCTCACTTCTCAAGCTTCTCTAGCTCCTTAATTTTCTTCATATCACGAGCTATGAAGTCACTGGCTTGTTTTTATAATAATTATTGCTGCTTCCATAATTGAAGAAGCTTTGCTAGGATAATCTCTTCTTCTTCTTTAATAGAATTTTAAGTCTTAACTAAATGTTTCTACTCAGTGTCAGAGAAGAAAGGATCAGATATTTTATAATAAATACTATTTACTTTTATATATTTATTATAATAATCAGAGCTCTTAGATTTGATACATTTTTGTACAGGCAAATACAACACTCACAAGGAAAAACCATAAGAAAACCTTTGTTTTTGATCTGCCGGCAAAGACTCTTCTTACAAATAAAAGAACTGGATAATATGATTAAAGATCTGGATGAAAAAGAAATCAGGAATGTTACTAAATATTTATCTTAAAGGGGGGCACTGCAGATTTATGTTTCTTGGGAATAAGAAATCTTAAAGAAGGAAGAGTGGTGTTACAGACCCCTGCTAGCTGAATGACTAGTAAGACAGATTCATCAAGTAGAAAGCACTGATAAGGACAGTGCTCGGGTGAGACTGAACTGTTATTGGAAATTATCATCATAATGTCCGGGACAGTTACACATTATGTGATCATAATAAGCATGTTACTGACAAGTTATAACATGTTAATACTATAACAGGATATGGCAGTGACAAGAGATAACATACCAGTGGTATGACATATCATGACAACAACATATAAAGAATAGGATATATAAGGACACTCTTTCATGTAATTAGCTAGTTCTGTTTTTTATACTCAATCTTACTGTCTTTAAGTACCCATAAGTTTGGAAGCTTAGTAACAATACTTGTCTGTACTTACTTACGGATAGCTGCACGGCACTATACAGCCTTACTTCTCTTCTCTTGTTCATGACCAGTCATCCCTAGATAGTCCTCAGTCTGATACATCCTCGATTCAGTTCGAAGATACGTATACCAGTGAAGCTAAGCTAACAGGGACAGGGAAGCGATCCTAGGGTTTGACAACTAGCTACATAATTATTTAACATACTTTTTGTTAATATTATAACAAGATAAAACCTTGTAAAAGTAATATTAAAATATTACTAGTCATATTAAATATAACTATATAAAGTATGGAGCCTGTAAGCCTTGCTTGTGGCATAGATTTCAAAAATTTGATTCACGCGTGGGGAGTTGTTTTCCGTGCCATGTGATGCCCTGAGCCAGCGACTCCTAAGCCCGTGATATACCGGACCACCGCTGCACTCAAGACTCACCACTCACCACTCACCTACTATCTCTAGAAAGCACCTCCCCACTATCCTTGCAATCCCAATTTCCCATTCCTCAACACGCTTCTTCTCCCCCACCTTCATTGGGCCAACGCGGTCCCCGACGCCCATGCATCCGCCAACCTGACCATCAACGGCACGGCCTTTCACCTTCCCGCAGGCAGTACAGGGTACCATGATAAGAACTGGGGCGATGCCTCGGTCATTACGAGCCCGAAATACTGGGACTGGGGTCACGCAACTCTGGGACCTTTGTCCCTGGTCTGGTACGACCTTCTCGACTATGACGATAACTAGCATGCGTACGCCTACCTGGCCAAGGACGGACAGATTCTTCTCACCAGCTGCGCGGAATCGGCTGTCGAGGTGCGTCAAGTCGGAGCGAATGCGACATATCCACCCACCACGGGGATTGCGGCAGCGGATGGTCTAACGGTGCGGTACAACCTGGGAGGTAGAGCGGTGTTTGTCGCTAATCTCACGAAGGAGGTGGTGGTGGTGCATGATATGGGAGTGTATGCACGGGCGCTGGGGAGGGTGGTTGGAGAGATCGAGGGAATTGAGGGCGAGGTTTATGAGGGAAGAGGAGCGTATGAGGAGTTTGTCTATGGAATTCTGTATGGCAGCGCTTGAGACTTGAGGTGGCTTAGAAGTTCAAGTCGAGGTCTGTTTCAGAGGTACTTCCTGGATTATGTCAATGGCCGCCCTCATTGATATCTTGACTAGGCATCGGAGAGCAGCTGTGTCTTTCTAACAATGTCTCCCTGACATATCATATTTATCTGATTCTGTGCTATGTTAATATACAAATTATGTTGCTTTCTTGAACTGCGACTGCTTTGTATGTTTGAAAGTCGTAGAACACAAGCAAATGTCTTCATGATGGTGACCTTGTGCGATAGGCCGTGTCTAAATATAAACCACTTCTATCTACTGCTGATATCCGACTTCAACCAGTTCCGCCACTCCCGGTCATTGAGAATGGACCTGACACGGGCCTCGAGCCATTCAGTGTTCCCCCAGAATCCCCATGAAGCCTGGAACCGACACCAGTCCACCAGCGCCACCTCCCAGTGTCGCTTGAACATATCCCATCCGTACCGATCCGGCTCTTCCCTCTCCAGGAGACTTGTGCGGTACCACTCCAGCAGCCGCCTCTCGCCCTCCTGCATGGTCAATTGCTCAGGCAAAGGGTCCTCGTCATCCACCAGCATCTCAAGAGGAACCGAGCATGTAAACAGTTTCGCGAGATCGCAGACCCCCAAACCGAGCCCGACATACTGGAAGTCAAAGAATGCCACCTTGTTGCCCTGCGTGTTGGTGAAGAGGTTTTCCGACTTAACATCGCCATGGATATATGACTCCATCGGGCGTCCGCAAGGACTCAAGACCAGGGCCACCATCTCAGCCACCGACACCAAATCACCATCCAACACCCGGCAGAGTGCATCGGACCATTCCGAATCCACATCCTGCGCGAGAGAGGCATACTCCTTCCGTCGTGTCTCCAGGTACGTATACCCTCCGTTGAGCCACAATCCAGTCCCGCCGTCCTTCCCCAGTTCCCGTCTCTTCGATTCCTGCAGCGGCGGCAATACATACGCATCCAAAGTCTCAGGCAGTAGATTCCACGAGCAGCGGTGAAACCCAGCCAGCCAATCCAGGGCACCATGCACCTGCGTGGGAGTCAACGCGCTCCTCCTGCCGCCCGCCACCGGAAACCTCGGCCGCAGGTCAACCATGATGGTGGCCATCAGACCGCGAAAGTCCTCCTCGCTCTCCGCCATCCCACGCGTGGAAGCCAAACAGGCAGCCACAGCCACCTGATCCCCCAAGCGCGGAACCACCTCACTATAGAAGACCTGCTCCACTTCATAGCTGAACATCTTCCTTAAGTGGCCTTCGTCTTCCTCTCGACCCGTTGTCCCCCGAGGTGGGGCAATGAGCTTGAGGATCAGCGGGTAGATTGTCCCTACCCCTTGGGATTCCACTCCGCATAGCGTGCTGAGATGCGTTTCGGCTTCCGTTGTAGTAGCGCGGGCGGTGATGGCGCAGATGTGGCCATAGCCGGCCCAAAGTGTTTGGAGAATGGAACAAGAGATGAGCTCCAGGGAGTGTTGGGATAGCAGGATGCGGGCCACCCTGGAGGGGTCATGTTTGTTTGGGGAAGGGGCCATGGAGAAAGATGGTGGCGGGTGGATAAACTCCTGGTGGGTGTGTGCAACAGCAAGACAGCCCAGAGGGGGGGGATTTATGCTGGATTGGGAATGTGGGTTTCCCAGTGAGCATCACGTGGCTTGGTCATTGTGTGGTCACGTGGTGTCGGTATGCACATATCCACCTGGGGAATTATAGTGTGGCCTTATTGCAGTGTTGAGGGAACTATCTAGTCAATTAATCTAATCCTAAGTGATTATGGGTTCCTATAGATTGGATTGGTAGATTAAGACGGTTTATCTTCTGTTTCATTTGGAGAAAGCCTAAAAATGGGTGTGTCACGATTCAATATATATTATCCCTTCTCTCAGTAAAATAAGTTCGCGCCTGACTGTACAAAGTAAAGATCAACTAGAGGAAAATCTTAAAATATGCGTTATTACATGATCATATCCAGCATAGCAAAGACCGGAGGTGGAAGGCTAGACACCAAACGCCGCCGTCACCTCATCGGAGTTCCAAAAGGCACAGCGCTGCACCAATTTCTCATGATAGCCCCGGCCACCGGTAAAGCGGGAGTCGGGTCCGCCGAGGACGCGCAACTTGGGGGCCGCGGAGGTGCTGTTGCTAGAGGACCAGGCTTGGGACCAGCCACTGACGGTGCCGTTGGCATGCGACGGATCCCCAAAGGTGGCGAAGGACGCCCAGCTGGCCCCAATGGCGGACGCAAGTTGGCGATCGGACGCGGTGGACACCGGGGCCAGCAGGCCATCAGTGACCGTGTTGAAAATGTACGGGATGTCGCTGAAGTGCGGGACGCCGTAGTAGGTGAGGCCTTCCAGGGCAAAGACTTCGGCAAACGCGGTCTGGTTCAGGGAGTACAGGTAGTTCCGGACGTGGCCATGGGAGGCATATTGGGCGTTGGTCTCGACTGCCAGCAGACTCGGGCAGGTAAACCCGTGATCCCGCTCCATTTGACTGGCCCGGAAGTACTGCGCAGAGACCGGGGGGTCCACGGTGGTATCGTTGGAGAAATCCGAGAGCGGATAGAGCTGCAGGGCCTTGGCGATGCTGGCGTTGGAGAGGCGCGGATAGCTTTCCCGCAGATTCTCGGCGACGTCGGCGGAGGTTTTCAGGTCCGTGGAGGTGAAAAAGGCCCCATCATTCTCACACCAGCCGGAGATGAGATCGATATCGCGGGCAAAACGCCCGGATTTGAGCAATTGGGTGGGGCGATCGGGAATGAAGGAGGACGGCGAGACGGGCTTGAAGACATCCATGCCGCCCATGGAGTTGAGCGTCAACTCATAGGCGTAGGCGGTGTTCAGCAGGGTGAGCATGGGGAGGCGGCGCAGGCACTCCAGCTCCTCCTGGCTGGTGGACGCGGTGCAATTGATGCGGTCGATGAGGACGGCCGTGTGCTGGCCCGACTCATCAAACGCGGTGCCGGAATCGCCCGAGGCCGCCCCGGATTCCATGATGGCCCGGCGGAAGGGCACCTTGGCCACCTGCCCGCCGTACGCCGTCATCTGCAGGCCCACCCCCGTCGCGCCATCACTTTCCCCGAAGATGGTGACCTGGTCCGGATCCCCGCCAAAGGCCGCGATGTGGTCCTGAATCCACCAGAGAGCCAAGCGCTGGTCCAGCAGACCGGCGTTCAGCGAATCGGACTCGTTCAAGGCCGGTGATGAGGCAAATCCGAAGACGCCCACGCGGTAGTTCATGGCCACATAGATGACGGGGACATCCTTCTGCGCGGCCCCGGCCACCAACAGCTTCGGGTCGTAGGCGGAATCATAGATCTGGCCGATGGTGTCGCCGCCCCCGAAGATGAAGACCAGCACGGGCAGTTTGTCCGAGGCCGAGGTGTGGGCCGGCCGATCGACCCGCAGCGTCAGGCAGTCCTCGGAGATCTTGGTCACATTGTCGAAGAGCGGGAAATCGGGAAGGGGTTGCTTCTGCTGCGGACACGCCGCTCCAGACTGGGTGGCATTCACCACTGACCCGGACGGATAGGCATATGGTTTGGGGGGAGCGAAGCGGTTGTTGCCGCTGGTGTCTTCACCAAAGCGGATATTTAGAAACGACTCGGTTGAATTCACGGTGGTTCCCGTGAACCAGACATCGGAATCAGGGAGATGGACTGTGGGAGCGGTGTTGCTTGATCGCAGAGGGCTCGCCAGGCCCAAGGCGCAGAGCGTCCCGAGCAGGAGAGAAGACCGGGAGAAGATCATGGTGCAGACGGCTGCTGTGTGAGATGGTACTGCGTGGACATTTTGATGCAGCAGGAACACATCATTTTATATGCAGTGGAATGTCAACCTTGTGGCAGAAGGATGGAGCTGATGCCGTGGATGCCGTGGATGCCGTGGGTGCTGTCCAAGGCCTCCAGCGGTACACAGCCCCGGCGGATGCTGATTGGCCGGACATGTTACTTGCCCGATGAGGCAACGATCGCGAAGGCCTCAACATCAGCACTAGTCCATGACGAGTAATCAATGCCCATCAAATGCCCATCAATGACATTGTAAGATTATTGTTCCGCTCCGGACACGGCCGACAGCAGCACTGCCACGATTATCTCTACTGGGATCGACACGAAGCTCTGGAGAATTCTTCCGCTTGAACATTCCTCGCCAATGATACACCATCCAGAATTACAGATGTTTCCACAACCCACTCCAAGCTGGATGCTGGTCGAACCCGCATTATAGGTTCCCCATATGGTGCCTCACCGCCAATGCAAATTTTTCCAGTTTATCGGTGAACTCAGCCTTCGATCCCTCCAGCAGATCGGCATCCTGCACGACGTCAAGATTAGCCGGAGGAGGGAGCTTTGGGGACGGGAGTTTATGTTACCGGCAAGAAGCTTCCGGGTCAACGGACCCAATAATGCCATCGCAAGGGTACGTTGATTGACTGTGAGCGCTGCTTCTCGGTGTTCGGCGTTGGTGGTCAGATGATCGGGAAAAGGCCCCGGTTTGTGTAGGGTCGTTGGGGCTCGTAGGATCTGGTGAAGGTGGAGGGTCCCAGCTCGAACCTCAATCGTGGTGAGTTGGATATCGAACACCATCTGTCGGTAGCTCAGAAAAGCCGCTTTGAGCACGAGGGCCGCCCGGAGGAGCTTCTTTCGTCCACGCATGGCGGTGTATCGTGGTTTATGGCTCGGCCAGTGTTTCTTCTGACAGTCCCGCCCACAGTAATAGACCCCACCAGCATCGCCTGGCTGATACTCGGGAGCTTCTCGACATCCAGCACACTGCAGCGTTGCCTCTGCCCCGCAGTTGGCACACTCGGATACAGAGGTTGATGACATGGTGAGTGCCAGGGAGGTGTGACTAGAAGGAAGGAGGGGAAGACAGTCATGATGTCCTACTACTAGTGACTGGGGGTCACGTGAAAGGGCGGGGTGAAACCCTGCAACGGGTGGTCTTTCACTGCATCAGCGGGTCGCTTAGCACCGGAGCTGTTCTGGGATTTGGGTGAAGGTGTGTCGGGGACCATGGCTTAGGCATCGGGTGGGTGTAAGAATAGTTCCTATTCTGTGAGGGCACGCGAATACGCTTGATACTAGCCGGCTATGTTGAACCGGTCGATCTTTTCTGGTGGCAGAAGGACTCTACGATACGAGGTTGGAAGTACAGTTAATCACGACACATGTGAAGGCCTTCTAGAGTCAGATATATAGTGTTCTCTAATGTAGTATATTTGCATATTTGTGCCCCGGAGTATTTTCGATGACTGGCATCGACGAGACAGAGAACAACAGCTACTTATGTACAAAAGTGAGCACTGTTCTCAGAACCATACGCAGACACCCTCTGAGATCAGAGTGTGCGCTTATTTGCCCTGACCGGCGTTGTTCATGGTCCACTGGGCGATGTTGGTAGGGGGGTGAGCAGTGGCAATGGTCTTGCCAGAGAACCTGCTGATGATGCTGGTGTCGGATCCGGACATCGAGCCAGAGTTGCCGAAGGCGTTGAGCTGGCAGGAGCGGCCAAAGACGGACTTGCACTGAGCGTTGGTGGTGGAGTCGGGAGAGCTGAAGAGCTGGCCGCTCATGGGGGCCTCGACCACGGTGTCGACATCCTGGAAGACGTTACCCTCGGCGAGGACGTAGCCGCCAGTGCCAATCTCAAATGCGTGGCCCTCGATGTTGTGGAAGAGGTTGTTGACCTATATTAATGCATGCATGTTAGATAAGACAGGGTGAGCGCAGAGCACTGGATGACATACAGCGTGGAGAAGAGTGTTGGTCTGGACCTTGGGCATACGGCCACTGAGGTAGTAGAAGTAGTTGCCCTTCATGGTCACCATGTCGTTGTTACCATCAAGGTAGACACCCCAGTAGTGGTGGCCGTTGCAGGTAGCAGAGTAGTCAGAGCGACCATCGATGAGAGAGTAAGAGATGGTGACACGGTTATCAGCGTCAGTTCCGAGGACGATGTGCTGACGGCCAATGCGGGCAGTGGTGACGTGGTCGATCCAGACCAAGTCGGAGTCATCGACGGTGATGGCATCACCACCCCAGACGTACTTGGGGTTGATATCGGTGACGGCAATGTTCCTGGTTGTTGTGAGCAGGGACGATGGGTCAAGATGGGTGGAAGACACTCACTGGATGATGACGTTCTTGGCACCGCTCACGACGCGGAGACCCTTACCCTTGATGACACCCTTGGAGCCCACACCAACGATACTCTTGTTGGAGTTGACGGTGATGGGGAGGATACCGGCCTTGTCGCTAGATGGAGGTCAGCATGTCCAGTCCACAAGATATGAGGAGTCAATAAAACTTACTAGGTGACAGTCACCTTGGGAGCGCTGGCCTCGTAGTTGTCACACCAGTTGTGCAGGTTGATAGCCTGCTGGCATTGGGAAGCAGTTCCCCAGGGAGCGCAACCACTGGTGGTCTCGGTACCCTCGGTACCAGTGAAGTCGAAGCTGCATGGGTCTGTTAGAGTGCATCCCCCGACAAGTTGCATCAAGATGGTTGACATACGTTCTGTCCAGGATGATGACGCGGGCCTCGCTGTCACCCAGGTAGGAGACCAGCTCAGCGGTGGTGGTGGGGTAGACAGGAGAGGCGCTGCCTCCTCCCGTCACGCCGTGGGCGAAACCCTCGGCAGCGCCAACGACCCCGACGGCGCTGACGGTGCTCGCAAAGGCTGCGGCAGCAGCCGCAAGAAGTGACCCGTACTTCATGTTGTAGAAAGCAGAAACGAAGAGGTAAGAAAATTAAAGAATGAAGGGGTGGAAAGAATGACAGAGGTGAATTGTAAAGAATGAATGTGATAGTCTGATGACCAGACCAGAGGAGAGGGAAGTTTCGAGCTTATATAGAGAATCTGGACGGCATGGTGGAGCTGGCAGGGGGCAAGCTGCCCGGGGGTATACCATGTTCTGGAATGAATTAAAACATCGCGGACCACCCCTCGTCCGGCTTGGCAGTCAGCTTTTCATCGTTCCATCGGAGATTAACCCCTGTGGCAGTTGATGCTTGGCAGACGATGGATCTGTGTTAGGGTTCGGAATCCAACGTTCTTCGGTGGGGAAGCCGTATACTCTGTTGTTGGTTCAACGATGCTTCTTCCAGGTACCGTTGATGTACATCGTTGGGACTGGCCATGGTCCGGATAAGCCGGGCTTGGGATCCTTCCAGAAAGTGGTGAAGTTAAACGCTGTGCCTAAACTGCGTCGAGGAAAGAGTCCCCCGGCTCCGGTGAATTATCGGGTTGCTTGGCGTTGTGGACATGGAGCCTTGGTACATCCTTGGTACCTGTGAGTGTCTGGGAGGAACCTGATCCACTGCCGCCACCACAATCATGCAGGGTCTCACTCTGAAATTTAGGCTGGGATTCCCAAGAGCCTAGTCCGTTCTCGACTCGAACCAGGATGGAGCGATGCCCCAAGGGTTCAATATGATTCCCAGAGGCATCTTGATTGAGAGAATGATTGGGAGATATCTGCGGGCTCTGTATAGTTCCTCGAAAGAGCCTGACCTCGACTTGCTTCATGCGACAGAGTAGAATTAATTGCTCAATGGAGTTACTCAAATGGCCGAGCCAGGATGGCCGCTGGGCATGTCTCGTTATTTTGTCCACGGTGCAGCGCCGGTGCGGATTCCGAACAGCAGACCCTATAAAGTGGGGCAGGGTCTAATGAACTGGTCTATTTCGAGCGTGGGCCAGAGCAGGTCTGTCCACCACGTGCTGACAGGTACGGAGTAGATACCTGGTGGCCTATCGATCCGACAATTCCGAGGGCATACCCCTGGGTGGCCACGGAAGACATCCGGAAACATGCTAGCTACCTCCATCAGGAGACAAGGTTTGAAGTTTGAAGAATGATTATGATGTCAGGAGGAAGGGTGACCGTACTGTACTGTCCGCGTCCAGGTCACGTGGCTCCAGGCGGACAGAGTTTTCACGTTTCACACGCACGGCCCCCCGACCGGCTGCTGCCTTTCTGCCTGAGGCTGTCGCTGCCTAGTTGCCTTGCAGCCAGTCTGCCTCAATGATCAGGCTCATATATTATGCAACACATACGATACCACCCAGTTATCCTTTTTACAAGGACCTTGAGGACAGTTATTAAGCTCACTCCATTAGTTTACTAGTTACTCAAGATTGTGCTGGCTATCGACTCATCTCACCCAGGGCCAACCAACGAGCGCTGATCCGGCGCAGCTTCGTATCGGCCCGAGGAACCGAGAGGGAATACAACCCGTCGCGAGGTATTATCCACCTGCTATGGATCGGTCTTCAATAAATGTTCTGGTTGTGAGATGGAGATGGCCTTTGCCCGCGATGCGACCGCCTGCCAGGTCCCAGCCTCCCCTCTAGTAGTAGCCTGGGATCGGGATCGGGATCAGCCCGTCCACCTCGCGGACAATTCTATCGAGGGTCTCCAGCCTAGTTAATTCCTCCTGGATGATTTTGATCTGTTTAGTGCACATGGTTCTTCAGCGGAGCTGTTGCAGTTCGACCCCCCCCCCCCCCCCCGGCGGTTTGGATCTACTGGGCTCAATCAGCCTGCAAGAGTAGGCCAACATGGAGGATCATCTTACAGCGGCATTAATAACAGCAAAATCACCGGCGCATGCTCCAGCCAACATCCTGGAGGTTTCGTTGCCCGATACCGAAAGGGTTGACCCCGCCATCGATACGCTGGATCGTGGTTACCCTTCACGGAAGAGCAGCATCAAGCCCTACTTCATAGACTGTGTACGAAACCTGCCTGTATGTATGTATACTGGCTTCGTCTAGATGATGTCGAGTTCTGTGCCCTTCCACTCATGTCAGATTCACCTGTGCCTGACTAATCTACCCCTCACTGTCAGTCAGATAACGAGTGAGTACTACTAGTAGCCAGTTACTATATATCCGGGGTGGTCCCGATCGCAACCCCAACCCTTCCCACTCCAACTTGCTTGCCTCATTATTCTCACCATGTTCCAACTGCATCCCCTCTCAGCCGACGACCTGCCTGCCCTGGTGGCTCTGTGGTATGATAGCTTTAGCATCCCCATCAACCTCCGTCTCTTCCCCGACACCGCTGGCGTACGTGCCTGGCTAGAGGGCTATCACCGGGTCAGCCTCGACAGCCCCGATCAACACTATCTCAAAATCACGTTGGACAGCGCATCGTCGCCTCTGGTGGCCATTGTCAAGTGGGATTTCAACACCACCGCGCCGGGCCACCGCTTCCCGGCCTGGCATGACGAGTCCGACCGAGCCTTCTGCGACGCCTTCTTCGGGTCCATCGACAAAGCGCGACGGAAGATTATGGGCACGCGGCAGCACTACTGTCGGTCTTCCTATTGCTCCCATTGCCATGCACCTCTACCAAGACTAATGGACCACAGATCTCGACACTCTCCTCACCCACCCCGGCTACCAGCGGCAAGGGGCCGGCTCGATGCTGATCCGCTGGGGATGCGACCGGGCCGATCACGACGGGCTCCCCATCTGGGTGGATGCCAGCCCGGAGGGGGCCGTGCTATACCAGCGCTTTGGCTTTCGCGATGTCAGTGTGCCTGGGGTCACCCCCGAGGGGGCTGTCTCCATGCTCCGGGATCCGATCCCGGCGGATGCCTCGTAGCATTTCGTTGATAATATAAAGAGCTTGATGATTTTTCCTACTACTGCCTATCCTTCTCCACTGCCTTTTAGTGGCCGCATCTCAATGTACTCGGTTTGCAGACTCCACTCGCGCGTCTCGTGGATGACCAACCCATTGGCCCCCTCCCCTGGATTTGCCCTCCCCCTCGTTCCCTCCGGAGGCAACATAGTGATCTCGTCGTCGGCGCTGCGCAGATGCGACCGGGGCTGTGATGGGGTACCTCCGCTGGTGGCCGACCGCAGGTACGAGCCCTCCTTCTGCCCACCCTGGCCCCAGCCCGTGTTGAAGGCAATCACGAAAGGTTTGAGACAGGGCACCGTTGCGGCCATCAGGCTGCAATGGAGGAGCACCTCGGTCGCCACCACCACGTCCGATATGCCCAGCAGGAAGTGCTCGAAGCCGACTTGGTTGAGATAGCATTGACGCCAAAGGACCAGCACGATAATCCTAGCGGGTCAGCGTCACCCTCGGAGGTAAGAGATTGGCAAGATACGTACAGCAGGCGAGTCCCAAAGGCCCCGATGACGGTGGCCTTTTGGGCGCGGCGCATCTGCACCCCCCACACCAGTCGGATACTCAGGCCCACCAGCAGGGCTTCCGTAACCACATCAAAGGCCGTGATGGCGCGCCAGCCGACAACCTAAGACTCTTCGTGTTAACGGTTGACGGTGGAATGAGCGAACGGGGTCAGTCGACTGACAAAGGAACGGCACCCGGTGAGCTCCCATGAGTGGGCAGGCTCACATTGTAGCGCCACGGCCAGGATGGATGCAACGGCCCAGCTGGCAAGAATGGTCAGGCTGATGATGCACAGCCGGAGATAGACCCGTTCGCGCCCGAGTCGTCGCAGCAGCAGGCAGACGGACATCTTGGCCGCACAGTGGCTGGCGAGGAAGAGAATCTCGGCGGTATACAACGCCTGGCCCGTGACAGGCGGGTCAGTCCTCGGAGATCAGATGTTGATTTCATGGGTTTGGTTTACCTTGATGGCGTCCTCCCCGTCGCTAGGATCGGCCCGTCCCAGGCCATGCGACACGCTCTTCATGATGGCACACACGTTTCCAATGCCAATCGCCTGCCCGCTCAGTGCCCAGTCAGCGTGGAATGATTCTTAGGGCACATCGACTTACCCCTCCGATCCAAGCCACCGCGTCGTCCCACCCGGGGGGTCCGTTCATGGCGACCCGCATATAAACCCGAAACAAAGACACCAAGAGCATCCAGGACATGAACAGCGTCGCGGTGATCACAATCACACCGCTCCGGTCCGTCGGGGTGATCGCATACGGGGCCGCCATGCGTCGGGGAGAAGGATGGAAGATGACAGAGGCATCTCGGAAACTATGCGGATGTCGGGGGGTTCTTAATAGAGCACGACCGACCGGGGTGCAGGGAAGCGACTCCTAGGGAGAGCAGGCATCTTGGTGCCAAGGAGTAGTAGTCTTTTGAGGGGGACACTGCGGCTGAGGGTTCGCGTGAGCTACCTAGTCGTCGAGCGGAAACACCCCGGTCCGGTGTCCCGACCGGAAATGAAGACGACATGATATCTGCCTCCAGCAGGGGAGCTAGTCCTGGTGCTAGTTATCTTTGGCGTGACCGGGGGGTTGGTCTAGGCTTGGGCGATGCTGTGCCGCAATTTCAACCCGCGCGGGAAACCCTCGGATTCGCCCCGAGCCGGAGCAGAACCCCTGCACCAGTCCTTCCTCTCTGAGACTGGCGATGAAAACCATTTCTGCTCAATCTCCAGAGCTATTGAGTACAATGGAGATGGATCATACGATTCTTCTGAACTTATATGCCACTTCCGGTCCTTACTGGTGTAAAAGTCTACCCAAGGCAGATATGATTGTAGGTGATTTATATAACATTGGGTCGACTATTCTTGGGTCACGTCAAAGTATACAGTTGCTAATACCATCCTCATTGTAGCAAGAAAGGCCCAGACTCACAAGATGTCTCGATATCTGTCAGCTCGGGGTACCTTCCAAAAGTACGACTCCCAAGGTTCCCAGACTGCGTAGTATCTTAGCTTATGTGGCCACGGAACCAACCAGGCCCGCAGTCGGACGTTTTGATCCAATCCGATGATATTACCAAAGTTATCTAGGTGCATACAGCTAAAGGAGTCTAACAGGGATGACCGACACGATGTAACGGTGGGCTGCCGCTTGGCCGGGAATCCCTGCAGCTGCATCGACGGAGGGCTTTAGCTTCCTGCTAGTCACGGCCAGCGCAACCGCCAACTGCGTCTGTCCCACGTATTGATTAAGCTCCGATTTCCCCCCTTTAATCCTCCGGATTTCTGTCCGTGGTATCAAACAACCTCTGCTGCTGAACACAATGTGGCCCGAGAAAGCGATTCAGTCGGTCTACACCACCGCCCCGGACGAGGGTTCCATGCCCTCAACCAAGGGCGGCACCACCCAGGATGGCCACGACATGTGGCGGGTGGGCCGTGACCAGGAGTTGAATGTAGGTGGCAGACCCCCGCTGGTGTTACCATCATTGACCGGACCAGCGCAACTTTCGATTCCTCTCGGTGCTGGGCTTCAGTGCCGTGTTGATGTGCACCTGGGAGGCCGTCCTCTTGTACGTGGGATCGATCCGGACTGAAGACTGAAGGACAATGGCTAATGTCGGTCAGTGGTGCATCCTACGGTCTCACAGATGGAGGCAAAGGGGGTATGATCTACACCTACCTAGGGGTTCTGTGCGGATTTAGTTTTCCCATTCTGTCCATGGCCGAGATGGCCTCCATGTATGCCTCCCATGCCCGCCCTTTCGATTTGCCCGAATACATTCAATTCTACCATATGACTGACATTGAGTCATCCAGGGCTCCCACTTCCGGCGGGCAGTACCACTGGGTATCCGAGTTCGCTCCTCCCAGCTGCCAATGCTTGCTCAGCTACATCACCGGCTGGGTGTGCGTGCTGGGATGGCACACGGGCATTGCCGGTTGCTGCTACACCGTGGCCAACATGTTAGTCGGTCTCCTGGCCATCAACTACCCGGACTCCTACGTCTATCAACCGTGGCACGTTACCCTGCTGGTCATTGCGGTGGCGGTGGCAGCGCTCATCTTCAACACCTTGCTGGCCCAGAAGCTGGCCCTGATCGAAGGCATCATCTTGATCGTCCACTGCTTTGGCTTCTTTGGCATTCTCATTCCCCTGTGGGTGCTGTCTCCATCAGTAGCACCGTCGGAGGTCTTTGGATCCATTGTCGACCGCGGAGGATGGGGCAATAACGGTCTCTCGTGCTTGGTTGGTGTCGTGGGTCCCATCTATGCCCTGATCGGTGAGTCGCATGCAGCAGAATAGCAGACTTGAGACTGACTAGCCGTAGGTCCCGATTCAGCAGTACATATGTGTATGTCAACTTTACTGCCAAGTATAACAATACCCATCAATGCTAACCAAGTGCATAGCTGAGGAAATCCGGGACGCGTCGCGCGTGCTCCCCCTGGGCATGGTCTGGACTCTCCTCCTCAATGGCGCCACCGGCTTCGTGATGATTGTGACATTCGCCTTTTGCGTCGGCGACATTGACAAAGTCATGGCCTCGACCACCGGCTTCGCATTCATCCAGGTGTTTCTCAACTCGACCGGATCAGTGCCGGCCGCTACGGGAATGACAGTCGTGATCATGATCATGCAGTTCTGTGCCACCATCAGCAACGTCGCCACGACATCTCGACAGATCTACTCGTTTGCCCGCGACCAAGGCCTACCGTTCTCCAACTTTTTCGCTCAGGTGCTTCTCACACCCCATCCTATCCTCAATCCTGTCCTGGATGAAACTAACTGCAAAAGGTCAACACCACATTCACCGTCCCTCTCAACGCCCTCTGCATCAGCCTCGTCATCGTCTCCCTGCTCTCCCTCATCAACATCGGTTCCTCCGTCGCCTTCAACGCCATCATGTCCCTCGGCACCGCCGCCCTACTCTCCTCCTACCTCATCTCCATCAGCTGCGTCCGACTCCGTCGATGGCGCAAGCAACCGCTCCCCCCAGCACGCTGGAGCATGGGTCGGTTCACTCCGTTCGTGGATACAGTCTCGCTCCTGGTGTTGGCGATCGTCTTCGTCTTCACCTTCTTCCCGTTGACCAATGACACCGCCCCGTCGGAGTTCAACTGGGCGATTGTCATCTTCGGGGCGGTGGTGGTGTTTGCGTTGGTGTACTATGCGTTGCATGCACGGAAGGTGTATAAGGGGCCGGTGACGAGGGTGAGGGTGGCGCAGTAGTCCTTTTTCTATCTTTGTTAGCAATGTGTGGATTGTGGTGATGTTGCGAGGGAGGAAGGGGTGTATATATATTGGTAGTTCGTATAGAAAGGTTCGGACTTACGAAATGTACGTGAAGAATTACTAGAGCACAATATGACTCCCTACACATCATAGAATTCCCGGTTGTTAGTTCTTATCTCTTAGAGGATGGCTCTAACTCGGACTGAGTTAACAATCGAGTCTGGAAGACATATTGGCCCTTGCTTGATTTGCGGAGATTTCACGGCTGCTTCTTATCAGTCCTCCGTCGGCGAGCTACGGTTGTTCTGCAGATAGCATAAAGACCGCTCCGAATTAGCGTCCTCATTAATATACATTAATTAATCTATACTCCATTCATCCTATCCTGAGCTTATCAATGCTCACACAACCCAAAATCCCCTGTCTCAAACGCCGCGTTCTGCGCATCCTGTTTAGACCGCCGCTCGTCCATCAGCTCCAGTCGATATTCCTTGGCGTCCTCCAGGGTCATGCACGCCTCAGGAATATCCTGCGCCACCATGTTCTGCAACTCGGCGGGCAGTCGTGGGGACAAGGCTTCCTGGACCGCCTCCTGTCTCTCGCGCGCCCACTCCTCCTGCTGTGGGGGTACATTTGCCGTGGAGATGATGCGCCGGTTCGGGTCGATCAGAAACAGAGCCAGAATCTTGCGATGACCGGGCTGCGAGGGGTCCGCCAGCCCAAACGGCGCTACGCAGTGTTGCACCACATTAGGAAACGTGAGCAGCCGGCCTTCATTGCATCGGACACTACCCAGATCTTGGGTAATTTGGGTATCCCCAGAACCGGGCACATCGGGCCCGAATCCATAGACGGCCTGGAGAAACTCGTGCTGGTCTTGATCATAGTTAATATCAGACATATCTGTGGAGGCGCGCTGGCGGAAGCAGAGTTGGCTGTCGGTGATGTTGTGGCTATCGTAGTAGTAAATCGCAGTCGCGCAGATGCGCTCATTCTGATAACACCAGTGATTAGTATACTCCTGGCCGTCGTCGGGGAAGCACTCACCAACTGCCCTTCAATGTGCCACGATCCCCCTGCATATTCTGGACTCTTGGGGGTGAGTTCGATATTGGCCAATTTGACAATGACCTGGAGTCCCTGCTCTCGGAAGGTCTCGCGCAGATTGACCTGGCCCCGCCAGTTGGGTCGGGGAGGTGAGAACCTCGTGCTGGGCTCCGGAAGTTGGATGGGCGTTGATCGGCGCCACTCGTCGTGGCGCTCGCAGAACTCATCGCTCCACCTTTCCTCCTCGTCTTTGGGCTCCGGCTCTGGCTCCGGGTGGTCCAGATACACGACCTTTTCGTAGGGAATTCTCTCGTTCTGAAACCCACGGACTTCGGTCAGACTGGTGTCCCAGAGAGGGATGCTGGCGTCGATGATCTTCTCAACAACCTGGTACAGAGGCTGGTGCTTCGTCGGGGACAGATTGTTGATGTAGGAGGTGATGCGACATCCGCCTTCCTCTGGCAACTGCACATTACAGGGCAGCCATTGGAACTTCTGGCTGTAGGGGTGCATTCCCCGCATCTGCCATGGCATCCATCGTCCAGAATGACCGGCTCCCAGACCGGCTTCTTCCTCGGGGGGGACAGCCAAAATCACGCCCTCGCCAATGCTGCCCATGCAGTCGTCGACGGTGATGACGCGGTCTGGCAGAATGCGGGTGCGCCCATAGACGAGCGGAAACAGCGATGGGTGGACCAGATCAAGCACTTTCCCATCCGAGCCGGGGTGGTAATCCTTTTGCTCGTTTGGGATATCTTCCAACGGGGCCACGGCATGTCGCAAGGCCTGCTGCACCTCGGACGACACGGCGGTATCGGAACGAACGACTCCAATATCAAACACGGTCACTAAACCCTGGCGTTTCAGGGTGTCCGCTTTCCAATGCATTTCTTTGATGATCCATTCCATCATCCGGGGGCTGACGTTGCGACCAGATTCCATAATTTCTTTCTCCCATTTGGACGTGATGGCATCGTCCAACACCTGTCTGGGTTAATTCAGATAGGAAGGCCACAGGTGAGGTACAGACCTTGCGTTCCCAGTCGGGCTTTTCCGAGATGGCATTCATGATCTGAACCATGGTGAGTTCTCGCTGGGTGTTGATGTGACTACGGATGTCAGTATATCAACGCCGGGGGTCGGTGGAAAGGGGCTGGGCCACGCTTACCCCACGTAGCCGTCGTGAATATTGGCGTAGTCCAGGGCATTGGGGTAGAGGGTCATATCCCAGTTATGTTTACCCTGTATGTTGTGTCAGATCTTCGCTGTGCATGGAAAGAATGTGGCGTACTTTGGGCTTGTGGTTCAAGGGCAGATTAAACCCGGGGAGTTGGATCGGTGCGGTATGTGCGGAACCCATGGTGTCGACACGGTGATGGTTTGTATGTGTATGTCGATAAAGGATAGGTATATGTGCTTCTTATAGGGTTCTTTCCATGTTGGTCAGTAGGGCGATCACTGCCTTCTCTGGCAGGCAACCACCCTGAAGATTTAGGCAGGGCCAGGCAGGATTAGGCACGGGCTTGGCGGGCCCCTCTTGGCGAGTCTTTCGGGGAGTTTAAGGTTTGCTGGGCGTGCCTGCCAAGCCGTCGCCAATGTGCGGCACACGGTCGATCCGCACATTCTTGTGCTCGTCTTGAAACCATTCAAATTCGAGTCAGAAAGAGCGGGTTCGTCTACTGGTGAGCTGTATGGGTATTTATGTGCAAATGCTTGTTTGTCCCCCGACCGTGAAGGACTGAAATGCCGTGAATGATTGAAGGATTACAGGTCTTAGATATTCCAATGCTGACAGTTGAGGATGTCTATCGCATACTATAAAATGGGATACACCTGGAAAAGGGCACCTGCTAGTAGTCGACCATGCTAATTCCTGGGGCAGCTGATGTCGGGTTATATCCTCGGCACATAGTAACAAGGTCAGTACATCAGTATATTCTAGACAGCAATTACGAAGCCAATGGACGATCAAGAAGCAGCTACGATCTCGACTGGAATTACTGTGCCAACAGCATCTTCTCGCGGATTTCCTGTACGGAGGAAATCGAGAACAGCCTACAGCTTAGCCCATATCACGCGGATATCCATCAGTCTCGCAGAGGGTATCTAGAAGAACAAGAACCGGAATCGACGACTTGCCCCCGAGGTAGCTGTAGTGGGAGATGCCCGAGCAGTGGACACAATGGCCGACGTACTGGCCCAAGAAGCCGACTGACTGGCCGTGGTCGAGGCCACCGCCGGGGTGGGATACACCGTGAAGCTCGAGGCCGTGGTGGTTTCCGGACCGCCACCATTGCCAGGAGGGCCATTCCCACTGCCATATCCCGGGCCGTCGCCATCGCCATCGCCATCGCCATTATTGGGGCCACCACCGTTGCCATTCGGGGGTCCATCTCCGTTTCCGCCGTCATCCGGATCAGCTGTGATGCCCAGCTGATACACTGACCAGACACCTGTGCCACCACCTAAGTCATCCCACGGTCGCGTTAGCCAGTGCACCGAACCTGGGAAATGGTTTCACTTTCTGGACCCCACTTACAGGTATCAGCTGGGTAGCCCGGACACTGGGTGTTGCATTCTTTGCCCGACACGAAGGTGGAGGGGACCGGGGGCGAGACACCGCACCAGCAGTGCGAGTCCTGTAGACCGGCAAAGGGCGCCCCGACCTTGGCGCACACCTGACCGCACAATCCCACCGACTGGTATTGGTTGGAACCTTGATCCGTCAGGTTACCGGGCGAGGAGTGGCAGCCCATGTAGGTGTCCATTTGCGCCGTGGCGGAGAGCGAGAGGGCCAGCAGGGCGCCCAGCGAGAAGGCGGCCTTCATCGTGAGAGCGGTCGGTCGGATTCAATTTCAATGGGGGAAAGAGTGACTGGAGGGGCTGTTGTGAGTTGTGACAATGATAACGAGGGACTGGTGAGGAGAAAAGGTGGTCGAGGGAGGAGAGGCAACGGGGCTTCTTAAGTGAGGCGCGACGAACGCCGGACCCTGAAATCGATTGCAGACCCTGAACGAATCACCATCAGCACACACTAGCTCGAGCTAAGCAGCCTAGGGCCAACTCGCTAACCGGACAGGGGCCGAACCCCGAACCCAAGCGTATCAGAATGGGGGCCTGGATCGGAGATGACCCACGAGGCCCCGACAACTGATCCTTCGGGCGGGACCCTGATCCCTCACTGCCCGACTCTCGTTGAGTCGTTGGATTCGGGGAGAATAATAAGAGTGAATAATGCATTCTCCTCTGCTACACAGTAGCTATGCATTCTGTTCAATCATCCTGGACCCAGCTGAGTATGATGTCATGCGGTTGAGCTGTTGTCCATCCCCGGGCCCTAACCGTGGTTCGGGCCTGCCACTAGTGCCCTAGTCCCCTTCACAAGTTCACACCAGCTGTTCCATGCAAAAGTCGACGATGATCGCCCATCACATAAATCCCCTGCATAATCACTAATTCAATGAGGCTGAATATCGAGGCTTGGAGAGGGTGATATTATCCTGGTCCACTCTCAGCCCCTCCCGTTCAATAGGAGGAGATCCTCTACATGATACGGTGCTAGGCTGCTAGTATTATCCCCACAATCCTGTTTGCTGCACTCGAGCCAGTCATCATCCGGATTGAGCATCCTCTCAGCTCCATTACAACATGGCGTCAACTAGTCTCCCAACCGGTTGGTGAGCAGGTGGACTGCCGACACCTTCTACGGAGAGCCCGCTTTGCCCCCTATCGAAACCCTGTCGAAGGAATGAGAGGATCGTGTGGATGTCGTCAATATCTGAGAAATGCCTCTCGAGATAGAGGCAAATCGCATCGCCCTCCAGCCAGGCGCGTCGATTCATCCACCACACCCCCAGCTGGCGCGCCTTCCAATACCAACACCCGAGCAACAGGAGGGCTCGCGGATCTCGCTCTAAAAGAAGACGCTTGAACCGGGGGGTCATGGTCCGGAGACAGTTCACAAAGCTGAGGATGTTGGTGAACACTGGTCGGTCCATGTACAACGCTTGCGCCACATCAACAGCTACCTCACGGTAGGGCGAACAATCGACTCCGGGAGACGCCGTGCTCAACCCGAAGAGGCGTGTGAATGCCATGGGCACCTTGCTGAGGTCCAACGCCTCCGGTTCTCCAGGGAACAGCTTGCTCAGCTGATATGGGGCCAAGGCATCCGCGACTGGGTCCGATGAGGAGGACGGCATCACTCGCCAGATCTCTTCCTTCCCGCCATTGATTTGCAGCCAGGCTGGACCCACTGCGGCCGTACAGCGGAGAGGCCAAGCATCCTCTGGGGTACGAGCTTCGACGTGGCAGAAGACCAGGAACCATAGGATGGCAGCCGTGGTCAGCACTGCCCCCGTCTCCTTGGGCGGGAAGCCAAGCGACATCTTGCGATTAAACCCAGTCAGGGCCCGATCCCAGTGGTCGGACTCGGCCAGGTTCATGCTTGGACGTGAACCATCCAGCGCGTGACGGTCATGCATCAGGACCAATGTCAAAATCGCATGTCTCAGGTAGGGGGTCTAGCCCTGTCAGCTAGCAGACACAAGAAGGGAAACATGGACCGCACCGATCTCGCCAGCTGCATCACTTCGTTCTGGAGAACCTGTCTAGATCTGCCATGGGACACGGTAAGAGCGGTTCGCACCTGGAACCGGCTCAGCAGAAAGTCGTTCGTGTCCACCCAGTACGAGAGACCAAAGGGCTGGGCCATGGTGACCACGCGCTCCACCGAGGCCTGCAGAGGCCCCGTGGAGGCATAGGTGCATGAGACCCCATACGCCAGGCATCTCCGGCAGACGGGTTTGGTCTCGTCACACTGCCCGACTATCAGCATCGGATTTCGGAGAGGGCTATAGTCCCAGGGCCACTTACTTTGACGCTTCGGAGCTTGCAGTTGCCGCAACCCCGTCGGGATCTTCGGTGGGCTGGTCTCCGTGGCCGGTCGTGATGGTCCATGACGGTGGAAAACCTTCTAGGCGGTAGTTCTGATGACAATGAGATGGTCTGCACTTGACGAGATGGACAGACATGTCCCATCCTGACTAACAAAGTTGGCTGCCAGTTGTCAGCACTAGACCCTCATTCGGATGCAGTCGATCATGATTGGCCGCCACCATCCGGCCAGGATCTCCGCCCTAAACAGCTAAACTCCGCCGCGCACATCGGCTTCATCTCAGTCTCAGCATGCGATGGATGGTATAAATTCCCGGCGACATCTGGGTACATGGATGAGATCAATCCCAGTCACTCGGAACCATCCCAGCTCAACCCCTCTCAAGTGACAGTCACATAGCCTCCCTAACAATCATCATGCCCACCAACCAAGCCGCCTGGCTGATGGCCTCCCGAGCCCATCTACTACAGGTCCAGTCGGCGCCCTACACGCCTCCACGCGAGGGCGAGATCGTCATCCGCAACCACGCCGTGGCCATCAATCCCATCGATTGGGCCCTCCAGGGCCAAGGCACTTCCCTCATGTTTCGCTGGCTCACCTATCCTTGCATTCTGGGCACCGACATCGCTGGCGAGGTAGTCGAGGTAGGCCCCGGTGTCACCCAGTATCGAGTGGGCGATCGAGTGCTAGGCGACGCCAGTGGAAAGAATGAGAAGATCAATACCCCATCCCAGGGCGGGTTTCAGCTCTACGTGGTGCTGGCGACGCATATGGTCACCCGCAGTCCAGCGTCCCTGTCATATGAAAAGGCCGCCGTCTTGCCCTTGGGCATCGCCACTGCTGCCTGTGGCCTCTTTGAACCCAACCAACTCAACCTGTCCTATCCCTCTGCCAATCCAACCCCGACCGGCCAGACCGTCATCATCTGGGGCGGATCCACCAGCGTGGGCAGCAACGCCATCCAACTCGCAGTCGCGGCCGGGTACGAAGTGTTCACCACCGCGTCCCCCCACAACTTCAAGTACGTGACGATCCTGGGCGCAACCAAGGTATTCGACTACAAGAGCTCGACCATCGTGCCTGACATGATCGCCGCATGTCGGGGAAAGACCCTTGCCGGGGCGCTGGCGGCAGGCTCCAACGCCGCAGACAGTTGCATGGCCATCCTGGCACAGTGCAATGGGAATTGCTTCGTCTCCATGGCCAGCTACCCAGTGCCGTCGCACCTCCCAAGTACTTCACCACCCTGAGGACAATGATCTCCTTCTTCCGCGGAAGTCTCTCCTACTGGATCAAATCCCGCACTGCGGGCATCCAGTACAACTATATTTTTGCCTCCACGTTGTATGACAATGGGATTGGTGAAATGATCTTCGCCGACTTCCTCCCGACGGCGCTGGCGGAGGGTCGATATAAGGTGGTTCCCGAACAGGTCGTGCATGGAAAGGGGTTGGAGAGGATCCAAGGGGCCATAGACTATCATAAGCAGGGCTTGTCTGCGAAGAAGGTCGTCGTTTCGTTGTAACTGGGTATTTCAGCTGTGCAATCCACGAGCCATGAAGAGTTTAGTTAATGAGGAACTGATTGGTAGCAATCTCTATACATAGATAATTACTTCCATGATCCCAGCTTCCAGAAGCGTTGCTGAAATTGATCGGATATAATTCCCACAACCCCGCCCTCCTCGTCATTGTTATCAAGGTGATGGCTCAGGGAGATCACAGTGACATCATAGGAGAAAGGCTCCCAATAGAACGCCGTCGTAAGATGACTTTTAGCACCCACTCAAATCCACCATAATGTCCACTTCGGACCTCTCCTGGTCGGAGTGTCCGTCGGGTTTATACGCCTTACCCCCATTCTGCTATATCTGCGGCAGTCATTCCATCGGGATGCCAATGGACCATGCCCCCTTAAACGGTATGTCAAAGAATGTTGTACCCTATCAGACTTCATTTTATTTTGATCAACGACGAGCGCCTGCTAGCATGCAAACTACCAGCACTAATTGATCATAGGTTGGAATCACGAGGAACATGCGCTCTTCTACTCAGCCAGCGAAATGGAGAAGATATACTCTTTAAACTACGCAGGCTGGCGCACTCTCTACCGTATGAGTATGTTCCATACTACCCTACCCTGCTGAACCCCGACTCTAAGAATAATAAATCCCAGTCCTCTACGACCCCCAAGAGCAACTATACTGCCTCTCCGGAATAGCCCAAAACGCCCTCGCCTCCCCATTGCAGCGAATCGAATATATGGCCCCCTGGGACGAGGACGACTGGGTCCTCAATAACCGTCGAAAGGAAGGCTTTGCGAATCCCCGGGTCATTCTCCCCTCTGAGAACATCGAAGCCCAGACCTCACTAGCCGGGTATCTAATGCATGCACTATGCTGGAGACATCTCCTCCGCTTCATCAATGGACCCACTTCGGCGGATGATCTGCGGATTCTCTCCCAAACGCTTATCCAACACTGGGTGAAAGGGGGAGTGCATGAAAGCCTGAGTCTTCCGATAAGCCGTTGCAATGTTGAGATTCGGAAGTTGATGAGGACATGTGGTAGATTCCCCCTCTCCTATCACATAGATCTGATATACCAATAGACAAGTTCAATCCAGACCCTCTAGGTATAAACACCATCCGCAAACTAGTGACAGAGTGTAGAAAGCGAGCGGCCATGGGAGTACGTATAAAGAGAACTGCCCTGACAACACAGTGTCGACTGCATACCCTCCCAATGGAGTTACAGTACATGATTATGGATCTGCTTGATTGTCATGACGTCTGTGCGATGTTGAGAGGGATAAATTGGGATGTTGGGACTGGATACTGGAAACATAGACTCCATAGGCTCTCGTTCGATGAGATCAAGAGTATCCAGGACGAGGAGCTGGATTGGCGCTGGTTGTGTTTGAGGTTGGAACTGCTCGAATCTAGCCCCACGGGAGGGGAGCGAAGACGGTTTTTTGAAGTGTTGAGGGGAATAGGGGCTCAGTATGACGCAGCAAGGGAGGAACATTGAAGAGCTACTATGTAATAGTTTCATGCTGGTGACGTATAAAAATATTATCATCCTTGGGTGTCAACAAGACATCAGGATACACATTCTTTTCACCAAATATCTTGCCAGATCGACATGCACCTGCCAGGTGGACCTACCAGTTATATATATCATCCGGCAAAATGGCGGGCATTAGAATCGGTCCTGATCCACCCCCCGTTACATACGAAATCCAACGCCGTTGCTATATCTGTGGCCATACCATGAATGCCCTGATGGACGATTACATCCTAGCCCTCAAGGCATGCCTCGGCCCCATGAGATTCTACCCAGCCAAGGAACTGGAGAATATGTACCCCTTCTCGCACTCCGGGTGAAGAGGTACATGTTTTTGGGTATGGCCTCTTCTACTTACCCCCCAGTGATTCGAACAGATCAATTTAACATCGAGAACAGTCATGTATGACCCCGAGTCACGAGCTTACCAGCTCTCCGGGGTAGCCCAGGTAGCCCATCGGGAACTTCGACAAAGTGATGGATACATTGTTCCCCGGGATGAAACCGAGGGCATCCTCGCGATCTCTTACTGGGATGAAAATGACGGCGTCGTCACCATTTATCCTAGCGACGGACCCGAGGCACATCGACTGGTGAATCCCAAGGTCATTCTTGCTGCCAGCAACATTGGAGAAACACAGGAAGTTGATGGGATACATGGGTAGGAGATAACTCCATACCCAAGACAAGAGGCGCTTTGCGATGCAATCAGCATTGCCTTTTAGAAGGGGTTAATGTGATGAAACTAACTATAATCGAATAGACTTCGATCACGTCCACGAACTAATCGAAGAATGCCGAACCAAGGTTGAAACTCAGGGGCAAATGGAGGGATCCTCTCTCGCTGTGCGGTCCCGAATCATCACACTCCCGCTCGAGCTACAGTACATGATTATGGATCTGCTAGGATATAAGGATTTGTGTATGTTGCAGCAGGGTATTGGTTGGCCTTTGGACGCCAGATATTGGAAGCACCGAGCGAAAAATGGGCTGTTTTGGGAAGTGCGCGAGCTGTCCAGAAAAGATATAGACTATCGAAGATTGTGCTTGAAGCGAACAGAATCCCCGCCACTCGAATGAACGAGCAAAACATATCAAAGGTCTTAGGAAAGTCCGGGAGGAATTTGAGTATAGGAGGAAAAAGGAAATGGAAAGCCTCCGACACAATATAATTAATATTAATCTTGTAGGTTAGTGCTCATTATGTTGTGCTATTTGCTGATGATCACTGTGGTGGAGTGAAGTTTACTCGTAAATGTAGCACAGCGGCGTACCGGCCGTGGTGTCCAGCACATCGTAGATCTCGCGCGACACCGTCAGGTTGCCCATGGGTAGAATGTCATGGATGGTGGTGTTGGGCGACGGCATCAGGCCATCGATGAAGTCGGGGCCCTTGACGACATAGGTCCGGTTGGCCGGGTTGAGGTTCTGCCAGATCCAGAAGGTGCGGTCGATCATGGCATGGTGGAGGTAGAAGGCAGGGTCACCGGGAGAGGCGTACAGATCCTATAAGAAGTTGTATATCAGTATCTTTGCACCTTCTATGCCACTCGGGGTAAAAAGAAGGCAGACTTACACCACCCGGATCACCACCGATGGTAAAGTGACCGGCAGTGTGAACGCCCAGGAACCCTTCCTCGAAGAACCCTTGCATGGTCCACTCGAAGCAGGAGATAGTATCGCACTCCTCAATCAGGCTCATGACATCGCTGCTCTTAGTCCAGCCAAGGGCGGCATAGGGCGAGATGTCACGACGCAGACAACGGGGGTTGTAGTCCAATCCGGTACCGTTCTGGGCCACGAGTCCGGGGATCTGGAGGGTGGGATCGACGGGTCCCAGGTTGACGGTCATGCTGTTGGCCTCTGGTCAGTATTCGGGCACATGGTTCTGTGTCGAAGGGGAATCATACTTGGCAAAGGGACCGTTGCGGACACAGCCACCACCCACGCCCGGCGGGATGGTTGTGTAGGCCGTGGCTGGGGTGCCATTGTGAGCGACGTAGTCACCGTTTCCCGACATACTGTACTCGGTGCCATCGAAGACAGGCGAGTTGATGGGGTTGGCGGCGTACTTGTTCCACGCCCAGTACGGCTGGTAGCCATCGTAACCACACTCGGTGCGGAGGGCATTCTCATAAGCCCAGGTGAAGTAGCGGTGCCAGGTCAGGAAGTTGCCCTATGCTTTTAGGTCAGAGGAGAATATTCCAATTGTATGGCTCCAAAACATACCGTGCCGTGGATGTACAGCGTCTGGTTGATGTGGACGGCCACAAAGTCATCGTAACGGTTCCGGACTCCAGGGGCCCAGTTGGGGTCGGACCTGGGGGGCCTGGACATTAGGCAGAGCACGGCATCGGTGTATTTCTTGCGGTCGGCGGGTTCAAGGGAGCCCCTGTGGAAGAGGAAGAATTAGCATGACATTTCGCTCTTTGCAACGTCTTTTGAAGATCCGGAAAGACGTCTGTACCATTCCTTGCGGACGGCTGCATTGTTGATGTTGCAGCTGGAGTTGGAAGCCCCCTGAGCTGCCACATAGGCGAGCTTGGTTGCGAGGGCCTTGCTGGCCAGGGCATCGACAGGGTCAGCGGAGGCTGCCGACGCCGGAGCGACGGTCAGCGCTGCGATGGCAGCAGAAAGGATCGAGAAACGCATCGTGCTTGGCAGTGCAGTTCTCTGGACCGTGAGAGTGGGTGATGTCGGAGAAGTCCACTGGAAGGCGGTCCTTTGCGACCTCTATATACCCCTTGGCTCCCCACGTGCATCGCTGCAGGCCAATGCAACGGCAATAGGCTCATCCCGACGAAGACCCGTCTCGGCTACCGGCATGGTAGCCCTCAGACGATGCAGGCACACCATCCCTAGCCATGGTCAGAGTCTAGGCTGTTACTAGTGGTGTCTTGGTCATGGTAGGTGGAGATGGCCGGGCGATAATGTCAAGTCGGCCGTTGGACATAGACAACGGATATTATTTTTCTGGCCGGCGTTTTCGCTACCGGCCGCGGAGACCGTCCGGCGAGCGATAGATAAGTGGTGGTGGCGTGTAACTGGCCATCGCGCAGGAGGCTAAGAGTGGCTAAGAGTGACCGTCTCGGACCGGCGCGCCTCCAAGCGAGCCCAAGTGGGCCTCATCGACAGGGTTTGGGATCCATGGCTGCCAGAACCCTGGAGATTTCCCCAGGTCTGTCAGATTATCAATCGCAGTGCGGCAGTTGGGGCCGGAAGGAATTCAATCCTGGCATCTGACACCCGGCCTGATTTCTTTGGAAGCACGTCGGATTCCCAAGGAAACCAGGGCAGCGGAAAGCAAGCCCTCATCTCATCTCATGAGCCCGAGCCACTCGGCCACAGCCAAGGCCCCAGTCGGATCCGAACCAGCCGCCGGAAGAGGTCCGCGACACGCTAAGAGACCAATATAGATTATAAATGACTGGCATCTCCACCCCTTCTCGAGCCAATCTCCGGGCCTCCGACAGAAGCCCGTTTCCACCTGGCCGTCAGGCCGACCCCTCGAAAATGTTCGTCTTCTGGCCTGTGAGTCGGCCCCCCCCCCCCCCAGCGATCGTCGCAACAAGCTCATAACTTCATCGCTCCCACGCGTAGCTCCAGTTGTTCACTATCGTCTTTCTCCATTGGGCTGGGGATCGCGATGATCCTCAAGGAAGTTCCAATTTCAGGCCTGGATGAAGTCTGTCGTTCTCCTGCTGCGCTATTCGCTTTGCCGGAGATGTCCATCCCTCACTCGGTGCCGGGATTCCTCAACGATGGCACTAGATCCTGCAAGACCCCTGCTAGTCGCCACAGATTCTGAGAAGTGGCTCCATTCTGCTTTTGCCGAATCCCCCCTGGTGCGATTAATTTATTTTTCGTACACTTGGTCCTCGGCTTGTGCGATGACTGGTGGGATGCTGCGCTCTTTGACCGAAATGCCAGGGGTCACCATTCACAATAGGTCATAACCGGCCCAGAACTCAATCCCCCCCCTTCTAGGCTGATGCGCCCTGTTGCACAAAGCCAAGCCCGTATTCGCGTGCCCTCAATCCTCCACCAGGACGATGGGCCGGTTGAATCTAGAAAAGGCGGCATGACTGCGTCCCCGACCCGAGTTCATGGATGTCTAAACTCTCTGCGTGTCCTTCTCAATAGGACCAGCAGTTTGCGGCCAGTATGTTTCCCCTTTATCTCGGTGCCGGGGACCCACGGCCGTTGCTCTGGTCTCGAGATGGGTCGGATGGCTCCGACGCTGCGGGGATTCTCACGATAGTCGGCACATTGACCGGATTGTCGACCTTGGTGTTGTTCCTGCGTTGCTATGTGCGAGGTTTCCTTCTTCGACGCTTCAATGCAGAGGAGCACATCATTATTGCGGCATGGGTAGGTCGCTCCAGTCTCTCGTCTCAACGAAGGAGGGTCCTCTAACTCATCAGTGCTGATAGTTGTGCGCCATCGGTGTCCTGATCTGCTTCGTGCTGGAAGCCCAACATGGTTTGGGTCGCTATAGCAAGGATATCTCTGACGAGGATAATCAAATGTTGTCGAAACTGGTTTTTTGCCATTCGATCATCGTTATGGTCGGTCTCAGTTTGGTCAAGATCTCATTGGCTGTGTTTCTACGACGCTTTTCTCAAAGCCTCCTGAGCAAAGCGCTGGTTGCGTCGATGGGTAGATTCATCCACCGCGAAGGATTAACCCCAACATTGACCAGGAGTACACTGACGATTAGCAGTCTTTCTCGTTGCATTTACCATTGCCTGCGGCTTAACGCTGATCCTCCAGTGCATTCCCGTGGCAGCGGCGTGGGATACAAGCTTGCGGCCTCATGCTCGCTGCTTCAACAATGATACCTTTACCGCCATTGGTCTTTGGAATAGCAGTGAGATTGCCTTTGTCTCCCTGCATGAATTGAATGATATATCTGACCTCTGCGGCCATCTTATGACCTGCATAGTCACCAATCTCGTTACCGATGTCATCTTCGCCACCCTGCCCGTGCCCCTTTTCATTGGCATCCAGGTCAATTGGCGAACCAAAGTGTCGCTCATTGGAGTCTTGAGCCTGGGATACCTGTCAGTTGATGCACCATGGTCCACATGATTGCGACGACTAACCCTCCAACTAGAGCATGCGTCGCTAGTATTGTGAAGATCATTTCACAAGTCAAGGTGCTTAAAGAGCAAAATATGTACCGACACGACACATTCATGATCTGGAACTGGTTTGTGACGCCACACTGGATGGAAATCTGGAGCACATCGAGGCTAATCAGTAGTTATCCTCAGTGCCGAACTCAACGTCGCCATTCTCGCGGCCTGTCTCCCCAGCATCAAGCCTCTTTTGAAATCCATCCTCGATGGAACCCGCAGTTTGACCAGCGGGCGTCGCAACGCCACCTCCTACCACTACAACACGCACGGCTACTATGTCCAACACAGCACCGACATCGCCCTGAAGTCGGTGACCAGGACGCGACCGTCACCCTACGACATCACTCACGACGCATCAGTCGTAGCAAGTTCTGACAGCGATTCAGGAAGCCGGCGGGAAAGTGATGAGCAAAGGCTACATCGGACTGAGCCCGGCATTATGAAGACAACGGAGGTGGTGATTCACACTCATGGCGATTAATGTGTCACAAGTGGTCTTGTCTCTCTTAGTTTATTGCTCAGCTTTTATAATGCACCGGAGGATGTCTGCTTACTGCACTTTGCCAGTGCCCCATTCAAGAAGCGTACGCCAATCTTCCAGACCGCATACCCCTAACGTCCATTCAACCTCGGGCCACCGGGCGTGTTTTTCCTTCCCAAATTCGTAACCTGCGACTGGTGAAGTTTCAAGTCCAAAAATCCCCGTTGAGCCACCAATCTCCACAGCACTCGCTGGTCGTACGGACACCTCGTGCCCGAGGAAAACTGCTGTTGGGTTGGTGGAGACAAGGTCCATCGTCAATTTCCAGCACGATCAGCTGCGTGTGCGTGTATCTCTCGGCCAGGATGTTATTCGCATGCAGAGCAATATCCGCGGCCCGCGCGCCACCAATTGCAGGCGTTGCTACTCCTCCTCGCCGCGAAGGGATTGCGTATACCACTGCCCGAAGGTCGGATGGACACATTGGTTCGGCTCCACCAGACTCCCTCCCGATAATCCAGAACAGCAACTGGGCACTCAAGGAGTCGTCTGTCCACGTGCTGGTACGTGTCAATCACACAGCAATATCCCTCCACTCGGACAGTAGCTGCCATCCCTGGACGGCGTCCGATGGGAGCCCTGCAGCTCACATTGAGGATGCCTTCCCCGCAATGAAATAGACGGCTCCACTCCCTGCCATCAATGATGCATGACGTGGTCCGGGGCTTCGTGCAAGCTTCAATCAAGGGCATGGCAACCGATAAATAGATCGGGGGCGCAGCCCTACTAAGGATCATTTGCGACCACCTGACCACGCTTCTCCTTGTTCATCATGGCTCGTCTTCCACTCCTCTTCGCCTGCATTTCGCTGGCCCTGGCATCTCTCACGGTGGTCGATCCCAGCGACTATGCCGATCTGGCCGCAGATGCCTTTGACAACGCCTTGGAAGTGGACTACACCACCAACAACGGCGGCCCATCATATCTCCTCTACAATGTGACGGGCCCCCACTACTATGCCGACGAGGATGGAGAGGTCGCCCATCAGACCCTATCGGTGGATGCCAACGACACCAGCGTTTTGGTCGCGACGGATGGCGCTGTCGTTAATGTATCCTATACCGACATCATCAAGCAAGGCTACTCGACCTGGCTCAACCAGGCGAGCTTCTTTGGAGTCAACGCCGCCATCAATGTGGCCAACGCCTCCACGGCCTATATCGATCATAGCAACATCACCGTGCACAATGGCGCCGCCAACGTTTATTCCTATGGTACCGGGTCGACCGTCTATGTGAGCGACACGGACCTGTACAGTTCGGGCCCTGTGTCTCACGGCCTTTATGCAAGCGGGAAAGGAACCATCTATGGCTCCAACCTGCGACACTATTCCGGTGGCGAGCGCTGCTCTTCCTTCTCGGGGGACAATCCGGCTGGGTATATCTATGTCACCGATGCCGTCGCTCACACGGCCGGAATCGGCAGCGCCATCTTCTACACCCTGGGGGAGAGCTATGGCAGGGATGTCGTGGGAAAGGCCGACCAAGCGCCCAGTCTCTTCTCCGATGGCGCGCAGACCTCCGTCTTCAAGAATGTCGACTTCACGGCCGGTCTGCTGGCCGGGACAGTCATGTTCTCATCCTCAACGAGGTCCAGCGGTGCATCTCTGACATTCTCCAACTCCCGCCTGACCACGCTGGGCGACGACATGCCCGCCCTCTGGTTCGGGAATCTGATCGCATCGGCCACGCTCCATGCGACCGAGCTAAACACCACTTCGGGCATCCTGGTCATTGCCAATGCGTCCCAGATCACCCAATCCTTCGACCATTTTGTCGGCTGGGAAGAGAATGCGAGCATCCAGCCCGCACAAGTCACCGTGTCCGTGACGGAGTCCTCGCTCAAGGGAGACATCGTGGCCTACAACAGCAGCTCGATCTCCTGGAACTTGGCAGAGTATTCGAGCTGGACGGGAGCTGCATCATTTGGAAGAGGGACCGCATACTTGGGGGTCGCGCTTGATGCCACCTCCACCTGGACGCTCACGAGGAACGTCTATCTGCAAAACTTCACCAATGCCGACACCACGAACGGTAACATCCAGAGCCAGGGATACAACATCTACTACAACGCGTCCTCCTCTAGTAACGCATGGCTCAAGGCCACAAACACGTCGCTTCCGGGTGGGGGACGGTTGCAATCATACTAGTCGATCCATTTCTGCCTGACAGAGTGATGACCGACGCTCGGGGCTGGGCTGCGCGGGATTGGCATGGAAACTCCTTTTTCGTGACGAGCAGGTGTGACGAGAAATATGATTGGTGGCTCATTTAGGGAACATGTAACTAGTGCCAATGGCCGTGACTCAATCAAATCAACCACGTTTCATCGTCCAATAAAACTTTTGAGCATGCCTAGTGCGTAGTAAGGCATATGCAGATGTCCAATGCAGGGCTAGCGGTTGATGATGGCCTTGAAACCGGTTGTCTCCAACACAGTCCTACTCGCCCACTCGGGCATGTCCAGAGTTTCCCGTCACACTACAGTGACTAGAACAGCGGCCCTCGCTCATCACCATGAGACTATCACAGCCCTGGCTTGGTCTAGCGAGCAGTGGCGTTGGGTCCAGGCTCCCAAGCCGCGTCGACGCCCTTCACAAGCGGAGAGCCACGACGATGCATTACGCAAGCCCTGCGGGGTGTTAATCTAGGGTCCATTTGTTCATCCCGTAATCCCTGTGGTCGACGGCTCGTCTCACCCGACGGTACATCCGGTTGGTCGCTTGACTGTGATAAGGCAAGGTAGGGCCAGTTCAAGATCGACGCGGCCCTGAGCCCTCTTCCTGCGGCCGCCCGCCACTTCAAGGCTTCCTAATTGCCCCTCTTGCACGGAGTATGGGCGGTGGTCGTCGATTCAGGGCCGATCCCTCGTCTCTCCCCCGCATAGCTGGTCTCCCGAGATCCCCCCCACAACCCTATGGCAAACCCCGGATTTGGGCTCCACATCCCTTGATACACCACGTCGATCTAGCCCTCGGTCGCCTTCGTAGGGAAATAGCCAAGGCGAGGGGCCAAGAGACGACTTATAAAGCGCTTGGCCATCAGACTATCTCCTAGGTCAGCACACCCTTGGACGCGGCACGATCCAACAATAAGATGGCGGCAGGAATTCCAAGTCTCTCGGTTAAGACGGTGCAGAAAATTGAGGAAGAGGACCAGCACCCTCATCGTTCACTAGGTCACGTACGCTTGCGCCACCACGAGACCAACGAGGTTATTCTGGTCCCTACTCCCTCGGACGACCCAAACGATCCGCTGCGATGGTATGTGCTTGGTCTCTCACCAGAGTTCGCTGCTGACGCGCACCACTAGGTCTACCTCGTACAAGATTTACATCGCCATCCTCGTCTCTCTCGCCATGGTGATGTGTAACTTCATGTCAGCCGGCCCGACCGTCGCCATGGTGGACGTCGCTGCCGACTTCAACGCCAGCGTGTCTCGCGCAGCCTACTTCTTCAACAACAGCGCTCTGCTGCAAGGAGTCTCCAACTTGATCTGGGTCCCGCTCTTGAATAAGTATGGGCGCCGGCCCATCTATCTTTCGGCTTACCTGCTCTATTTCTTCATGATCCTGGGAGCCGGGTTGGCGAAGACCTATGCCGGCGAACTCACCACCCGCACGCTATTGGGAGTGGGTGCCGGCGCTGGTGAGTGTCTGGCACCGGTCACCATCGCGGATGTCTTCTATCTTCACCAGCGTGGATATGGCATGGCGTAGGTTCTCCTTGCCGACAGCGTGTCAGCGACCGCGCCCACTAACCTTCACCACCAGAATCTATAATTCGGCATTGAGTGCCGGCGTCTCCTTTGGGATTATTATATCCGGCCTGGTCACAATCAACCACTCCTGGCGCGCCATCTACTGGGTCGGCTGTGGGCTAGTGGGTGGCCTTCTCCTCATCGTCGTATTCTTCTTCCCCGAGACTGCCTTCGTAAGATCTACAAACCCGGACGATCTCCTGGGGGCCCAGAAGTATGCCGAGCATGTCGAGTCCCGGGGATCCGAGGTCCTCCAGCAGAAGCAGGGCTACCTGCAGAGTCTGCGTTTCTGGTCGGGACAGACATACACGGATGAATCGCTCTGGCGCATGTTCGTTCGTCCTTTCGGGCTCATTCTGCTTCCCCCCATCTTCTGGGCCACCATCGTCATGTCCGTGACCATCGGCTTCCTAGTGGCGGTCACCTCGAACTTTGCGAGTGCGTTCAGCGAGGTGTATGGATTTGCCGCCTGGCAGAGTGGCTTGTGTTTCATCGCCGGCATGCTGGGTTGCGTCCTGGGTACTTTTGCCGGGGGGCCATTTTCAGACTGGGTGGCCGATGTTCTCACCAAGCGCAACGGAGGCATTCGGGAGCCGGAGATGCGCCTGCCCGCCATTATTCCCAGTGTCATTGCGGCCCCGTTGGCTCTGCTGCTGTATGGGTTTGGTATCGGACGCGGCTGGCATTGGATTGTGCCCACGATCGGGCTGGGACTGTGTAAGTCGGTCCCGAGCGTGTGGGTTTTCTTGTGAGGAGGTCACTGACGATGCGTTTAGTGTCCTTTGCCATCAGCCAGGGAACCAACGTCTCCTTCGTTTATTGCGTCGACTCTTATCGTCCGGTGGCCGGTGAGGTTGCCGTCACCCAGCTGGCGTTCAAATGTAGGAACCAATCTCTCTGCCTTCTTTATGCGATTTGTCATCACTAACCAGCCGTCATAGCGTGCTTTGGGTTTCTTCTATCCTTCTACACCAACCCGTGGATCGCTGAATCGGGGTATGAGGCCGCCTTTGGCGCCATGGCCGGCATCTCGGGCGGTTGCCTGCTGTTTTTCTTCCCTTTATATTTGTGGGGAAGATCCATCCGGACGGCATCGATGAAGTGGCCATTTGTTCAGTTTGTCTTCTGGAAGGATGATCGGGAAGTTGGAGAGTAACCAGCGACATTGAATCTACCGAAACCATGGGTTCATTCTGTCGTCACACGTTGTCAACGATATCCGTTGCGCCTTATTCAGTTTATGCTGGCATCAAGTACGCGCTCAATCATAATGATCGGGTGTCTATATCCGTTCACCCCTGCATTGTAGGAGATCCATTCCTAAGCAGTGAACGGCAGACTAGGATGCCGGGGAAGTCGGTGCCGTTCCATAGTAGATTGTACCTCCACATGACGACTACACGCTCCCTGTCGAGAATTGGCACTCAGGGGCCTTCAAGCGTACGAGGATCTCCACCAGGACCACCCCGCCAATCCGACAAATGTCAGCCAGTGTCCAAAAGCCTTCATCTTCAGTGTATCACCCCCATGCCTCCACACGAGGAGGCCGTCGGCGAACGCGGTAAGGGCAAGGATGGCGGCGAAAGTGGTGAGGGCGGTGTCTTGGCCTTGGTACTGTAGGGCAATCAGCGCCAGACCATAGCTCGTCTCCCGAATGCCTTTCAGGTACATGAGGGGGGACACGGCGCCCGGTGGGGGAGAGTGGTTGGCGTGAGTGGGGACGGTGGCAGCGTGTTCGAAGGGCAGGCCAAAACGCGGGTATTCGGGGCCAGGGCGACCGATGGCGTTGGTGCCGAGGGCCAGGATCAAAGTGCCCAGAACATAGGCGGGGATGGGACTGAAAGTGGTCATATCTCGATCGAGTTGCTTCTCGGGGGTAGTATGATGGCTAGCTGAATGTGGCCCTGCGTCAGCATATTCCTCTAGTAGACAGATGGATGGATACTGGGGAGCTGCGCGACCCACTTCGCACAGTCGGGAACTCGGAATATATTCTGCGGTGGCACCAGAAATTGAAACGTTTCCAGAAGCAGCACTGGGAAATAAAAAAGTGAAGGTTGAGTAGCAAATGAAAGTCTGGCTGATGCCAGAGGGGGGGCGCTTTATAAGTGCCATAGTGCTGCTTGCTTCCAGTGGATGGATAGGATCGGGACGAAGATGCGAAGCTGACGGCGGAGTTGAACCAGCCGGAGTTGAACCAGGCAGACAGGTACTAAGTTACTAGTCCTCATGTGGAGTAGTGCTGACCATCCTAACACGATGACTGGCCGGTCGGACACCGGAACAATCTCCCCCGCTTAGCCGGTCCCGGTATTGTTCTGTGCTCTGGTTGGTGTCCCGGTGTATAGACGAGCTCACAAATGACAGCCATGTAGACGGTGGATACATGGTGTACACCGTACGTAAGGTAGAAAAACAACTGAGGGGATATGGCAGATCTCTATGTACTTGTTTCATGGTACTGTCTTTCAGCCACATAAGCTAGGCTTTGTCCTCCAGGCTCTTATCTCACAATTGAATATATATCAGGACGACATCTTCGTATCGCGGGCAGTGTTGGCGATCCGGGCGTCCATAACGCAATATAAGAGTAGATTCACGAAATGATGCGATACTATCTTATACTACGAACTGACTTGCCTCAAATTAATGGCTTAAGACTATGATGTGTTTTTTGCTGTTTGCTGCAAATAGATCACCTGACCATTCAGGCCGGAAGCAGGCCCTACCGCCTGAAGCCTGGATCCTTCACAGCAACAATAATCGTGCGAGTACTCTGTACTGTGATATTATTCGCCATGCTTGCATTGCCGTGAAAGCTACACATATTGACAACCTCAATCCAAATTAATGGTACTACGCATCGCTAGGGAAAAGACCGGCCCAAATGTGGTCCGCCGGCTACGCGACTGACTACGGAATGCCAGCCGGAAAGGCGGCGAGAGCCATCAAAGATGTTGAGGTAGGGTCAAAGACCCATTTATATTAGATCAGAACGTTATTCAGCTAGTATCCAAGCAGAAAACCGAACTCCAAACTCTCAGAAATTCCCAAGATGTTGAAATCACTGCACATCCACCCGGGTCACCATGACCACATCGGCCTCCACCTTCGGCAGCCTCACACTCAACACGCCATTTTCCATCTCGGCTGTGATCCCCTCAACATTGATCTCCACCGGCTGGTACACACTCCCCAGGCGCACTTTCCGGTCAAACGTCCCGACGCGACGTTCATCCAGCGCCAACGTCTTCAACAGTTCCTCATCCCCAGGGCGCTCGATCGAGCCGCTCACATTGAGCTCGAACTTCTTCGGGTCCCACTTGACCTCCACTGCCTCCTTCTTGGCGCCGGGTAGCGACACGTGCACGAGAAAGATGTCGGGAGTGTCGAAAACATCCACCTCAGGGTGGACAAAGGCTCCGGGCTGGTGATGCTTGTGGTGGTGCTTGTGGCCGTGCTCCCTGAATCCGAAAGGACCAAAGCCACGCGGTCCACCCCGGCCTCCATGCTTGAATCCGCCGCGCATGTGCTTGCCGCGTCCATAAGGTGAAAACCGGCCGTGAGGTCCGTGACCAAAGCCACCGTGAGGTCCGTGGAAGTCACCTCCCCAAGGTCCGAAGGCAGCCGGGTGTGGGTGGTCGAACTTACCTCCGGCCCATGGACCGGGGCCCCGGGGTCCGGGTCCATGACCATCGCGTCCGTGGCGGCCCTTTCCTCCCTTCATGTGGAAACCACCGCCATGGCGACCGTGGCGCTTGCACTTTCTGGGTTCGTCGTGGTCTTCATCCCCATCCTCTGAGGAAGAGGAAGCAGAGTCGTCTTCCTCGTGGGCCTCGTCCTGCGTAGGCTCTTCGTCTTCAGTGATGGGCTCTCCGCGGTGGTGACGGTGGCGGTGATGAGGGCCGTGCCGGCCACGATGAGGAAGGGAAAAGCCTCCGGGGCCGGAGAAATGCTTATCGTTGTCGGTCTCGTCGTGGGAGATGTGGTTGTGATTGAAGCCGGCAAAGAAGGGGTGAGGAAGGCCTTGTTCTTCCACGTTGGCGATGAATTCCCAAAAGGGAGCAGCTTGGTTGAGTTCACGGATGGTGGCCATGATGATGTCTAGTGGTAGAGTTGCTTTGGTGACTGAAGTATAGAAACAGGTTTTTTGTTGATCGCAGACTTGGTTCGGGAACAGAGGAGGATTTGTTGGGAGAGTAAAGGTTGAGGTGGTTGAAGTGAGTATGAGATTGAGGATCACCAAGACCAGGTCCAGCAGGCCCTTTTATAACGCTTGCTCTAGGCAACGATGCTTGCGATACTTGATGAACATCGCCACAGCCATGTTGTTGTCGTAACCCCCATCGCCTGGTGTTCTCGCCACGGTTCGGAGATTGAGGCCACAGCCTCGGACATCCAATCGTTCCTCGGGGTTTTCCATCCACGTCACCGAAGCTAGCCTGATTGGGTTTACTCTACTTCGTGATGGTGAGTCATCCTCGGGCGTAACGGACATAGATACTACATATAGTAAGCTAAACCGAGATTTGCGCCTCAGTTGCTGCGCCACGACTGCAGCCACAGCGCAATCCCCGCAGCCGAGCCTTATGGATGGTCCCCACCGGTGGCGCTTTCACGTGAAGAGCTCCCTCGAATCCAGCAAGGCTACTTTTGCCGCATGAGTCAGAGCTGACACGTATGGAATGATTACTTTGAGCAAGCTTAGCGTCGGGTCAGACGTTCCGCCGTGCGTTATCTGCAGGGCTCGAAGGATTGGAGGAGATCTTGACCCAGACTAGGTCACGTTGACTATGAAACCCAGGGCGCCTGCAGCACCTTGCAAATCGCATTACCAGGTAGTACGACTGACCGGAGACCGGCCAATGCACTGAAATGATCCAATGTGAGGGATTGTACTCCGTACTCCTTGGACCAATAGGGAGGCAACGGAATGACAGGGATCAGAATGACGGGCTCGGGATCGGAATGGCCATCGGAGAGTGAAAAGCACGCTTTTTGGCATGGTCCGTATCATCATTCACCAGCTCGAGGCTCTCTATAGGACCGGGCCCACGAACACCTCGCGTTAGTCTGCGGCCAGCGGTGTTCTATTCCGGGCTTCTTTGGTAACCTGCCCATTCCGATCTCGCTGCAAATCTTTACATAAGTCTCTACTTTGAGTGAGTGTCAGGGTATATTAAGATCCCTATGAGGTTTCCCTCCATAGCCGGATATTCGTTTAGAGGAAACTATCCGTGACCCATCGCCATCTCCCGATATGCCTCGACGCCAAAACAACGCGGAAGCGGCCTTGCATGACCAAAGCAACCGCCTCTCGCTCGGGCAGCTCATCCTCGTCCTGTGCACCCTCTCAGGCTCGCTCCTCGTGGTATTCATTGACCAGAACGCCATAGGAGTGGCGCTTCTCACCATCAGCAGGGACCTGGGGGCCGAGAGCACGATCGCCTGGGCTGGAGCAGCATCCTTGATTGGAAACACAATGTTTTCGGTTTTGTATGGCCGTCTGTCCGATATTTTCAGCCGAAAAACCGTGTATATCGCCACCTTGGTTTCCCTTTGCATCTCCGACCTGCTGTGTGGATTTGCACAGAATCCGACCATGTTTTACGTCTTCCGAGGATTTGCCGGCACCGCAGGGGGTGGAGTCACTTCGTTGACTACGATCATTGTTTCGGATATCGTGGCCCTCGAGGATCGAGGCAAATACCAAGGGATCCTCGGATCGATTATTGGTCTCGCCAACGTCACCGGCCCTTTCATCGCGGCTGTCTTTGTTGAAAAGTCCACCTGGCGAGGATTCTTCTACCTGATCGCCCCAATCTCCGGTTGCGGAGCAGTGGTGGCCTATTTTCTGGTGCCGAATAAGATGACGACCAAGGATATTTGGAAAAGCCTGGGTATCATTGACTACCTCGGGGCTGTGACCTCTTCGTTGGGTGTTATCTTTCTGCTGATCCCAGTGTCTGGAGGGGGCGATTACTTCGCATGGGACTCCGCCCTCGTCATCAGCATGTTGGCAGTTGGTGGCTTGATGCTGGTATTGTTCATTGTCATTGAATGGAAGGTGGCTGTTCTGCCGATGCTCCCTTGTAAGTCAGGATGGGAATCGTCTAATTCTGAGTCTTTTCGTTGTATTACAGCTAATCTGCGTGGGATATTGCTCAGTATCCTTCTTCAAGAATCGAACCGTCGCCGCCCTTCTGGTACAAACTTTCCTGTTAGGCGCGAGCTATCAGTCTTATATGTACTACCTCCCTCTTTATTTCCAGAATGCGCGGCAGTGGTCTCCGTTCGTATCCGCAGCGATGATATTGCCCATGGTGATTCCTCAGTCACTTGCTTCCATCTCCGGAGGACAATACATGTCCCTGGTTAAGCGATTTTCCGAGGTCTTGTGGACTGGCTATATCCTTTGGACTCTGTAAGCTGCTATTCTCACACGGGTTGAGTCATCAAGCCTTCGGACATTGGTTTAACTTCATGTCCCCTCTGTCATGTACAGGGGCGCAGGCCTTGCGTTGTTGTTCAACAACCAAACTAGCAAAGGGGTGATCGCCGGAGTCCTCATTGTCATCGGGCTGGGAATTGGCTTCACCTTCCAGCCTGGCCTGATCGCCATTCAATCCCATGTCACGCTGGTGCAACAAGCGGTCGTCATCCCTGAACGGAATTTCTTCCGCTGCTTTGGGGGCGCCTGTGAAGTTGCCATTTCGGCCGCCATTCTACAGGAGGGTCTGAAGGCGAATCTTCCTGACCGAGACAAGTACCTCGCGGATTCCACGTACACATTGCCGTCGCGATCCGGCATCCCCGAGCAAGACTGGACGGGTATTCTGAATGCATATGCACGTTCTTCCCACGATGTGTTCATTCTGCAGGTTCCCTTGATGGCGCTCTGCTTGCTGAGCTGTGTCCTTGTTCGCGACGATGGTCTGCAGACTAAAGATGGTCGGGCTCAAAGACAGCACCAGCTCACTCCGAACAACCACCGTCGGATGTCCGATGAGGAGACCGGCTCGCACACTGTTGGGAATGAAGGCAAGTGATGTGGGAGGCCGGTATATGGTAGGGCCATAATAAAGACTTCGGTCCTCAACAAGGGTCGTCATATTCCACCCGGCAAGATGCGGTAGTCTGGATTGGTATGAGCTATACAACATCAAATCCAGCTGTCGATCTCCCCTCACGTAAGCTTGATTAAAGCGGGTTAGCGTGTGGCGCTGCACTCGGAATCGGAATAAATCCCCCCACGTCCCCGAGTCGGAATAAAGGGCCCGGAATGCCATTGTGCAAGTAACGAGACTGCTTCCACTCCGTCTCATGAAAATGTTTCGACGCAACGGCAAGCCGGTCTCCTGCGAGCCCTGCCGGGTGTCCAAGATTCGCTGTGATCATCAACGCCCGATTTGCGGCCGATGCCAGACCCGCCAGAAGGAGTCCCAGTGCTTCTACCATCCCGCGCCTCTGACCCGCGCGCACAGAAACCCTGGCCCTAGGCCATCGAGACGAACCCGCGCGACAGTATCGTCGAGTCCAGCCGGACACACCCCGGTGACCACCAGGGACGATGAGATCCCCCAGACCCCGGGCTATCTGGGGTCCACCAGCTTTGTATCCGCCTTTCCCCGACCAGAACTCTTGTTCCCCAGCGACGTGGCCAGTGTGCCCTCCCTCTCCTTGCCCTCGGAGTTTTGCTCCGCCCAGGTCTCCTACGCCCACTCCCAATTGCTCGAGCTGATTTCCTCCTTTACGGAGTACCAGAACCTGGTCGTCAACTACTATCAGCGCGGTCAGTTCTCAATCGTCCCGCGCAACCTCGTACTGAACCCGCTGTTCAAGACCGGGTCCTACCTGGAGAAGTGGAAGCATAACCGGAGCGGTGCCCGGCAGGAGACCTTGATTGAGGATCTGTCGAGGATGTCATCGACGCGCCTTCCCATTCCTTCCGTAGATGCGACAGTTGAAGACCTTTGCGCCTCGTTTTCCGGTTCGTCCCTCCGATGGGAGTTCGTCGGCATTATCTTCGCATTCGCAGGGCTGGCTGCCTCGTATCCCGAAGCCGGGGAACCATACCAGAGTGGCGAGTTTGCGACGGAGATGTTTGCAGCAAGCAAGACCTGCATCGAAATTTGCGAGCAATGCAGCCAGTTAAATGACCTATCCATCTGGCTGCGCTATTTGACCGTGGCTCTGGCGTCCAATCTGTTTGGCGACACCAGTACGCTCCCAACCCTGCTTGATTCCATCAAGGTTGCCCCTTGCCTGTTTATATCTGTCTAATCAATTATCTGCGGGCAGGTAATCTCGTCTATCGATGCTTGAGTGACCTAGTGTGCCAGATATTCGCCATGGGCCTTCATCGCCAGTCTTCACTGCAGGAAAGAGTGCCATTCTTCCTATCCGAGACGCGCAAGCGAATTTTTGCGGCCACCTTCACCAGAGATAAGAACCTGGCAACATACTTGGGGAGACCACCCTTGATCGATTCGCACTTTTGTGATTTGTTGCTGCCCCTGGATCTGGACGACGACGAACTCACCGAACCGGGAAATATTCCTGGACCGCAGGGAAACAGCCTCGACAGTGATGGCTGGAAGACCAATGAATTTAGTCTCGTACGATCACTACGTTCAGTCACCGGGCTTCGTCTCAGATGCGGTATGGCCATTCTTCGAGAGAAGGTCCTGCGATTATCACTGGGGAACAGGGGAACAGATCAAGAGGCCCACCTTCCGTATGAGGCTTTTCCTTTCTTATTTTCCTTCCCCGTCCACTTCTCACGATTTCGTCTAGTCATGCTAATCCCAATCCAGTGGCATTGTGGAGGATTACCAGAAGGCCTGGGAGGCTGTGCCACAGCAATACCGTTACGATAATGATGCCTGGAACCGACTCGATCCACACAGCTGGGTGGTCTGCTTGATCGTGTACCTGGACCATTGCTATACGGGTTATCAGTTACATCGAATGCGCCTGCGGCAGAATGAAGACAGTCGGGGGCCATTCCTAGAGGCAGCAACAAAACTACTTGCGGCGATGAACGACTTTGCACGACGTCAAGCGCAGACCATAGCTTTACAGAGGAGGTACATGTGGGTGGTAAGACCGGTCCTTGGTACAATCTGGTCTTCACATATCCCTAACTCATCCCTCGGTGATCGTATAGTTCCTCTTTTATGGTCTTCCGGGGGCCGGGAGTCTCGTTTCCGAGCTGCACCGATGCAGTACCGCCGACATTCCATTCCCTGTCCCGGAAAGCCGACCTAGGATCATTCGCGACTTGAGCGTCCTGATCTCCTGGCTTGAAGGCTCCGTCTTTCCGAATCGACCCGAGTACCGGACCTGCTTGGTGATTAGTGCCCTCATCAGCAAGCTGCTCGATGAAGTCTTACTCGGTCCACAAATGACATTGACCGTCGACGAGCAGACGGGTTCAGACTTCAGCATTGCGGCGGGTCGACGTGCCAGGCGCACTGCGAATCCTGCGGCCTCTCCTTTCAGTGGGGTTACTGACTCGCAATCATCCCAACTGGTGGCCTCTTCATTTCCGACTATGACCACCGGTCCCGACCCTCTTCATGGAGAGACAGTCGATACAGGGTTTCCTCCGGACCTTGCCGATATTGTATCCTCCGAGGATTGTGTGAACTGGTTGGATGGATTCTCCTGGGATAGCCACCCCTGGGGAGAGGGCTGGCCCTTATTTCCCGACAAGTCATAATACAGTCTCTAAGTCAAAAAAGGTGACCCGTTGCCCCGCATTCTTAGGTATTGTTGATGGCTGTTTCCCATGGTGAATTTGGTGGAGAACACCAATCTTCTTCCAGAGGCAACCCCAGAGTTACGGTGCCATGCTCAGCTTGTTTTGTTGTTAGATATAATGCCAACTCGATGCCCCGTCAGACAATTGTGGTCTACATTCTCACAGCTATCCCCGAGAGTGCTTGGTTAGTATAGTAGGGATGTGGAGCTTAATATTCTCCCAACAACGCTAAACCCGTGCCGCCTCCCAGATCGTGGTCCTAGTACTCTGATCTCTGTTTACATAAGTAAAATTGAGCAATCAAGGGGTAGAGGATCAATAAAAAAGCAAACAGCAGGCTTGTGTAGGGTACAGGTAGACGGATATCTGGTCTTATCCAACGAGAGGGACTGAGCCGTTGGGGAGGAACACAGTTATACATGCATGATTCAATACTAACCATGATAACGTTCACCCACATGTTTCCACGCCAAGCTTCAGCTCCATCGGTGAGTCGACGTCGACTACAACGTACTTATGAGACATGACTGTCCAACACACCGATTCACGTAGACTGGTCTTCCATTAGGAGCGATGTCGAGGAATGCATGCCGTGTCTTGCGGCTTTGCAGTCCCAAAGAATCATATTGCTGAACCTTTCAAAGTAACGAGAACATCAGAGGTCAGAATAGGTATGTCATTCTGATAGTGACAATACACCCGGAATAGCACCATGTATTTGAAATTGAGTAGACGAAACAAGGGTATATATATTTTCACTGTCTATGCTAGGCAACAGAATCACTCAACCAAAGAAACATGAACCCAAGCAATGAACCAACAGTAGAGAACGCTCTCACTCCGTCGAATATGTCATGGTCGGTCCATTCCACTTATACCGTCCTCGAACCACCCAATCTCCAATGGCAAACAGCATGATGAAGCCCAACACCGGCCCCGCATAATTCATATTCTCTCCCGTCACCGGCAAAGTGGCAGGAAACGGCAAGAAGATGGCGAAATACGTGGCAAAGAGAATAGCCACCAAGTTGATAGGCAATCCCCACTTACCCAAGGAGAAGGTTCCCTGAGGAATATCCCCGGGGGCCGTCAATCGCTTAAAGACCAGTAGCACCAACGGGATCAGATACGAAATGTATAATCCCAGGGTACTCAGGGACAGAATGGCGTTAAACGCAGCAGTGGATCCGATCTGAATGAAAGAAAGGAGGAAAACCAGAGTCGTGACGAGGAATAGCGCCCGAATGGGGATCTTGTATCGGGGATCGACCTTGACGAAGAAATCAGAAAAGGGGAGACCATTGTCTCGAGCAAAGGCCCAGGTGAGACGCGTCACGGACGCGAGACCGTTAAAAAGTGCAATCCAACCCGGAAGCATGCCCATGGCCATTAGCACGAATGTGGCTGCCTTGGATCCGGTGGCTTGGTAGGCAATGGTGATGATGGGGTAGCCTGTTTTGCTGGTCAGGGCATCGGTGTAGTCACCCATGCAGTAGAGAATGGCAAGGAGGTAGCCGAAGGCCATGATGGAGTTGATGATGGTGCCGTAGATCATGGAGCGGGGGATGACGGTTTTGGCGTTTTTGACTTCTTCGGACATGTGGATGATGCCGTCGACACCTGGGGTGGTTAGCTGGGGAATCGGCGAGGAGGATAGGAATGGAAGGAGTACCGCTTAGGGGGGTGATGACGCCCAGAAGTCCTACCGAGTAAACAACACCCGGGTTCTGCCAGCCGCTGAGACCGCTGACAAAAGTATCCCAGACGAAAGCGTTGGAGTTGCGCGGCGCCAGAATGACAAAGGTGGCGATGGTGACGGGGAGGAAGACGACGTGCATCACACCCGCGGCGACCTCGATGACGGAGAGGACGCGTCGCGCAAAGATGTTGATGACGATCGGGATCAGGACGACAGCCCACATGAGGAGGGTTCCTTGCCACCGCGTCGCCTCATAGTGGGAATGGGCGAGGACTGCCATACCTTCGATTTCGGTGCCGATGAAGTAGGGCGAGATGCAGACGAGGGCACACCAGGAGAAGACCTGGAGCAGGTTAGGGGCTGCGTGAGACTAGAGGGAGGATATCATACCGTGACCCATCCTGAATTTGCGCATTGCCGGTTAGTCGCTGTCTTCAATGAATTGAAAGGGGAAGAAGTGTCTGACCTTGGAAGAAACTGATGAAGCGACGATAGCATGGAGCCAGGACGTAGCTCCAGTGATACTGGGCCCCGGCCGTGGGGTGTCTGTTGATGCGATCATGGTCACTTATAAGTCACACGTTTAGGGCAGTGGATGATGGTCCATACACTGAGGCCAGTTCGGCCAATGAAGTGGCAATGGCCAGGTTTCCCAGTCCACTGATGATGATCCCATACACGATGGCCGCCGGCCCTCCGTTGTACAGACCAGCTTGCAAACTCCCACCAGCCGATTCCCACGACGCCAGCAGGGTTGCGGAGAATGCCAGCGACGAGAAGAAATTTAAATATCTCTGGTGTGTGCCACGTCAGAAAGCCAAACAAAAAACAAAGAAAAATGAGTTTCGGGAGAGGTTGCTTCGTACATCCAGTCTCTGTCGCTGGCGATACTCAACATTGCCCCCTTCACGCCCACGAGGGCTTCTATCAGCGACCGTTGATCGGACGGCGGTGCCGCTTTTCATCTCAACTTCCTCATCCAGCATCGTAAGTAGCGTTATTTCCGGACTTCAAACCAGTGGCGTTGTTGGAAACTGCACAAGAATAGAGGAGAAAGAGTGCGACCGCAGACAAGGAAAAATAGGACGACCAACAAAAAAGAGGGGAAGGCAAAGTCACAAGCATTTGGCATCGGCAGGAGAGAAATAAATACAGGGATGTCATCTGAGACTAGCCTGCTGAAGGACCCCCTCGGACATTGCCCCGAAGTGGCAAGCTGGCGCTGCATCCCTGCAGCATCCTGGTCAATTTAGCCAGCGTCATATGCAGCTATCGGCGACTGGCGTTACGGCGAGATGGGTTGGAGATTAACAGTCAGCACTTGAGATTGCATGACAGGGGCTTAGGGCAACGCGGAAGGGTTTAGGCTGCATTAGCCCCATCCCCGGACTCGCACCGGTTCAGCATCATCCCCACCCGTGGTGAATTGACACGGGAATGGCGCGGGAATGGCGCGGCCCAGTGGAGACCAAAGTAGTTTCTTCGGAGAAATTGGTCGCTAGTCCAATGCACTTTCCATGGCGCGTTCGCTCGGCTGAATGGATGATTGTGACAGGACGATGATCGAAGCTAGCTCCAAGCTGTGTCCTGGTCGTAAGATTGGTGGGATCCAGACCAATCTATATCTCGACCACCACGACAGGGATTATAGTCCTGGTGGCCAGAGAGGAATGGTAGCTTCCCAGCTGTCTCCCTGACTCCCTCCCATTTTTCTCTCCGCTCATGATTCACTCGACTATGTTACTCTACCGCCGTGATCATGGCTGATCCCAAAGCCCCCTTCGAGACCCTCTCGGAGGATGATCATGGGCCGATCATCACCCTCGTGTCGGTGGCTCTCCTCATAACCGCCATTATATTTGTCGCAGCCAAGCTAGGCTCGGTGCTCTACTTCAAACAGCGTCGTTCGGCCGTGAATACGCCCGTCTGGCTAGCTCTGGTAGGTGACGCTCCAAGAACAAGCAGTTGGTATCTCATGACAGATTGCTCCAGGTTCTTCTGCTCATCGAGGTTGCCGTAATACAACAGGCTGTCAACAACGGGATAGGTAGACATCTCGACACTCTCGCGGAGGCAGCCATCCAAACCGCAAGCAAGGTAAGCCAACCCCAATCGTCCACGACGAGCGTGTCCTCTAAACTTCAGTGAAGTACCTCTATGCTGCACAACTCCTCCAAATTGTCATTCTTTCTCTATCACAGCTCTCCACCATCCTTCTCGTCTGGAAATTGACCCCTCATGACGGGATCCGCCGGACCTGTCTCATCACCACCGGCTTGACAGCAGCATGGACCATATTTGCACTCTTTGGCGTCTCTTTCCAATGTCAGATGCCCGATCCATGGATCTACAACCCTTCACGCTGTGCTGGACAGGTACATAATAACCACAGTCTTTCATTTTCCTTTGCATATTCCTGATCACATACCAGGGTGCCATCCTTTATCCCATCTCGGTGATTCAGATCTTAACCGAAGCCATCATCGTGGCCATCCCATTCTTCATGATGCGCAACGTGCAGATAAAACTGATGACGAGAGTTAAGATCCTGGCCTCATTTTCAGCACGAACCCTGTGCGTCGCTTTCGGCTGTTCCATCCCATGCCTACGATTGTTGTTTCTCTAACACATCACAGCGTGATCGCCCTCGGAATCGCCCACCTATCAGTCCTGCCTTCTTTCCTCCACTCAACAGATGTTACATGTACATCCTCCCCTCCTCTTCACCTTCACTCTCACTAAGAACTCCCAACTATAGGGACCGTCACTATCCCAACAGTATGCGCCCAAGCCATGATCTGCACCACCGTGATCATTGCCTGCCTGCCAACCCTCTACCACATCTTCGCAGGTCTCCACTCTGGATTGATCACCACCCGACTGCCCGATGAGGTCGAGCTCAAGCATCCCTATTTATACGGACGCCAATCCACCGTTCGGTCGACCCGGAGCAATACAAAGGCACTTGCGGGATTGGAGACACTGGACGGTTCTATGTCGAGAAATCAAAACTCTGTGATACGAAGGTCGAGTATGAGTGATAGTATGAAACACTTGACGGAGGAAAACACCGGTAATGGCGTATTGATGACAGTGGATATCACGGTTGAGGTGGAGGATCGGTAGCAATAACTTCCTTCCTCTCTCCCATTTGCCTCCCCCTTTTTCCTTTGTCTTCATATACAAGAATTATGGCAGCTTATTGCCATTCGCACATAGAGAGTAGCCACTTTTAATGGTTGCTTTAACCCTTTCTCATAGGCCTTCCCATACGTAGCCGTGTTTGGTGAACAGAATGCAAAACGAAGGATTGAATATATCCAGTGACTCTGATTCACATTCAAATCATCTTTACCTGTAGCCCAGTCTACCTATTTCTTACTAGGTCTTAACGTGGTCACTATATCACGTGTTCCTCAAGCCCACAGCCTGTTGGCTGATGTTGATCATTCATCGCTGGAGAACCTGAAGCTAGAGCCCAGAACTGTCCTTTTACCTATATAAGGTCAGGGGTCTCTAAAGCTCAGTCCCGTTCAGTGCACGGAGCGTCCTACATGAAATATAACGACTTGTTCATCGAATACAAGAATCAGCGCACAGATATGTGACTATCCAGGATAAATCGACATTAAAATTGCAGTAAACAATCACTCAGCGTCCGAAGATCAGAACCCGAAATGGAAAAGGTAGAATAAACGGAGAAAATGAGAAAAGCCGAAAGATCCACGACAGGCATCGCCGCTACTGAGCGGGTTTGAGATCCATGTAGGAGAGTGCATTTTCGGCCGCAGTCCGCAAGTCATCGACTCTGTAGGGTAAGACGCCGTCAGGTCTGCAGTTCGGGAAACAGTGTCCGGAAAAAAGCTGCCTGTGGGTGATATTGATGACCTGGGTCTGGTTGTTACGTGGACGAGGGAAAATGGTCTCAGTCTGTCGGCACACGGGGATACCATTGGGGTGTAAAGACCATACTTCAACAGTTCCACTGACGTGTTGTAAACGTTTAGTCCAGTTGAGTATAAAGACAAGTTGAACGATCGTAATCCCACCAACAAGCCACAAATCCATATCAGCTCGTAGCTGGTTATAATTCTCAGACCATCCCGATTCAACTGCGATGGACGGTAGATGATGCCTACTAGGAATCATACAAAAGTCAGGCTCTTTTCTAGACCTGGAATATGGGCCGTGGGTGAAGTTCAAAGCTATACAGAGCGTTAGTTGATATTTTCAATTAGAGAAGGAGAAACATACTGGTCCCAATTATATTAGTCAAATTATGCTTTTCATCTATTGTTAGTAGTCCAGAAGTACGCCAATTCCCAGCAGTCCAGACTTGCCACGCGTGGTGACAATTGTGGATATGGGGTGGCATGATCTTCATATGGAATGTCTCTGTACGGGAGTTGTAGTTCTTTCTGTCAGAGGATGATATCTTAGTTAAGCTATCATGGTATGGGTTGTGAGAATATTTATTACCTGATCCTCTTGTCGTTGATAACAGGGTCTGGTATGTCAAAGATGTAGTCACTCCAGACAGGTCGAACATCACTGTAAGTCACGTCGAGACTATTTGAGGCTGTCAAAACCATCTGTTTTATGTGGTCTGTGAAGTCTCCAAAGCTTTCGAAATCCGAAGCACGGAAGCTTAAGCTTAATTCTTTCATCTTGAATGAATTTTTGATTCGTGTATTCGGTCATAACCCAACATGTAGGAGAAAGAAAACGACTTGGAAAAGATCCTATTTAAAGAGCAGCGGAAAGTAATGCCATGGAAGCATCATCTGGATGTCCTTGGAGCTTGCCATAGTTGAAAGGATGTTGCAAAAAAATGTCAAGGGGCGTTAAGCGGAGATTCGCGATGAACAAACAGATAATGACAGAGAAACAATTTGGGTATAGATAGAGTGAACAAAGCAGTCGGTTCCTTCCCTATCTCAATGCCTATTTATTGCATTTCACAATAATTTGTGGAAGTCGCTATAGATATGGGATAGTGTCTGGAGATCTCAGGATTATTCAATGCCTCAAGGGACGTGCCTCGGAATCCAACGGGGCACTGTTCTTCGTAGGAGGGACTGAAGTCTTGACCACGGGGATTCAAGCAGGAAAGACTAGGCTATTGCCTTTAATCTTGTGGAACAATCTCGTCAATATGGATGACGCGATATGCGACATTCGGCTACTAGCATTTAACTAAAATAGGCCATTTCTTCTTCTTCATAGTCATCATCACGAGGAGGGGGTTGGATAAAATCATCTCTAAATAAACGGCGGTGCAATCTCCAATCTATATATAGTAGAAACATTTTCAATGGTTGCTTTATATTTGTCAGGACATAATTCTTATCATCGGCTGTCTCGTTGCTGAGTAAAGGGTGTGACTGTTAGGGCACGACGTACTTTGGTAAGTAGATGCGGGATTGTTCCCGGCACGCTAACCGAGCCTTACGCAGTTTAGCCTCGACCTAATCGACGGTCGGATTCCTCTTCGTCGGAATTAATGGCCGCCATCTCATTGGAAGGCGCTGATCCTTATCGCAATTCAGGGGCAGTCAATCGATCAGCGCTATGATAAGGGGCGGCCTTATATTTGATCGCCCATCCCCACCCACCCTTCCTGCCGCTCCGACTCTCTCATTCGACTTCTTCAACTTATTGAGTACCCACAGTTAGGGCCGAACCGTCTATTACCGTACTCAGCATGGTCCAGGTTGAGCCACATGATGAAGATCTCCTCCGGCCCCTGTTGGCTGACCAGCCAACAAACACCACCAAGGACCAAAACACTACTGTCTACTGGCATCCCACCGTTATTTGCAGTCTCTTATTCCTGGTGATGGGAATTGGATCCTTCATTAGTGCCGCCCCTCAGTTACGTCTATTCGAGTCCATCATCTGCCAGCAGTATTACAAAGACAGTGACGCCCTTCCTGACGGATCTGGGATTCCCGAGCATATGTGCAAGGCAGGCCCCGTGCAAGCGGCACTTGCACAGTTAGTCGGATGGCAATCCTTCTTTGATAACATCCCTAGTCTTCTCCTGGCACTACCGTATGGTATCCTGGCCGACAGGTATGGACGGCGGTTGATCATAACTTTGAGTTTCATGGGCCAGTTCGCGGGATTTGCATGGATATTGATCGTTTGTAAGTCAAACTCCTCATTTTTCAGTCGGAGACCATAAGAAACACTCGATTCACATATTAGCATAGGCTGGTTTAGGCTTCCAATCAAAGTGATCTGGTTTTCTTCTGCTTTCCTCATCGTGGGTGGCGGAAGCAGTGTGGCCGCATCGGTGGTGATGATGGTCATTACTGATTCAACGCCGCAGATCAAGAGGTAAACTCCCTTATGGCCTTTATTCAACTTCGGGCTAATACTAATACTTTTTAGGTCCCAAATATTCATGTGGTTCGAGGCAGCCGTTCTCCTGGCCGAGATAGTATCCCCTCCTGTTGGCTCCCTCTTGATGAAGCACAGTATCTGGCTTCCGATTCTGATAAACTCCGCATGTTGTGGAGTATCAATTCTTCTATCCTGGTATATGCCAGAGACTCGGCACTATGCTGTCAAACAAGCAAATGCTGCATATACCGAGACACCTACGACAGCATATGCCGAAGACCATTCAGAGCCACGTGAACCTAGCAGGACCATTTCCCTGGTTGACAACTTGAAGCAGAGATTGCGTGTCGTCGTCAGTCAGCGTAATATCTTTCTGCTGATTCTTTCCTTTCTGGTCGCAAACTTTGCTCGTGATTCGATGGCTTTCCTGTTACAATACATCTCAAATCGTTATTCTTGGCCCATCGCAAAGGTATAATCATCCCTCCCAGACCAAACTCTTATAATTAACTAGCCCATACCCCCCAGACAAGCTACATGCTCTCATTCCGTGCCCTGGCGCAATTACTACAATTCATATTGATCCTACCATGGATTGACCGCACCATGCGCAAACGCTTCGAAACCCGACCTAAAGAAAAGGACCTTTACCTCTCCCGCTTCAGCATCACCATCATGACAATAGGTTTTGCTGCCCTGGGTCTCGCACCCACCGTTGGCCTATCCATGCTTGGTGAGCTCCCCTCGCAACCTCAGCCCTATTTTCCAGTATCTAATTGCCGCATTACAACAGGCATTGCTATTTACACGGTCGGATCGGGATTTAGTACATTCTCCAGAAGTCTCATTAGCTCTCTCATGGATCCTACTATGATGGGAGTACTTTATAGCACTCTCGCGATTATGGAAACCATTGGATCTCTCTTGGCGGGGCCATCCATGGCGTGGGCCTTTAGATTGGGGATGAATCTGGGAGGTGTTTGGTTGGGAATGCCGTATTTGATTTCAGCTGCTTTGTGTGCGTCGATGACTGCTGTGATTTTTATGATTCGTCTTGAGCGTGGGATCAATGGGGTTGTGGGTGATGTTTAGAGGCAAGGTGGGTTGTCTAGTTAAGCAAGGATGCCTATGTTGAGATTAAATTGTATATTATTTTGCTCATAATTTGTAGTCCGCTGAGATTAAAGATATATCCTAACAATTTATAGGCATAAAAATGATTCTGTGAGACCATTACTCAGTATAAAGGGCTCAATGCAGGATATTGGTGGTGTGAAAGCTGCGCAAACCATGGAACACAGCGCATGCCTAATTGTCTAACTAATCTATTTGTTGGAGTCCGCATGCCTCGGTGATAGAGTATATCCGGGATATAATCAGAAAGGCAGTTGCATCAATAGATCCTTTCCAATGTGCAATCTACGGACATTTAGTTGTCGCTTGGCACGTGAACCTCCTCTTTCAAGTAAGTGTGTATTCTAACCTCGAAGTTAATTATGAGGTTCGTAGAGTGTTTGACGGCAGGTTACTATGTAATGTAGGTCTACATATGTCCTGAGCTTTGGAAAGAGGGCGAGCTTTTATGCCTCCGAGTCACTTGAACTAATCGTGGAAGATCATACATATATTACGGTAAAGTTGCTATACACTTGATTCGAACTGCTTGAAAGTACATCATATGTTATTAGTATATATTCCCACGGTGACCGCCATCCATCAACGCTACCCCTACATATGAAAGCTACTGTATCAAATGCGCCCACTTTCCTTGATATGCGCTATCCCTTTTACACACCCACACAAATGTACTCGTGTAACCATAGATCCGTACACCCGGTTCCCACCTTGGGGTTCCACAGCTCAATATCCGCAATTGTGATGCCCTGACTGCTAGCAATGCTCGCGCACGAGTCACCCGAATTTACGAAATAGAAAGTGGTACAGTCATCCACCATGCCCGGCTCGTAAGGCGTCGGGGTGGTGATGCCATTACCCGCCGAGGTGGTCGTAGTCGGCGCAGTGTAACCAATGGTATCGACACAGACATAGTATCCCAGGTAGAGATCAGCGCAAGACGAGCCAACGGCCGGGTTCCAGGTATAGAAGGTGGAGAGGGGAATATCGTATTTGGCGGCGATGGCTGCGCAGCTATCGCCGGATTGAACGAGGTCGAACTTGTTGCAATTGTCTACCATACCGGTTTGGATGGGCGTGGGAGTAGTGATGCCATCGGCGGGAGTGGTTGTCGTCGCTGGTACGGTAGTAGTGGTGGCGGGAATAATAGTAGCACCAGGGACATCTACACAGTAGTAGTAGCCGGCCGGGATGTTGGTACAATCTAGATGTTTGGTCAGATACAAGTACAGTAGTTCATGGAAAGTGTAGGACCTACCCGAGTTGATGGATGGGTTCCAGTCAAGGAACTCGCTCGCACTGATGTCGAACTGGGCTTCGATCTTTCCGCACGAGTCCCCGAGTTCAACTAGGTAGAATTTGTCGCAATTGGCGACAGTACCCGTTTTTTGTGGCTCATAGGGGGCCGATGATGACGATGAGGTCGTTGATGACGTGGAAGAAGTGGAAAGGGTAGAAAGGGTGGAGATGATGGAAGAGGAGATCGAAGTGGAAGTGGTAAGAGATGAAGAGGTCGTGGTTGATCCACTGGATGAAACTGTGCCGACCACACAGTAGCTCTGACCGGCCACGAGATCTGGGCAGGTCACGCCCGGATTGAGAGACTCGAAGGTCTGCACGCTCAGGCCCCATTCAGCAGCGAAGGTCTGGCAAGTATCTCCGGAACTGGCAGCAGACTCATAGCTACAACTAACCTGCTGACGGGGGGCTAGGGTCATCGTCCATGCCAGGTGGAGCTGTGGGAGTAGGAACAGGCCCGCCTTGAAAGATATTGGCGCCATCATGGTTGATGCTTGTTTGAGAACAGATAAGTGCTGTATTAGAGCAACTGAGAAGGCAGTAATTGGGAAAAAACGAGCCACTGCTCTGTTGGAACGGGAAGAATATAATGTGACAGTCAAAGCTCTTTATATTTTGCCGCGCAGCTGGATAGCTATATCAAGGCAGTCACTATCTAGCATAGTATTTCAGGCCATGTATGGTATAGAGGATAGCATGCTCCTTCCAATTCCGAGGACGAGATGGAAAGAGATAATTCGAGGGGATATCCGGAGTACTCCGAACTGAGACATTATCGGACGCATGGACGGAGTCCGTAAGAGCCCCCTCATCTGGACCTGGGCGATGTGGAAACCGCCAGGACCTTGTAGGAGGATGGTGGGGCGTGCAATATCAAGCGACACTTACAAGGAGCATGGATCACTTACCAGAACCATACATAAAGTATACCACATGAAGATTAACAGACTGCATGAAATCAGCACCAAGCGTGGATAGGAAGGACCTTCTCATATGATCACTGAGGGAGAAATTTTCTTATCAACTAGATGTGAGGGCTAGCTGCATTTGATTAAGCAATAACGTTGTAGCGGCCTCTATATCTCGATTGCATCTACCTATCTCGGGTAGAAAGCAGAATCTGGTTACATAGTCGAGTATGGCCTTCAAAATATCACAATGGCTATTGTCTTGTTTGGCTGACCACTAGATTGGTGTCACGTACAATCTGGCACGATGGTGCAATAGAAACATAGCTATATGGGCTGACAGACTCCTACGGACGTGATTAATTATGAACACGGGAAGATAATCCCCGGTACTGTTGTCCCACCTAGGGATAGTGGTAAAGGCTAATTCATGCCAAACAATAGTTACAATGTAGTGATAAGTGATGTTATGGCCCATATACTCCATAAGGCTGGGCGAAAAGTCATCCGGATTTCGGATTTATCGGCCCGACTCCAATCGCGCCAACCAGAAGCCTCAACCGCAAATTGGGGGAGGGTCGGGTACAGCCGCACAAACCCTCGCAAGGCTTAGCGTAGACCCCAGATACCAATCAGCTTGCCCCGTATTTACGCCCCCATGCGAGGGTCCGACTTCTTAGTAGACCCTGCGATTGGTGAGATTTCAGTAGGTTTACATGTGGGGAAGTCCCTGACCCCTGACCCCTGAGAAGCTGAGAACAAACGAAGAGAAAATTTCGCGTGAAGCAGGCGCGCCACTCACCAGCCGGTCAACTCCCGGCCGACTCGGACATGACAATGTCTGGATTCGCAGAATGAAAGAATCCTACATAGCAATCGAGGTGGGCCGTCTTCAATTAGTTTCAATGACTCCTTCCTGCCTAACGCTGGGTTCCGGTCGAGCGGGCATCTCATGGACGGAAGATTAACGTGGGTGCCAAGGCAGACAAGCTCACGGGAGGACGGGAGAATCCACTTGGAACCCTCCTTGCGCTCCAACAGGATGCGGGCCACCCCATTGTCTTCCCGTGGCATCCGATGCACAAGCTTTTTGTGCTTACATGTAGTGCTGCACTACGAGTGGAAGGGTGACTAGAACCATTGTGATCCGATACTCTCGATAATAATATTGCTACATATGAAAAGGACTCGCCACTGGTAGTCTATGCACATTGTTCTCATCCGAAGTGGATCAAGGCAGTCATCATGGTCAACAGTGTAAGCCACGTGGACGCTGCAGCCATGCGACATTGTCTCGCGCTGTTCGAGGATTTGGCCGTGGAAGTCGGACAAGTGACATTGGGGTAGATTGAAGTCTCGAGAGGGTCACAGGCGAACGCGGTGGCTGCTGCCATGATACTGGAAGCTGCGGAAGGATTGACCGTCGCTGCACAAGGATTGGTGGTGGGACTGGGTCCAAGGATGGCGCATGCGTCCCCATCAGAAGTTACGTTATACGCATAGGCATCCATCGAGCCGCAATTTTCAGAAGATGTGAGATTGGGGGCCTGCCCTGACTGGCTGATAGTGAAGACGATGGCACCGTTTGTCGCGATGTCTTCACCTTCGTAGCCGCCCTTATGAGTGCAATTCGAAACCACGAGACTCCAGGCAAAGGTCCAGAAGCCGACCGGGTAGGGGGTAGTGTCGATGAAGCGAGTGACAAAGAGAGGGTCGGAGGACGTCAGATTCGACAACGCCGGCTCAAGTGCCCCGTTGGTGACGGAGCCTGGGGAAGTATGGTTATTGCCCTCCCACAACTCCCAGATGATGAAGAATTCCAAAGCTTGAACCAGAGTCGGATTTTGCAGCGCAAATACAATGGGCAACAGCGCCGAGGGGGTGTAGGTTTCGTTGCGTGGGGATATCAAGTCCACTTCGAAGATGCCCGGACTGAAGACTGAAGTGTCATAGCTCATTGCGATCATCGAGTTCGTCATCAGCGCGGTCCATGCAAGAGAGCGAAGGCGATTCATACTGAAGGGGCAATTTAAATGAAGGTGGAAGGAATGAAGTTCACCTGCTCAGCTGATTTTAGGAGTAACGAACGATCATGAAAATAGGGCGGGGGGGAGAAAAGAAATTGAAAAAAGGAAAAACGTTAAAGGGATGAAGAAGGAAAGAAGACAAGCCTCCAGGGGTTTTTTTTTTTTTTTTTTTTTTTTTTTTTTTTTTTTTTTTTTTCAGGCGGATAAACGGGAGGCACGGCATCAGGCTGCTGCAGGACTTTTCATCTGGTCACGCCCGAGCTGGTCCGATCCCTGCAGCCTCGCCCTCTTAGCGTCGCATAGGGTCCGATAGAAGCCGCCCATTATTTTATTTCGATTCTATTATTATTGTGATTTTTCTTTCCATTTGGGTTACCACTCTATGATTACTTTTTTATTACTTACTGATTTATTTATCGTTTGTTTTTTGTTTTTTGGGTGGGGGGGAGGGTATCATCGCCTTCACTTTTTGTATACTACACTATATTATGGCTCCGGAATTGTCCCAGGACCCTTGCAAGCCCCGCCTGGCCCAGGATGAGAACCCTGTAGGGCACTCTATCAGGCTTTAGGAGATGTGTCCGACTCCGAGGGAACATTGTTCGCAAGTGCAGCCTCGCGATGCTTGCTTAGCTGATTCCACCGTCTAGGGGAAATTACAGCAGCAGCATCTGTCAGGCCAACTACTGATAGGTTGACCAGGCCGAGAGCATGCCCTTTTGGCCGAGTGGTGAGTTGCCAGCATCCAGTATAAAATCCACCTTCCCATCGCCCCCCAATAATGGGATCATCAGGCGCATCGGTGGCCAGATGTCTTTCTCTTCCCCTTTTTCGGCGTGGCTTCGGCCACGCAATCCGTTCCTTACCCTCCTGTCTCTCGTTCTTGTCACCTTGTCATTCTCTATTCACACTTCGTCCGCCATCACGGTGCCCGTTCGACTCCCCGCGAGTCTCGGGTATCAAGGCCGGTCAGCTGCTTGTCCCGCGCGATGTGCCGTCTCGGGCCCTAACCCGGCCAACTGGTCCCTCTATCACAACTTCGACCAACTCGCCTTGTGCGATGAGTCTCTCTTTTACTCCTTCTCCTTTGTTGATCCCGTCGATGACCCGGACACTGCCCATCGCATCTACACCTGCACCTCTTTCGGCCCCGATTGGGCCAATCTGCCAGCCAACACATCGAGCCTGGTCTCGCAGTCCGAAGGTGCCCCAGCCCCAGTGAATGGCACATATCAGATTGGATCGTGGCCCTCCACTCCAGGCTCTTCGGTCTCATCGTCTCTCGCCACCCTTACCAAGCAGTTCCGCCAATATTTGTCCAACGGATTCGGCGCCGGAAATCATCCGACCATTCTCTTCGCCAGCTATGGCTCGACCTCGGTTGGGCTCTACATTGGCCAAGGTCTGCAGAGCCAGGGCATTGGGAACATCGCGCTGGCATACTTGGAGAACACCATGGCAACATCCAACACCAGCCTGTCGGCGAGTGTGGCCATGCAATTCTGCCAGCCGGGTCAAACTTCTCACCACGTGTTTGGCCTCATGGCCACCGGCAATGGAATGTTTGCTACCGTGCAAGATGCCCTCAGCTCGTGGTCCAAGGCCGAATGCCTGGCCATCCCGTCAGTCCAGAACGTCACGGGCACTGTGCCGCTAGCAACGCCATTGTTGTCTTCCTCCACCAAGACCCTCAGCCCCAACTCCACCTCGACATACGCCAATGTGACCTCGATTCGGGGCAGGGCCCTCGCCCCGCGGACCACTTGTTCTACTGTTCAGGTCGTCTCCGGTGATAGCTGCAGTACCTTGGCGCAGAAATGTGGAATCACACCCGCTCAATTCACCAAGTACAACCCCGAGTCGAACGAGTGCTCCTCTCTGACCCCGGGGGAGCACGTCTGCTGTTCGGCCGGCACGTTGCCCGACTTCGCTCCCAAGCCCCAGGCGAATGGCACTTGTGCGACCTACACCATCCAGCCCGATGACAGCTGCTCCACGATTGCCGCTACCTACAGCATCACCGTGGATGACATCAACGAGTTCAACAACGACACCTGGGCTTGGAATGGCTGCTCGTGCCTCTACCCTCATAATGTCATCTGCATCAGTACCGGCAATCCCCCCATGCCCGCCCCCGTCGCCAATGCCATTTGCGGGCCACAAGTGCCCGGTACCCCGACCCCTCCCAGTGGGACGAATATCTCCCTGCTCAACGAGTGCCCGCTGAATGCGTGTTGCGATGTCTGGGGTCAGTATGGTACCACGGCCGGGTTCTGCACCAAGACCGGCACGGGGGCCCCTGGGACCGCCGCGAATGGCACCAACGGCTGTATCTCCAACTGTGGCACCAACATCGTGCTCAGTAGCGCTCCGGTGACGTACCGGAGTATTGGCTTCTATGAAGGGTTCAACCTGCAGCGTCCCTGCCTCTACCAGGACATCTCTCAGCTAGACATCTCGGCTTACACCCACATCTATTTCTCTTTTGGCGTGCTCTCCTCCTCCTACGAGGTCCAGATCCCTAACGTCACAACCACCTACGAGTTCAACCTGTTCAAAGAGCTCCAAGGCGTCAAACGCATTCTGTCCATTGGGGGGTGGGCATTTTCTACCGACCCGAGCACGTACATGATTTTCCGCGAAGGCGTCACGGCCACCAACCGTCTGACCATGGCCACCAACATTGCCAACTTCATAAAGGATAACGATCTCGATGGTATCAATATTGACTGGGAGTATCCGGGGGTAGGAATCTTTGCTCATTCCCACCTGGCTGTCTAAATTGCTAATGAAGCCCTCCTTCTTGTCTTTCTAGGCACCGGATATTCCTGGCATCCCCGCGGCTAGTACTGATGACGGGGACAACTATCTCGCTTTCCTTGCTGTATTGAGGAATCTCCTCGGCGACAAAGAAATTACGATTGCGGCGCCGTCGTCCTATTGGTATCTGAAGGGCTTTCCAATCAAGAAGATGGCCCCGCTCCTGGACTACATCATCTACATGACCTACGATCTGCACGGACAGGTATGGCCCCTCTCTTGATTGATACTGCGACGCCTGGCAAGGAGGACTGACCTGAAGTTTACTTCCTCTTCTCCAGTGGGATTCCAACAACCAATGGTCCCAGCTTGGCTGCCCGACTGGCAACTGTTTACGTTCCGATGTAAACCTTACCGAAACCATCGGCGCTTTGGTCATGGTGAGTTGAAGATCCCTGTTGCTACTGGAAGCCACTGCATTCCCCACCACTTATTCATACTCTTGTGCCACCAGATTACCAAAGCAGGTGTCCCCTCCAACCAGGTCGTCGTCGGCGTGACTAGCTACGGACGCTCCTTCGCCATGTCTGAAGCGGGCTGCTACGGGCCTCAATGCACATTCTTGGGTTCAGCCGATGACTCGCAAGCGGCGCCGGGGCCTTGCACTCAAACGGCCGGATACATCGCCAATGCCGAAATCGAGGCCATCCTGGCCAACTCGAGCCGGGTCACCCAGAGTTATATCGACCCCACTAGCAACACCAACATCCTTGTTTACGACGAGACTCAATGGGTCGGCTGGATGAGTGATGGGGTCAAGGCCTCACGGAAATCGCTCTACAAGGGCCTCGCCATGGGGGGAACCACCGATTGGGCCACCGACCTGCAAAAGTACAATGATCCCCCTTTCATCGCCAAGAGCTGGGAGGCCCTCATTGACGACGTGGTCCTGGACAAAGACCCATACGAAGAGGGGAACCGAACTGGCAACTGGACATCCTTGACTTGTTCGGATCCAGCCATTCAGGATGCCCTGTGGATGCCATGTGCCCAGCGCTGGGCGCAGCTGGACGCTTCCAACGCTTGGTCCGATGCTATCAACGTCTGGAAGAACATTGATAAGCCGAGAATGAGTGGTGTCGAGAAGGATTTCTCCATTTCCATCATGAATACTTTCCACGGCGGTGAAAACACGTATTGTGGGATAGTCGCTCCACGGGGCAGTTGTTTCACCTCGCAAACTTGCGGATGGTTTCAAGGCTTCGGCCAGGGCACCGGGGATTCGGGGGCCGCGGCGATGGCGATCTATGATTCCCTCACCGTGATCAACTCGGTGAGTCTCGCGACTCCTGTCCGGAGAGCGATCAAAGTGGCTGACGAACCTCCTCCTCCCCCAGGCGTACTCGCAATTTCATGCCGCCATCGACGCTGTGGCTGGAACGTATATCGACACCCAGCTCCAGTACTTTGAGACCACCTTTTCCCCGGTGCCTCCAACTGAAAGCAACACGTGGCTGGAGATCCTGCTCAACCTTGTAGGTCTCGGCATCACGGCGGTTGCCGGGCCGTTTTTCGATGACAGTAAGTAGCGATATGCACGATTTTTCCGCTTGCATCGCCCGGACCACCAATTCTGATCGTCCATAGTTTATGAAAGTCTACCTGCTCTTGTTGGGGATGCCAACACTGCCACCAGTCTCACCAGTGCCACGGTGGCATACGGGGTCTCAATTACTACCGATGTACTCCCCACCGATGCACCGTAAGTATCCTTTCTTGTTATGAAATTCCAAATCGGCTGATCCATTTCATGCAGGGGCCAATGGTCAGCCACTTCCCAGGAGAGTTTCACTGCCACTCTGGGGTCGGTCGTCTCTGGCTGGGCTGCAATCGCCGAGAATCAACTCTGGTATTTGTTCAATGGATCCGATGCCTCCATCTCTCTCCTCACCAGCATGATTACCAATGGCAATCTCATGGAGGGCAGCGGCGGCAGCCCATCGGTAAGCCACAAGACCGACCCCCAGACCAACGCCAGGATCGAGGGCTACATCAGCAAGGCCTTCTTCGGCTTCGCCATCCCATCGGTCTGGGAGGTCTCGGGCACCGCCGCCTTTGTCCTGGACTCGGGCTATGACTGCAGTGCGCAGAACCCTCTGACCGAGTACATGACCAACGCCACCCAAGAAGCCACCTATGCATGCTACAAGGACAAACTGTACTACCTGGTCTATCCCGATGGCAAGTGGAGTGGTTGTACCGATGAAGAAATTGCGAAGATCGATTGCAACGATTGTGGCGGCTCAACCTCAACCTGCGGGGACGATGCTACCTATTTTACTGCTCCCCCAGGCCTGAGCGACCTGGGCCCCGGCCTCTGGGGAAACATTACGTTGGCCGAGCTAATTGAAGGGTCTGTGAGAACATACGAAGCCAACGGCAATGCCAACGGAGGCCCCGTTGCCAACCCCATGGACAAGGATACTCTGCATGATCTTTCCAACCAAGACATCACCACTCCCGGCTATATTCGCCTGCCAGTGTGCAGTGCCCAAGTCGCCTGGGCCTCGTGGTCCAACCCATCCCAGTCCAACTCCAGCGCCCAGTACTATCCCTGCAACCCGCTGCAAGGCATCACCAAGTGTAGCGGCTACACCTACCAGGACGAGACCTCGTCGGCCTCCCCGAAGGTGTCCGACTGTCAAACCATCATCAAGAACATCCAGGGCACCAACGGCGAGTGGACGACTGGTATCGACCACCAACGTGACATTGCCAAATTTGGCACTTGCAATTTTGGCGTCCAGAATGTTGGTGTTACCGGAGACGTGACTTATCATACCGGCAGTCAGGATATTGTTAACATCATCACCGAGGCCATCTCGATGTACGCCTCGAACGGTCTGGTCGGGGCGAAAGGGTATATGAAATGCGATGGTAATACAGGTAGCCAGAAGGTTGAGTGGGGTCTGTATTAGTATGGATTGTTCTGATCCACATTGTATGTATATAGATACCGTTTGAGAGAGGTAGACGTATATACCTCAGGGACCATGCTTTGTGCTTAGCAATGCAGAGTCTATGATGATCCTGCACTGTTGTGTTACTGGCATGTTTCCCGAGGCTGACCTGCAAGCATGAGAATGTATATGTACTGGTTTTATGCTACTCTTCTCAATGGCTATCCTGGTTTGCTGAAGGTCTAACCAAGGCAGTAAAGATGTGCTGCCTGATGTTACTGCCTGAGGCATCATGACATATGGAGTCGCACAGCAGAAACAATGACTAATCTTTTTATGCACCACTGCATAAATCTTTGCCCCGCCGCAATCTCGTGACCGGTTTGTGGCTGCCATTCAATTCTTCTTTATTTTCGCTGCCAATTTGCATTTCGATTACCTAGCCTCTCGCATCGGGGCTTTCTCACAGTTTACTCTTCCTATTTCCGGCACTCTGATAGAGATGGCTCTTTCTTGAGGGAATGTCGAGCGTATTGATGGCTCTCCCACTACCAGATCAGCACTAGCATCAGCTTTTATATACAACACCGGCCCATTCAATAACAGCAATTCGATGTGCGCAGAGCCCAAAAATCAAACCATCTTCTTGTCTTGAAGACTTCGGGTTTCCTATCGGGCTAATATGAGCCAATCACCAGAGTCGTCGTGGTAGTCGGTGGTCGCGTCACCGCTGCATTGTTGACGTGCTTAAAACCCGGCCGATAAAGGACCATGTCGCACCCGTTCAGACTTCGACTCGACAACAACATTCTTTGCATCCTCGCCAAGACCCCCCTTGTCTCACATATCCATTTTAAAGATCATTTCCCTCCGCAACATGACCAAAAATAACGAAGGCCCCCGTGTGCTGATTGCGGGAGCCGGAATAGCAGGGCTGGCGGCTGCCATCTCTCTGGCCCGCCAAACACCTATTCCCAATCTCAACATCCTTCTGTATGAACAGGCTCCAGAGCTCTTAGAAATCGGTGCTAGCATTGCATTGAGTCCCAATGTATGGACTTCCGTTGACTGTGGGTACGAGTAAATTGGAACCACCTGGCTGAGACACTTCTCTTATTCTTACAGGGGATGCGCACTCTGGAGAAACTTGGTGTACACAATGCTCTCTCGGATGAAGTGGGATTTAGAACTCCCAGTGGTATTCCGCAGATCATTCGGTATGTTTCTCATCCGATGACCCTTCCCGTGAACGATTACACTAACTGAATTTTTGCAGCCATTGGAAGACAAACCAAGTTCATTCAGTCGACACACACGTCAATGTTCCTGATCCTCGGCATATTACCACGCGCTTCCACCGGGGCCACTTGCATGCCGCGCTGCTTGAGCACGTTCCTCGCGAGTCCATTCATTTGGGAAAGAGGACGGTTCGCGCTGCAGCCGATCACAAGGGTGTCACCCTGTACTTTGATGACGGGACCAGTGCTCATGGGGACATATTGATCGGGGCAGATGGTATCAGATCGGTAGATACTATCCCCATTTGCTTCATCCTTGGGCTAATGGAGAGATAGAAAGTCCGTCAATCCTTCATTCCAGAATACAAACTACGGTTCAGTGGAAAGGTCTTTATGAGATCGACATTTGATGCATCTCTGGTGGAGGGCAAAGTTCCCATTCTGCCGGCTGATTCAGTTCACTGGGTACATACAAAACCCATTACCGCCCCATTTCATATCATTCACTGCTAACTGGCAAATAGTGGGGACTGGAAGATACTTTTTTCGCTTCTCGTCTAGGTAATCTATCTACGCATCCCAATAAGTGATATTTATTCGTTGGCTAACCGGTCCTATGTAAGGGCCAATACACAACAGTCGGCGCTTACAACGACCCGCGCAGCACCGAAGAGGTCGAGAAAAGTGTCACCTGGGACCAAGAAGGAACCGTCGAGTTTCTCAGGGCAAGATACATGGTACTCTTCTGGGCCCTGTACCGAATGTCCATTCGACTAAGCCGCATGTCGCAGGACTGGAACCCTATCGTCAAACGTCTAACAGAACTCACACCCTACACCAAGCTTTATCCCAACTATTCAGGTGATTCTCTATCAACATGGGTCCTCGCCTCCCAAGTGACATTGATCGGTGATGCAGCCCATACACATGGAGGGGCCTTTGCGGCGGGAGGCTCCCTCGCGTTAGATGACGCACTTACTCTCGGACTCGCATTCGCGCATCTTTTCAAACACCAGCCGGTCTCAGAAAAGAACATCCAAGCTGCACTCGAACTATACAGTCAAGCCAGACAGCCTCATACGGAGCGTCTGCTTCGTATTGTGCACAAGAAAATCACCCACGGCCAGTCTGATACGGCTGATGTGGATGCGGAAGAAAGGCTCCTCTCCCGTCTTCAGAACAGGGCCAGCACAGTTTGGCTCTCGGAACATGATGCAGAAGCTGCATTTGCAGCTACAATTGCGGGATTTGTAGACAAACAAGGTATCGAGAAGGTACTGCTTCCGCGGATTCCCGCGGAGTCTCAGGATGTGTCTAGTCAGGCTTCGCTGCATGGAAGCAAGCTTTAGAGGGTAATTGATGGGGTGGCTTTTGTGAGTACTATACTCTGTGCATCCAGTTGACATAGCTCGACTCCGTGCAATAACTTATATAATATTGAGAGATCATTGGGTAAGGCCAGCTCATTGATTTTCAAATAACTGGTTTAACATTAGAACATAGGGTGTGGAGAACAGGGCATCCTGTCCGCTTAACCGTATCTAGGTTACATAGAAAGATAAGGCTTGTGCAGATGATCAGGGCGGAGTGGGTCAGCCAGATGTTAAAACGGCTTCCAGAATAATCCCACACTAACGATTAAATCGGAATGACAGCAATCGAGTATGCGTGGTAATAGCGATCCGGGCGTGGCTGCAGCGGCTCCTGAGCTCCGAGGCTGTGCCTTGTGCTTAGTGCTTACGGGGTAAGCAGCACCCGACTGGTCGAGTGATTAGCGGTCAGGCATCCACTTTAGAAGAGCATATTTTAACTAGTTAGTTCATACAATCAAGCTTACTTGAGACGCGCGTGTCGCAGAGCTTACTGTTTGGAGCGAGCTATGCGACCTTGCAGGATGTCAGCCTGATCCCTGACTGCATAGGGTTAAGTGACGGGCCCACACAAGTGGGCCTCCAAAAGCTTGGGCAATTGATGTCATTTATTCTGGAGATCAGCGGGGATTTCATCCAGAAAGGGTAACCTGTGCGGTGAGAATCCGCCAACAATGCCTTCGGCGCTCTCGTTCCCAGGAAATCCGAGGCTATGTTGCTACGCCAGGATGGAGCGATGGAGGATGAAAGATCCACCCTGAAATGGAGCATACACAAATGTGAGTCTGTCTTAAATAAGCAGGATCCAGTTGGCGGTATATAACCCCCAGTGGAATCCGACATTGACTGACTGTCTTGTTCATCAACACTGACACTCCAAGGGAGAAAGTCAGCTATGATTTCCCACATCGTCCTTCCAGGTAAGTGACCCGTAAACCAAGTTCTAGCTGTGTTACCTGCTAATCATCTGGGTCATCAGTAATCCTGGCGGCTGCGACGGCACTCGCCGCAGACAGCTATGCACCACACTACGTCGACTGTCCCGAAGACATCCAGCTCGTTCGCCAGCCCCGGGCGACCTCTTTGGCTGAGTCGGAATGGGTCCACGGCCGCAAGGGACAGATCGTCGACTCGCTGGGCAGGTATCTCTCGAACCTAGACCTGGAAGGCTTCAACACCACAGAGTACATGGCCCGAGTGCGCGCCAACGTTGACTACAACGTTCCAGTAATCGGCTGGGCCAACAGCGGCGGCGGCTGGCGCGCATCCATGACAGGCGTGGGCGGGCTGCAGGCCATCGACGAGCGAACGCCGGGGGCCGCAGAAGCCAAAGTGGGCGGCCTGTTCCAGATGCTGACCTATATTGCCGGCCTCTCCGGCGGCTCGTGGCCCGTCTCGTCGCCCGTCTTCCACAATTATGCGCCCATCAGCCAGATGATCGCCGACTGGCAGGTTGACGTGAACCGGTTCACCGACGCCGACGTGGAGAGCTATTTCGAGATCATCGCCGAAAAGGCCGAGGCCGGATTCAATGTGACCGTGGCAGACTTCCTGGGCCAGGGGTTTGCCGCCCAGGTCATCCCCGGCGTGAACCGTACATGGTCGTCTATCCCGGAGCTGCCAGGCTTCAAGAACTTCAGTGGACCCATGCCGATCCTGATCGCCAGCAGCATCAACAAGAGCTCACCGGTCGAGGACGGCATCTATGTTCCCTCGTGGGAGGCCCCATGGGTAACCCCCCCCTTCCTTATACACCTCCCCTACATTAATATCTATACTAACCGACCCAAAGTACGAATGGAACCCCTTCGAGTTCGGATCATGGGCAACTGGGTTCGTACCGACCAAGTACGTCGGCACCATTCCCAATGAGAACAACACAGCCGAGCAATGCGTCGAGAATCTCGACCAAACCAGCTTCGTCCTCGGCTCTGTCGCCAGCGCATGGAACTACTGGTATCTCTCAGACGTGACCAACGGCACGCTAGGGACATTCTCCAAGCGCGACAGTGCCATTGAGAAACGAGACACAGAGACAGACGAGCTAGTCGAGTTCATCGATGGCCTTGTCAGCGAATACTTCAACTCCACAGTCTCCCAGATCAGCAACCCCTCAATCCCCAACGCCTTCAACCCCGACGAAAACATCACCTTAGCCGACGGCTCCGAAGCAGGACAATCAATCCCCTTCATACCGCTCATCCAACCCGAGCGAAAGCTCGACTTCATGTAAGCCCTCATTCACTTCCCCCCTTTCCCCCAAATCAACCCTAACAAACACCACCCTCCAGCATGGCCTGGGACGACGACTCCGACTCCGAACCCTACACATGGAACAACGGCACCAACATCTGGGACAGCTACGTGCACGCCAAATCCCACGGCCTGCCATTCCCCGAAGTGCCACCCGTCCGGGAAATGCTAGCCCGCAACTACACCCTCAAGCCCGTCCTGTTCGGCTGCGACACGAACCTCACCACCACCCGCGACGCCACCTCCCCTATCATCGCGTACTTTGCCAACTCGCCGTACAGCTGGTACAGCAACTTCAGCTGGTCAACGGATACCATGTCGAACGCTGAGGCCCACGGCGTGCTGCAGAATAGCTTTAACCTGGTAACGCAGGGGAACAGTACCCTGGACAGTACCTGGGTGGAGTGTCTTGGCTGTGCAGCTATTGATCGTAGCTTGGCGCGGGTGGGGATGCAAAGGTCCCAGGCATGCGAGCAGTGTTTCCAGGAACATTGCTGGGATGGGACTTTGAGTGCGGGTGTGGGGGAGGACTTTATGTTGAATCCGTACCCGGCGTTGGAGCCTGGGCTTAGTTATAAGGTGTGGAGTGAAGAGCATCCTGATATGGAGTAGCTGCTGTTGGGGAGTCGGTGGGAAGATGAGGCGCAGTGTATGGAGACTGGTGTGCGTGGGATGGATTTTGTATTTGGATTGGTTTTATATGTATATTATAGTTATTGTGGGTTATATTGTTCATTGATGAGTTGTTTACAGATATATGTTTGGTTTTCAGTGAGGATTATAAATCATGGTAGGGGAGTTGAAGGGTTTTCTAGTAGTAATATATGAATTGCCTTCTACATATACTCTAATATACACGATGATTAAGATAGATTTCCGAGAGAGAATAAACATGGTGCAGACCAGGCCACGGAAAAAATAATTGAATAAAATCCCACTCAGCTGATGCAAAACACTTACAAGAAGCGACCACTCTTGCCCAGCCACTCGGTGACATAATCGAAGCAAGTCCTCACGGTGTCACCAAACTCACCGGGGTAGGACTCGCAGTCAGTACAGGTGTAAATACCATGCTGAGCACCCTGACCAAAAACAATAACAGTATCATTGCTGTTGACGGCATTGAGGTGGATCTGCTCGGCGTTCAGATACTCGTAGTGACAGGTGATGCCCATGAGCAAGAAAGTGATAGTGTCGCCCTGCATGGGAGAATAAGAAGCAGGAGCTATTTGAGTTGAGTCGTAATCACCACCAGCCAAATTGTCAGCCAGAATGTCAAAGGTCTCGTTAACCCGGATAGCCACGGTGAAAAGAAACTGGCGGACGCTGGTCTTGATGGCAGCCTGCTTCCTTCAGTTGGAGATATCTTTCCAAGCGAAGAGGACAATCAGCATCGCATAACGCCCTGAATTTCTCACGGTTCGATAGGTCTATATTCATCACGGTGGAAGAGACAATGAGGTACATGTACGACCCCAGCGAAAGCATGATACTTGGCTCACTTCACTTCATTCTCTGCTTGGACGCCATGTTCATGAAATTGTACAACCCCCCCCCCCCCCCCCCACACATGCCACAGTTCGAGAGCTGAAAACAAGTGGTATTCGATACAGCGATCTATGTGATTATGCGGGGATTGGAACGCTGGAAACGCTTCCTCTGCGGTAGATGTTTCCAGTCTGTAACCAAGTTCAATACGCATGCGAATTTTGGACGTTGGCCAAGGGTCATGCTCTCGGAGTTTCAGGCACTGATGGTTCACAGCGTGAGGAAGCCCTTCCGAATCGATATGATGCCCCGGGTATGCAGGATTTGACACGACTGTTGCGGGAATATAATTTGAAAGAATAGATTGTATGGGTGTGTTAACATAGCTGAGGCGAGTCATGTCGGAGGAAGAAAGGAACCGGATGTTCTGAAGCCTTTGTTTTTTGGTTATGCCTTGAGAAAATAATCCGTAACTATTCACTACTGCTTTGTATAGATAGATACAATAATTGCTAATAGAATCGACTATTATAATATTCCCATCGGTAGACTTTCTGTTGTATTGTTGATCTTAACTATATTCAATGGATAATATATGGATTTCGAAACGAGAAAACCCCAAAATCCCTATGGTTATCATATAGATATATCGAACACACATAAAAGAAACCGACGTCATTAAATGAGAACCATACTATGACCTATCTCCATCCCTCTTATATATCATTTTTAAGGAGTCGCATTTTTTCCTTTACAAATCTTCTAAACCTTTACTTACCCCCTCACACAATTTCAAATTCAAATCTAGGATTCCTTGTCGAATGGGTTAGATTTCATTTCATCCCTTTTTTTTTTACCAGCTATAAGGTTCTTGAAGTCAGTCCAGTAGTCTGCCACTTGAGCACCACCACCTCCTGATAACCGTTGGCAGTGATTATTTCCACACAACCAATGTTTTCTACGTTAGTATAATAATTGTACACACAACCAATATAAAAGGTTCCGTTGGAAAATCAAGTACATACGACCATAGGGTGTGGAGAACAGGGCTTCCCGTCCGCTCAGCCGTACTTAAGCCACACGCCGGGAGGTTAGTAGTTGGGTGGGTGACCACCAGCGAATCCCTTCTGTTGTATGTTTTTCTTTTGGTACATCTTATATCATCTATTTTTATTTTTGCTTTTTGGTATCTGAGTTATGAGAATCTTCTTGGCCCTTGGGTCAGTGTTTGTTTTGGTGGTGGAGGTGCACCGTTATGGGAAAACAGGACGGTAAATCTGCCAAGAACCTAGTAAAATTATGATTCGGCTATGTCACTAGCTTATCATAAATGTTAGTATTCAATGTCTACTGAACATGCAATCCTCAACAGTATAGATGTGCATTAGATATACAAATAAAGCGGGCTTGAATTGAGTGTAGATATATTAACTCGATTAATGAGAGTCACCCTCTCCCTGGCTGTTGCCTTGATCCACAAACACTAGGGATTTGAGCCATTCCATGCGCTCTTCCTCATTCCTGGCTTCACGGTCCAAGAACCTCTCCACTCCCTCATCCAGCTCCTTCCTAGACCTTTCATAGTCTGCATCGCTAACCCTACCATCCCAATGTTTGAAGCAGCCAGTGTCGCCAACAAATGCATCCATCAACTCAACACCTTGGGCCCATAGCTCGCCATCCCGTTCTTGTTCCTGGATTTCCTCGTCCGAGAAACGCAATGGGAACGGCGTTCCACGAGGGATGTCATTGTTCCCCACAGCATCAATATGTGCCCATTCCTTCTCGACATCTCTCAACAGACTGTTGAGAAGTGGTTCATAGTCCATTGATACCAAGCCCGGAGCCACACTAACCTGATGTTGCAGAGTATTCTGGCCCTGTATGGCCTCAAAGGCGGGTTTATTCTGCTGAAGACACCGATCCAGATAGATATTGTGCAGTGTCTGTGCTAGGCGGAGTGCCTTTGCCTTCCGCTGTTCATCCGGATGCATAGAGTCAAAGTTCGGTGGTAAAGGCACCTTCCCCAAATCTTTCGGAGTCGGGCCATTGTAATCGAGAAATGCTGGGCGCCCAGCCTGCATGAAAAGCGGACACGCACTGACGGACTGCCAGCCAATGATTCCCACAATGCGACTCGGGTCTTCCGAGTCGACAAATATATTTTGGGAATGAAGACCGTCATGCCATAAGACTGAGACATGTGTTGTTTTGTCTTCTGGGAGAACATCAGGTGCCACCTTGAGATAGTTTTCCAATGCAGAGAGCTTCTTGGAGAGGGTAGGCTGATACTGTCGGGGACCATAGAAAAGACCCTCAGGCATTAAGGGGTATCGGAAACCTGACTTTGCAGATTCAATTTCCCTCTGCACAATCGCCGTCATGTAATCTGTGAGGGTTGACCCTATAGGTTGTACATGGTTAAGCACAAAAAATAATATCATACGAGTTGGGGATGAACTTACATGGACCACGATCAATTGTCAGCTGGCCTCTCCCAAAGTCAAAGAAAGAAGGGTGGTTAGTCGGTCCCATGGCAAACGTTTTGGTCCCCACTTGGTTCCCCATTAAATCATGGTATAGGGTACGTTTAGGATCCGGACTATTGGGTAGATCGTCTCTATAGTATAACGATCCGAACTTGGTGAATCTTGTACGCGCCAGACGTCTTTCAATATCCACAATTTGGTCCAGAATCTTGACTTTCTGCTTTCCTTTCATGGTGTGCCATACATCAGTTAGTACCACGCCGGGCAGTTTCTCCATGAGGATATACTCTGCTCCGAGAGGGCTTTGTGATGCTCGAGAGCTCCATGCGTACACTCTCGGAACAGGGATGTTCAAAGCATTTCCCAACTAGAAAAGTTAAAACCGACGAAATGGCAGGGGAAAGAGATCAGGGCATACAAAGTCCATAGTTGCAACCTCACTAGCTGTTGTCAAGTGTGGTCTCCCTGCATTGGGGTTTGGAAATTTCGCAATAAATTCGCGTCCATCGTCCATGGTAAGCTGGTATACTTTGTTATATTGGCCGTCTGAGATCTTTGACACTTGGGTGCATGATCTCGATGCGGTCGCAGCGGCAGCTAGTTGCAGAAGGGCTGTAAGGTCGAACTTGACAGATCGACTGGCAAGTTGTTGTTGCTCGTTCCAAAGCCAGCGGCTTGATGTAGTGCGATTGAGTGCCCCAAGGCCATGCTTTGAATCTGCGATGCCCTTGGTCTCATTTATGTTGGAATTACCGGAAATGAGAGAAGCTGCCAGGAGTGGATCGGGGGTATTACAGCGGCGGGAAAGTGCAGCTCCTAGAGGTCTGCCCAAGAGGCGACCTCGGATGGATTGCATCTCTAGGGTTCATTGCCATTAAGCAACAGCGCGTTACGAGTCGAGAAACAATGAGGAAACAGCAGCAGACACGGAAGGAAATACGGAAGAATCGAAGTCTCGGCCTTGGCGCCCGTGGGGATGGAGCTAGCCGGGTTGGGCTAGCCCACCCCTGCGGCGGTCTTGGCAAATCGAGATAGCCAATCATGCAAAAGGACGTCTAGTAGGGAAGAATCGTGAATAGAAATGCATTGTTCTTTTCTGGCACGGCCATACCTTCCTTGTTATGTTCCCAAGCAGATCAATCATACTGGCATGTCCCAACTACAGAGTCCTAAATATCCCGCGGAAGAGCCGCTCAGACCATAGCATCAAATCCTCCTGTGTTAAAATAATGTCATGTTCGGGATGGCGAGGCGCACGGCCAAGTACCTTTTCAAATTCCAGGATGAGAGGGCCCCCCTGAACCACCGGCGTGTTTGTTGGGTTGTCAAGTGAAATGGAAATCTCTGATACCTTTTGAGCCACAAAGCTTAAGCTGGTCGCACGAGAGCGAGTCACCGGTCCTGAACTTGGCTGCGCGGGGACATATTTCTCAATCAAAACCTCCCTTGTCTGCCGCTTGATCTGAACTATGATAACAATTTCGACTTGTCTTTGAGACCTCTCAATCCAAAACCTTACGTCAGATCTCAACCGGGGTAAACTTTCCGCCAGGCCGACCTCCAGAACCAGGTGCGGCCAGGTATGCGAAGACCGTATATTGGGATTTTTCCAGGAAGAATTCGCCTGCTTCCACGACCCCAAAGGTCCCGCGTAGAGAGTCGCACCCTTTGGGTAAAATTCACCATAGTCTATGTTCATCATCATGAGTTTCAGCGCGATCGCACTGCCTAGTGAGCCGTGGGCACATTCTTGCAACCTGCTTGGACATTTGATAATACAAGTGGAGATGTCCCCGAAATAGGTGAACCGTAGTCCTTTGCGGAAGTTAGCGCGCCATCTGTGGATTGCATCGAAGTCAGTCGCACCGAAATTGCTGACAGTGAGGTGAATGTTTTCATCGCCTTGTTCGATGCTATCGTATTTGGATTCGATGATTTTCTTCAAACGTCTGAGGTTCACGAAAGGTATAGGAGGGTATTCTTGGACCATCGCGAGGTCGGATGATGCAGTGATTGACTCCATTACTAGAAGAAAGGGGAGTTGACAAACAGCCAAGGCTGGTGCTCATTAATAGGCAAAGACGATGAGGCGTGTCATATGGTCTCAATTGACTAAAAGAAGAAGAAAACGAAGAGAACCCTTTATTCATACGAAGTCTGGTGTTTCTTGATACCACAAAAAGGCCAAGAGAGCTTGGGTTGGCTGCCTGATAGGCAGGCGCTGGTGCCTGCTACCCATTGAAGTGCAAACATGAATAAAAAAGCATTCACTAGGCTGCTGTCCTGCGGGGTTTACAATGATGACTTTTGATACATTGGGGGAGTTTCATTTTGCCGACGGAAGCTGCCGAGGCATTGACGGCATAATGTCCCAACGCCGAGTCATGTCTCTTTTTAGACTTCTCATGGCCTTTGCTCTCAATGTTCTCCTTTCATCTTTCATAACATAATTAACTCTTTCAAAGTCAACACAATGAGTGACCCCCGCATTTTGGATCGTCTCGCCGCCTTGGACACCAACACCGTGTCCGATGCCTTGGATTTCCTCAACCTCAAGGGAGCCACCTATGGCCTGCGACCCCTCTAGGACTGTCCCAAAATTGTCGGACGCGCCAGTACAGTAAAAGTAGGCCCCAAGACCGATGCAACTCCCACGACCCATCTGCTTGCTCACCCCGGTCATCGACGCTGTCACGACGGACGATCGTATTCTTGTCATCTCTGGGGGCATCGAGGGCATCGCCTGCTGGGGCAATATTCTCGCCAACGCCTCCAGAGTGAAGGGGATTCGAGGTACCATCATCGACGGCATGAGCCGGCACATCGACGGCAGTCGAGATGTCAATTTTCCCGTCTACGGCCGGGGAGTGACCATGATCAGTGCACGCAACCGGGTGGTGCAGATTGAGTCTGGCACGCCGCTGCAGATGCGTGGCGTCACTGTCCACCAGGATGACTATGTGCTCGCGGACAATTGCGGAACGGTGTTCATTCCGGCCCAGCAGATTGAGAAGGCCTTACGCCGTGCTGAGCGTGATGGTCGTAAACAGAACCTCGTGCTTCAAGCGGTTCGATCCGGCAAATCTCTCTCGGAGATCATACATGATACACAATTCGAAGCCATCCGCGAGAGTTGTCCGTCACCGACTGCTCTCCAAAACCCCAAGAAGGCAAGTCCGGATGATGAAGATCTGGTTGCGCTGTTTGCCGACTCCGATACCCCCGGCATCTCGGACGCCCTGGACAAGCTAGGAATTGCTGGACAGTCTTTCGGGATCATGCCGTTGATCAACTACCAGAAGGTGACCGTGGGTCCGGCCTTCACGGTTCGGTATGTACCTGCCAGCGACCCCCCAGGCAGTGTTAGTGACTTCATCGATGATGTGGCTGAGGGAGATTTCGTGGTGATTGACAACGGCGGTCGCACCAATTGTACAGTCTGGGGAGACACCATGACTCACTATGCGGGCCTGCGAGGGATTGCTGGAACAGTTATCGACGGAGTCTGTCGGGATGTGAATCGTGCGATCATCGATGACTACCCTCTATTCACTGCGGGATGTTGGATGCGGACCGGCAAGGGTCGGGTTCAAGTGGGAGGAGTTAATGAGCCGGTGGGTATCGGCAAGGTCCGCGTCAACCCTCGCGATATTGTGGTGGCGGATGCAAACGGGGTGGTCATTGGTCCTCGAGCCCGAGCTCGCGAGGTGGTTGAAGTGGCTCGAAAGATTGAGAAGGGTGAGGAAGGTATCCGGGCCTTGATTGCTGGGGGAGCCACCATTGCCCAGGCTTTGAAGCAGCTGGGATATCACACTCTGCAGAGACAGGAGAAGGAGTAGACCTTTCCAAACATACACGACGGGGCCATTCTATACTTACGAATCCATAGCATGGCGCATATTAAAAGAAACCCTCAAAAGTAAAGATCCAATCACCATGACTATCCCTTCAAATCTATATAGGTCCATACACTCGATATTCATGTCAGATTCTGTGAGCAGGGATGATGCATAAGCGCTGAATGATTAACAATAGACATGTCTCTTTCTTCTACATCCAAAAACATCACGCACGCGCTACTTCCAACTCACGGGTATACCTGTTCTGCATGGCCCAAATATCGTAAATCAAAGCCACCGTATCAGAAGCCTTCAAATGCTCTTTACATAGAGCCCCGTCGTTGGATAACCGACCAACCCACTTACCATGCTTCTTAACTGCAGCCACAATCTTATCAATAGCATTCACAAACTCAGGCCCATCACCTTTTGCCGGCACATAGCCCAACAGCGATAGGGCCAGGTCATTGGGCCCGATGAAGATCATATCTTCCATGCATTAGCACATCGAACCAATTACCAGGGATAGTCACTAAACAACACCAGGAACAGCACATATAGCATCGACATTCTCCACCCCTACTTTCGATTCAATCTGGATACATGTAAGAAGCGTCTCGTTTGCTGTTTTGATGTATGTCGGGATATCGATTGCATGAGTGAGGGCTGGAAACGCCGAACCCTGTCCCCTAAGGCCCTGTGGAGGGAACTTGGAATAGGAGACCACGTTCCGGGCTTCCTCGGTGGTATTTATTCGAGGGACGACGATGCCGCTGAACCGGGATCAATATAGGGAAATGTTAGAATTGACAGTCACTTACTGTGCACCAGCATCCAAAGCTCTTTTGATCAAGTCCGAGTGCGTCATGCGGAGACGCACCAGCGGTGACACCCCCATGGAAGCAATGGCGGCAGTTGCGCTGTGCATAGAATCGTCGCTTATATGACCATGTTCACAGTCGATGATGATACCCTTACAATCATCAGCTAGGAATAGGAGTTATGGGGTGAATGACGGACATCAAGGCCGGTCTGGGCTACAATCTGGGCGGTGCGAAAAGACGGAAGCCCTAAGAAGGTCATGATTGGCTTTGCGTTGGCTCGGAGAGCGTTGAGCAGTCGCAAATGCGGGTTGAATACTGATGTTGCCATTGTAGCAGTATACTTGATTCTTCATAGAGTGTGCTTATCATAAATCATCAACCCCCAAAATAGAGATACGATATAAGCCATATCCACCAAGAATCAGAATGCCAAGAATCGGCCAAACAGACTCATCCCGAGCATGCCTCGGCCGATGACCGACAAACTTTCGCCCCTCGGAATTTTAACTCGGGCAAACCAACCCTTCGCCGAGCCTATCGCCATCGACCAGGCCTCTTTAACCCGATCATCCATCTTCAACTAATGCACCTAACCTCTCCCCTCAATCACCATCCACCTACATCCAACCCACCCACCATGCCAGTAACATACACAACCATCCCCCTCCAAATAAACGGAGTCAACCTCACCATCTCCACCATGCACAACAACCTAACCACAAGCACCAAACCCCCCATCCTCTTCCTCCACGGCTTCGGCTCCTGCAAAGAAGACCTCGCCGACATCGCCATACACCCCTCCTTCCAATCACACGGGTATCTCGCCTTCGACGGCCCCGGATGCGGCCACACCAGCAGCAACAACCTCTCCGCCACCGACATCCCCTTCCTCGTCGCCACCGCCTCAGCCGTCCTGTCGCACTTCCAAATCACCCAATTCCACCTAATCGGCCACTCAATGGGCGGTCTCACCGCTCTTCTCCTCGCCCATCAACACCCCACCCGCGTCCTCAGCTTCATCGACATCAAAGGAAATCTCGCCCCGAAGACTGCTTCCTCAGTCGTCAGATCTTCCAATTCCCAGCCGATGACCCCGAGGCGTTCATGGACGCGTTCATTACTCGGACCGCGACGGCCAAATCGTACGGGAGTCCGTTCTATGCGAGTACGTTGCGGGCAAGGGTGCGTTCTGGTGCGGTGCGTGCGATTTTCGAATCTATGGTACGGTTATCGGATGAAGAGGATTTGTTAGGAATGTTTTTGAATTTGTCCTGTGAGAAAATGTTCATGTTTGGGGAGGAGAATCGTGGGTTGTCGTATTTGCCCAGGTTGGGGGAGGATGAGAGGGTTGAGTTGGCGGAGATTAGGGAGAGTGGCCATTTTCCGATGTATTCGAATCCGGTGGAGATGTATAAAAGGATTGCGGGGTTTTTGGAGAGGGTTGCTTGAGGTGGAGTGACGGTTGGGTTGAGTTGGGTTGGGATAGTGGTGGGGTTGTAGAAGATAGATAGATATCCTTTTTCAGTACGGTTTATTTAGACAAAGAGCAATAGAAGGGTTTTTCCATGTATCATACTAACCCGATGAGAACTCGGGGAAGGGTCAGGATGCCGGCACAGCAATCGGGCAGAATAGCCGGGGCTAATAACCCCCAACCCTATATCAACTCCTCCTCGCCATATCCCATCTCCCCTTTCTACTATACTACACCTGCTAACAACACCTCAATAACTAACATGACCACCCAATACCTAAACCTCCCCATATCCCCCGCCGACACAGCCTTCGGCCTCATGGCCGAATACGACGCAGATCCCCATCCAAACAAAGTATCCCTGATTGCAGGAGCATACCGCGGCGAATCCGGACAACCATGGGTTCTCCCCAGCGTCAGGGAAGTCAGTCAGCCATATAACCCATCACCCTCCATCTCAAACCCCCACTAACCCCATTCACCAGGCCAAATCCCGCCTCACCCCTAACCAAACACACGAATACCTCGACATAGCCGGTTCTCCGGGACTAATTAAACTAGCCCAATCCCTTACCTTCGGCACCGAAATCACCACAAGCTTAGACAAGAGCCTCGCCTCTATTCAAACCGTCTCCGGAACAGGCGCAAACCATATGGCGGCGCATTTCCTCGCCAGGCATCTGCATCCAACACGGGTTTTTATTCCATCCCCGACGTGGATTAACCATAAGAGTATATGGGCCACGACGGGGATCCAGATCCAGGAATATCCATACTATGAACCATCAACTCGAACCGTCGATATCGACGGAATGATTTCCGTTCTTGAGACAGCTATCCCCAACGACGTGGTAATTCTCCAAACATGCGCGCATAATCCCACGGGAGTAGATCTTTCCCGCTCCCAATGGGGACAGGTCATTGATGTGCTCAAACGGAAAAAGCTATTCATTGTCTTCGACAGTGCCTACCAGGGCTTCGCCACGGGGGATATAGACAGCGATGCATGGGCGATTCGCTATTCTGTGGATCAACTAATCCTAAACAGTGAGCCAGATCACCCCGGGTTATGCGTGGCGCAGTCCTTCTCTAAAAACTTCGGACTATATGGTGAGCGAGTGGGAGCTCTTCATCTCGTTGTACCGAGGTATCTTTCGGCGGAGGGGGCCAGGTCGGAATTAATTGCGCTTGCTCGGACGGAGTATTCGAATCCGCCGCGGTTCGGGGCGAGTATTGTGGAGATGGTTTGGGGGGATGAGGGGCTGAGGAGTCAGTGGGAGAGGGATTTGGAGACGATGAGTGTTAGGATTAAGATGATGAGGCGTGAGTTGCGGCGGAGGTTGGATGATAGTGGGGTCTCCGGGGATTGGTCTCATATTGAGAGTCAGATTGGGATGTTTAGTTATACGGGGTTGAGTGGGGAGCAGGTGTCTCGTCTGAGGGAGGAGTTTCATGTGTATCTGTTGCCGTCGGGTAGGCGAGTATTTGTGGGTTGAATGGGGGGAATGTTGGGTATGTGGCGAGAGCGATTGGGGAGGTGGTTGGCTCGGGGTTTTAATAATAGGGGGTTTGGTTGGTAAGTTGTTGCTGAATGCGTTGATTCTGCTCTAATTTGAGCTTTATTCTTGTCTGCGTTAAGGGAGACGGGATGTGCCCCAATGTTTAGAGTAGGAACGATCACTCTTAATCTCTTTCAGTCTGATATGGTGGGTGCCATGAACCTACATTATTGCCCTAAAACTAGGAAGATTCAGAGTCAAATGATTGTGGCGCATGGCACTCAGAGATCCTTGGCATCAAGCCACTGATGCGAGCACCACAACTTGTCAGAATCTCAAGATATGGTTGGCTGAACTAAGCCACCCCGAAGCCAGTCCGAAGATCAGGCTGAGTAAGTTCCCATCCCAGTAACCTTTGCGGTGGAGTGTGGCACAGCAATGCAGCGCATGTGGTACCGCTCATTGGCAGTCGATCCCCGCACCAAAATCTCACATCAGACGCGAGGCACAGAAATTCTTCAGCCTGGTTGAGGAGACATCCAACTTGAATATTAATGCAAGGCGGCCTGACTTGTCTCGGGAGTCACTGTCCTAACACATCTCACAATGGAAGATGAACCACCTTGTTACCACGACGCTACCCGCTTCGGGCCGGCATCCACCACCCCTCTCAAGGACACACAACGACCCATTCTGGAGAATAACAGTAATGAATATGCTCTCGTATCTTTCAGCGGGACGGATCGCATCCGACTCGTGCGATTCCCCGACGATCTTGTGACAGTGGTATCAGAAACACTGCGAAGGATTTGGTCAAAAGGAATCCAAGACGTAAGACGTCGAAACGACTACGTGGAGCTCAAACTTCGGGGAAATCCGTTCGCGTATAGTCAGGATGAAGAGAAAATCGCCATTCGAAAGACCGTGCTGGGAATACTCGAGACACTTGCCCAGGAAGGATGGTACGTGCTGCCGGGTGCCGGGGGGCTGGGAAAGATGAGGAGCTCTGGAGGAAGCGGGGAGAAAGGTTAGTGCGGACACTTCCAAGTCGAATATGTCTACTGACAAAAAGTAGATAGTCTAGTAATCCAGAGGCAGGAGCAGCCACAGAGCCACCTATCTTGGCTTTGCGTCTCCTTTGACTCTGATGATCTCATCCATCTTATTGACGCCCCATTCGAACTGGCGAGGTCGGTGATTGACATGTTCGGAGACAAGGTTGAACGGTGCAACCAAGACCTCGTCTCGGGAAATTTTGAAATCAAGTTACGTGGGAATCCCTGGACGCGTTCGTCTTCTGATGGCGCAGTGCAGGGTCGATTGATTCTTCTGGACGTGCTTCGGTGTCTCCAAGGCCAGGCGTATGCGCTGTCTGCGAATCTGGATTTGGATGGCGGGGATGGCGGAAGTTTGTATCGCAGCAGGGGCGAGATTTGGTTCTGCTGTCGATGAGGTGCCGGTTATTATTAGCTCTTTCAATTGATCAATGAATAAGTTGACTATGAGTCGATAAAGCCTGAGCAATTGTCCAGAAGGCATGGTCTCGGCAAACCTGGCTAGCCCTGCGCATCTGTGGGAGAGCTTGGGGCACGGAGAAACAACATCCAGTATCCAGGTGAGTCTGCTGAGTGACGGTGGGCTCAAGACATTCAATATTGGAAAACGCCTAGTTACCAATTTCGGCGAATCAGGGCATGACACGTCATTTCCAGCCATTTCCGGTCATGCCCATTGCTGTACAAAGGGCAGGTGCCCTTCAGAATGGATAATTCTTGTCAGTTATTTTCACCTGCGACGGTCCTTCTTTCCCTAACTATTTTCTATTGGAAGCTGGGTCAGCGCCATGCTTTGCGACTACTGCTCCGCATTTGCCGAAACGATTTCATCGCTGTCTTTAGAAAACTTCGAGCTTCGGAATCATTTAATACCTAAAGATTATCAGTCATTCGTCTTGAACGTCCAGCATCCTCTCCCCAAAGTTTCTGCGCTCCGTCACTCGGCCGGGAGCTGTACCCTATGCTCCTTCATCTTCAAGAATATCAGCAAACCTGCTTATGAAGTCTCTGAAGAAGTGCTGGGCACACTCGACGTCCCTGTCAAGATCTCGCTATGGGGCAGTTACGTGCGGCCGGATGAGTTCAAGATTCATTCATGTAGCATTGGGCTGGGTGGCAGAGATTACTTTTTTGCGAACTGCTGGCTGTATACCAACTCGGGTGGGTAGTTTAGCCTCTCCCTTACCTTGGGTCAAAACGCATTCATGTCTCAGGTGCAGCTTGACTTTATCATCTTTGGTTCCAGCAGGTAGAGTGGGATGGCAGTAGTCACCCACTAATTCTCGAAAGCCTCCTCATCATTTGATATCAAAGGAAACGAGATTGACATGCAGACACAGATGACGCCGAAAACCGCTCTGGCCAGTTGTTCTCGAACCCGCCTCCTCCCGCGGGATCTTCAGCTTCGTTAGCATGGATACAAGAGCGTCTGCACCACTGCCTCTCCAATCATGAAAGGTGCAGAGAGAGCATTGCAGGTGTACCACTTGATCCTAATCCGGTTCTTCCAACGCGGATCTTGGATTTGGGAGAAGGTAGAGACTGCCATGTCATCCACCTCATTGAGAGCACCGGGGCTCGAGGCCTTTATACTGCTCTCAGCTACTGCTGGGGGCCTCCAGACCACTGGCCCCTTCGCACCACAAATGACAACTTGCAACAGCATAAAAACGGAATTGCCATCGAAAGTTTGGCAAAGACATACCGAGACGCTATTACGGTCACCCGCAGTCTTGGAATACGATATCTTTGGGTTGATGCCCTATGCATCATTCAGGGAGATGCTTGCGACTGGAAAAACGAATGTGAGCTCATGGGCCAGTACTATGAGAAAGCGCACCTGGTAATCGCGGCATCTGGGGCCCTCAACCCTGCCGAAGGGTGTTTCCTCCCTCTTTCATGCTTTGGAGACGGTCTCCTTCTTCCATTCTATTCGGAAGGGGCCGTGGTTGGTTCCTTTAAGATAGAATTAGAGCCCCCGCCTGAGAGTCTACATCCCTCGTTTACCCCCCTGGGAGATAGAGCGTGGGCCACCCAGGAGTGGTGGCTGTCTCGAAGGATTGTTCACTTCGTCGCGGGCACTGTGATCTGGAGTTGTGTAAGCTCAGAGGAATGTCGATTTGGTGTATCTCAAATTGGCTACCCAGTGGATATGCACATATATCCAGACTGGCTGTGGCTTGTATCTGAGTATTCACGACGATCGCTTAGCCATGTCACCGACCGCCTTGCAGCCATCCAAGGGCTTGCCAACGAGTTCAAGAAGACCCGACAAGACGACTATGTGATGGGGATCTGGACAGGAGAACTTCCAACGGCCCTTCTATGGAAGGTGCGTAATGACGGATGGGATTATAGTCGGCCTGATGACCTATCTATCTTCCCTTCTTGGAGCTGGGCTTCTGTTGTCTGCCCTGTTAGAGAGTGTTACTACGCAATCCAGGATGCAGGGAAAGAAATTTTTGAACCGATAGCGACTATTACAGCAATCCTAAATGGCGGCATGCGACTGCGGGTGGCCGGCTGCATGACAACAGGGAAAATCACTGCATCATGCAGGGAGGAGGAATACGAGCCAACAACCCTCCGGCATCGTCTGCGTCAAGCTCTCTGCGATATTTCAGGACACGAAGGGGAACATATGGGTTGGGCGGTACTCGACGAACCAGATGGTCCCGTTGCAGATATACCGACACATTGTCTGATCATTGCTAAGTGGCTTACAGGGGATGAGGAGCCCCAGATTCCATTCTTTTGGTGCTTGCTACTTGAAGAGGGTAATCGGACTGAATGGAGCGCTGATGACATACCCACATTCCGTCGCATAGGAGTTGGTGTCATTTCCGAGCACGCCATGACAGGTACTGCAGAGAAAACTGTAGATATGATATAGATGCAACTGATGTATAGAAGTGTCTTATCAATCATGTCCCTTCCAACACATCCTATCCTATAACATCAGCAGTGAAATCAAAAGTTCATTACCATCTCACAACCTGCTGGTGGTAATCCCCGGTATGTGGCTGCGAGAGAAACCCCCGAAACTCACATGCATCCCAGAATATAGCACCCTACGCCTGGATCTGAATACTAGTAGAACAATAACAACTACAATCTTGCGATAAAACTACAACCAGCCAGTGTTTTACACACTCCGGCCAACGCCACTGTGAAGGCTTTTTGCCCAAGGCTTCGAATAACAGCCTAAGGCTTGGAGGATGGATTGGTTGGGCTGAATGATGTCTGTCATAGGGTGTTTCTCTGTTTCGATCTCCTGTAGAAAGAAAAGGCGAAGCTATACAGACGTCCGATTCTGCACACAGTAGCTAGGTTTATATAAGGATCAAAGTATCAAGCCTGCAGAGGTTCCTTCTAGTATCAGGGCCGCTACGCCATGGCTTACTGGGGATATGGCGAGGAATGATCAAAGTTCTTCAGTTAGATTGATTGGTATTATAATCTCTTAACGTAGCACTCTGGGGCTAGAATTCACGGCACCGGGGCATAATAGCTGAACTTGCCCGTGGGATCATACTTGGCCTTCAAAGCCCGCAGGCGCTGCTGACGCCACTTCTCACTACCGTAGAGCTGTTGCGGCGTCTCGTCTCCATGAGCATAGTTGACATACGCACGGATATCATCCCGACCGGTTCCCTTGAAGAGGATGTTGCGAAGCTCCTGGCCCAGGTTGGCCGCTCTGCGGTCCAACTCCGTGCCGTTCGGGTAGTAGTTGATCATAGGAGCAGCGAGAAGGTTCTCGGACCGGAAGGCAAAGGCACTGGACCGGCTATCAATGTCGTGCACACCTTCAACGGAGTATCCCTCGAACATGAAAATGGAGTTGTTGAAGGCAGAGGATCCACGAGTCGCGTTTGCGTAGAGGTCCCATGCCTTCTGCTGGGCCGCGACATCGTAGGATTTCATGTAGATAGGGTAACGGGGGTTGGCCATGCCCATCTTTTGGCAGGGAGGAGAGGTGACAGCAATCTCAGTCCAGGCAGCGAGGTCCTTGTAAGTACCGGAGTTGGATTCCACGGCGAGGGGTCCAATCTTATGGAAAGGCTCGGTGTAGGTGGAATTGACGGCGGTTACGCCTTCTTGGATGATATAGAAGACGATAACCGGGTTGGTCGGGTCCACATCGACAATGTTCATCCAGTACGACCAGTTGATTACGCCGGCGGGCTGCGTGCCGTTCTTGACCAGGTAGTTATTGGCGGCCCGGTAGACCTGCTCGACCTTGTCGCCGCTGAAGGTCAGCGTCTCGATGGCCCAGTCACGGTGCTGGATTTCGTAGACCTTCATCGTCAGAGAGGTGACGATGCCGAAATTGTGGCCCGCGCCCTTGACGGCCCACCAGAGGTCCGAAGTGGCGTCAAGTGTCGTCAGGGTTCCGTTGGCCAGGACGATGTTCATGGACACGAACTGGTCGAGGACGAGTCCGTGGTGACCTTGGAGCCAGCCGTGTCCACCACCAAGAGCAGGGCCAACCAGACTGACGCATTCGCAGGTGCCCGTGACGGTCTGCTTTCCTGCAGCCCACAGCTCGTCAGTGACCACCTTGGACATGGTTCCACCTCCCATCGTGGCGGTCTTTCCATCTTCCGCGACCTTGACACTGCTCAGCTGGCCCATGTAGATCGCGATTCCGTGAGTCATTTCCCCGAGAGAAATAAGTGCTCCGTGGACACCATTGTATGTCAGGAACGGAATGTCCTTCTGGTTTGCGAATTGCACCTGTTGCGTAGATTCGATTAGCTGCTATAGATTCCACCCGGGAGGAGAAAAGCCTACAATCTCCGCGACGTCATTTTCGGTGCCGGGGACCACCACGATGTTGACCTCGGGCTCGTCCAAAACTGACCACCGCGTGGTCGCATTCGTGAACCCGGTCGAGCCGGGACAGTAGACCTTGGCGGTACTTGACAGTCTGTCTCCGAGGGCCTTGAGGTCGTCCTGTTGGGAACAGAGACCGTCGAGTCCGTCGGTGGAGCGAGGCAAGAGTTGAGAGGCCGTGGCAAAAGCCCACGCGGCGATGGCTGTCACCACCTCCATCTTGAGGCGATACATGGCGGCAGAGATGTCGCCGAGCGATGAGGATGTGGGTGGAATGAAAGAAGAAAGAGGCTGGGGAAAGCAAACCGGTGGGTGGCTCGGTGACCGTCGGACTGCCCTCACGAGTCACTGGGACGGGAGATCAGATCCTTGTCGCCTGCCACTCCGAACCTTGGGGGCCCTCGTCTATTTCTAGCCGATTAGACCAGAGTCTGCGGAGTGCTAGCGTCGGTTGCTCTTTCTCAAATGAGATCCAGATTCTGCAGCTCCACTGCAACATTGGGTAACTCTCGAAAGTCGAAACCCTTGCCAAATCGAAGGGCGCCCTCCGTTGAACCAATTCATTCGCTGGAAGGGCCAGACGAGGGCCCCTTCTCCCCGAGTGGGTCGGACTAGCATCGGGGATTGCGGCAGGAGACGCGGAAGGGCTCACGGGTGGCACGATGCCCCCCCGGAGTGGAGCATCCCCAATCTAATCCCATTCGATTTCATTAAACTGCTGAGTTTTGTCTCGGGTGCGAATTAATTCATTGGGGAAACATAGGGGCAGGGTGGAATTGCAAGTAGTTGGCGAAAATATGCATTTCCGGGTGACCAACAAAGCTCTGCAAGAATTTCGGGTGCTAATTTCCTGGTCAAAAGTCGATCTGAGGGATGAAGAGCTCCCAGTTCGCCATTTCTGTTTATTACAGACCTTCCTGCGCTCAGAAGAATATTCAATCGATTCGCTGTCCTAGGCCAACATTAGCGCGTCTGTCCAGATCGCACTGCAATCTCGGCCAATTCACACTATGTGGACAGGTCTTCGGACGAGAGACGAGGCATCCAAAGCTGCCTTGAACAGCACGGTCCAGCTATGGACCCTCTATTCGATTGGGTGTGCAGTGACCCTCCTCAGGACATACTCGCGGTGGAAAGACATGGGCTGGCGTGGGCTACGCCTGGATGACTACCTGATATGGGTCGCGATTGTAAAAACTCCCTTCTAATCTCTCACCACCTCGACGAGTGCTAACACCATCTGGGTAGGCATTCTACACAGCGCAGGTAGCTCTGGCGTACAGCGTGGGCCAGTCAGCCCACGGCCTTGCAAATAACAGCATGACGGACAGCCAGCGGGCGGCATTGGCTGCAGGCAGTGCAGAATTTCGACGCAGGTCGGTCCCAAGCCCCATTGCAGCAGCTAAGGCGTTAACGAATTCTGACAGAGTGCTTGGCTCTAAGATCCAAATCGCGGGTTGGGCCACTTATTCAGCGATGATCAACTCTTTAAAGTTGTCCATGTTGGCATTTTACAGCCGGCTGATGGTATGACTATCGGCGATTTTCAGTCAGACGCATCATGATAGATAACTGACTGAGCTAATAGGAGGGCCTCGGTCGGCGTCATCGCATTCCAATCTGGATTGGGTCTGGACTGGTTGGTGGAACCTTTCTCGCTAGTGTAATAACCATCTTTGCAGCATGTCGGCCGTTCCACAAGAATTGGCAAATCCATCCAGATCCAGGCAGTAAGTCGTTTGCCTTCGTTCTGGTTTTTCGATCTTCCGATTCTCGCTCACCGTTGGGCTGCCAGATGTCTGTCAACCAGCCATTTCCAAGCCGGTCATCGCAGTGACCTTTGCTGCGAATCTCATTACCGACCCATTCCTAGTACTGATCCCGCTTCCCATGCTTTGGAGTTCAAGCCTGAAGCTACCGAAAAAGCTGGCGGTGACCCTTGTACTCGGGGCCGGGATTTTTGTCCTCGTCTGCGCGACGCTGAAAAGTGTTTTCCTTTTAGTGGTGAGCTCTAATTTCGTTCGTTCAAACGCGGGTCCGTCTCTGATCATAAGCCCAGGAGCCTGATAACGGCGCATCGGTTGCGGATGAATGGGGGACGCGAGAGACTTTTGTTGCAGTGGTCACCACCAATCTTCCCATGGTGTTGCACCTTTTGCGAACCTGGCTCGCCCGAGGATTCGGTAGTGCGTTCCAATCGTCCCCCAAGACATACCAATCGCCCTCCGGGGGGTTGGAGAATTATGGAGGGGCCAGTCGGACTCGTGGTCGAACGGGCAGCACGGATCCCATCACGGTGGGCCTGACATTTACGGAGAGTGAGGAACGGATGATGGACGACGTTAAGCTGCAGACCTTGGGACCATATGAAGCACCCGCCCCGGGGACTATCATAGTCTCGAACCAGGTTGAAGTCAGCCATGAAACCCGGAGTTGTCATCCCAGTGAATCGTCTGCCCCGTGTGGTCAAGGAACATGGTAGTAGCATCATTGGGGGTGTATATTTCAGCACCGGCGGAGATGCCCCGATGGCCAGTCACTCTAGTCTCAACTAGCCACGGGGTGACTCCACTGCGACCGGATGGCCTCGGATTGATCTTCGGAAAGCCCATGCCGGGAAACGGGTTGGCGAAAGGTGCTCTGCAGACTTAGTGGCTTGGCGGTTCAAACGGCACGGGAAGCCTAGGTCGTGCCTGCATCTGCTTCACGAACACTTAGCCCCAGCATTTCACTAGATGAACATTGCATACTCTAGCGGCTAGGTTGGCCTTGTTCGGACGATCGGGTTAGGAACCCCGAGCCTCTGGTTGGCTGAATAGCTGTTTAGCCTTCAGGTAGAGTCCACCGGGGCAGTACGGGACCTGGCTAGGGCTCAGAGCCAACGCAACAAGAAGCGGGGAAGACGTACCAGGACAAGTGTCTCGAAGATCTACTCTGCATACCTGGTGAGGGCTTGGCTACAACAAGAATGGGGGCGGGAACCTTTCCAACGCGTACGCTATGCTAAACATCGCATATGGTCATTGACAACCTCCACTCAGGATAAGTCAGTTGGTCGGCTAATACTCGGCCGAATTAGACGTAGTTGATTCCTCCTGTTTTTATGACGTATCTATATCGGTTAGTGGGGACCAAGTAAGGCAATCGGGCGTCGGACCTCGTTCATTTATGGTATTGTTATCTCCCTTGCGCCACAGCGGCACCTCATCCAATGGCGCGGCCATCATCGCTGGCCTGCGATTTGCACTCATGTATCTTCTCGGGCCCAGGCTAGCCACCGACCAGCCCAACGGTGTACGACTCATCACCGTCTCATAATCGTACTTTGTCACCGCTCGGTCCAACGTCGCCTGATCGCAAGGTTTCAATCCAGGAATTCGTAACCGGGTTCCCTTGTCAATCAGAAATCGTGCCATCTCGTAATGACGAATATGCAAGGCGCGGTGCAACGCCCAACCACCCCCAGCCCGAGCAGGATCGGCGCCGTACTCGAACAGTAGGCAGACCACCTCCATCATGGCATTCTTGACCTCCTGCGAAGGATATTTGTGACCTTGCGACGGGGACCCGAGCCATTGTCCCACAGCTCGGGCCAGGGGTCCCTGCGTGTCACTATTGGCGAGATTTGGGTTCGCTCCTGCCTCCAGAAGGAGCCTACACATCTGGACTTGTCTCCGTCCTGCTGCAATGCCCAAGGGCGATGTATGCCTATCCCTCCCTCGGAAATTGCCGTCGACCCCCGCAGTCAGCAGCATGCTCACCGTCTCCTCATGTCCGGGCTCCGGGTTGTCCAGTAACTCCACCAGGGCCTCGCAGATTTCCGGGTACTCAAAGAATGGAGGTCGATACTTCCGCTGCTCAGCATCCAATAACAATACTCTCACTATCACGGTGTACCCGCAGCGGGCAGCCTCGCGCATCGCCCCACCAGGGGACCATGGATTTATCCCTCGTGCCAGGAGCATTCTGACAACGTTGACGTGATTTCGTGCGGCGGCACGTATTAGAATGGCATTGTAATCGGACTGCGTTAACCTATCACTCATTCCCGCGTCAAGCAAGGCTTCGATAAATCCGGTATGACCCTCTCCTGTTGCTATGAATATCGGGTGTCTGTGCGAAGGGCCCGACTTGGACCCACGGTCCCGTGAGGGTCGGCCTCCCCATAAGGACCGACAATAGAGATCGGCTCCCGCGCCAAGGAGCTTCTTCAGCACGTCAGACTTATCGTGCCTTGCGGCCCATGTCAAGGCGGGGGCTGGGATATGGTGTGCCACGTGGTACCGGTAAAGGAAATGGTTGAGCTGGGCGAAAAATAGCCGGCTGGTTCGTGCCAGAGCATTGATGGCATGCTGGCAATCGAGAAACTCGGCGATGATCAAAACCAGCTCTCTGGGCAGGCGAGCGAGGCTCATGGTGCAGGGGTCGCCCCAGAGGGGAAGTAGGCGAAAGTGTCAGCAGTCAGCGTCAGCGTCAGCACCACGAAAAGACGCGGCTGCTGGTGGGGAATTATATAGCCGCCAACCGCCATCGATCGCGGGTCCCGGGCCACTCGGTGCCCCTTGCACGGGCGCGTGATAACTGATAAGGGATGGCCTTGCTCCACCTCGCCTGCTAATTAAATTGAATCCTGGCGAGCAACCACTTGATGGCGCTGTCATCCAGCATAGATAGTTCGATCATCAGCGAGCTTGATTGGTTGAGAGTCGACTGTATTGCGCGTGGTTCGGGCACTAGTTGCATCCTACCGACGGCTACCGCAGCCAGGAATGCACCATCGCCGTCACCCCCAACAGCCATAAGCATAAGCACATCTTTCCGTTGAGTTCAAGGTACCACAGCAATCTCCAAAGGCCTATCATCCGCCATGCTTGGCGGGTCCCGAATGGTAGCTCGACCATGGGGGATATATCCTCGACACGTGTTCCTCGCTGTCTGATCAACGGTCTCGCAAGTCGGGGCAGAAGGTTTGCGTCAAATGAGATCGGGGAATCTGGGATAAAAGGAGGAGCAGATAGAAAGCCAACATCACACCACATACAACGACATCAGACATGATGATGCTGAACTGGATCGTGCCCTTCGTGCTGTAGTGAGGCACTCCGATGAGATGCTCTACGGGAGCGGGCAGGTGACTCGGAATACTTTCGGCCGATGCATGTATCGAAGCCGGAAGAGCTAAGGAAGCCCATCTTTGGTGCTTGTGGGGACTTCTCACATAGCGGGTTTGATCGCGGGGAAGGATCGTACGGGTGGTCCACGAGAAATGAGTCTCGGTAAGCAGGATTGAGGCGATGGGATATGCCAACGGCCGAAGAAATCGGGGGCGAAAAACAAGGGATAAAACAGCCGGTCAAAGAAGAGTGTGCCGCCCAGTAAGTACAAACTGTGTTGAGAACCATTGAAAAGAACCGCGATGCCGCCGCGGTGGTGAAGGGAGGAAAGCGAGTGCCCCTCGACGCCTTCTTCTTTCTGCCCCCGGTTTCCGACCAGTGACAGGCCTGAGGCATCCCAGTTTCCAGGATCATGTATTCAGTCTGAACCCGAGGGGACTCAAGTTCGGTCATCTCCGAGAAAGTCGGATCATCCCCGGAGGATTGGATAAATGTATTGAAGAACTCGCAGACGAGTGTCACAAGAAACCTAGCCATTGTTAGGTTGGCAGGTGAGTACCAGTGATAAAAGGGATCTATGTATGCTATAAAGACACAAATACATCAGGACATCTTCTACACATTCAACCTTATCAACACAATCCAGTAATCCGCAAACAACAATCCATACCCTTCCAAGACAACAAACTAGCAGCGCACAATGACCTTCACAGCTGACTCATCTTCACAACAGTGGAGATGTGCTTAGTCACTCGCCAATCTGCATACAGCTTCCCCACCCCACCCCAGCTCCAGGTCCGTCAGCACCTCACATCTTACTCTCCACAATTCTATAGAGATGGCCATCGGGAGCTGTTTCTGCAACAACATTCGCATCGAATATACCGGCCAACTTCTCATCTCGGCAAGCACAATTCCAAACCCAATCCACACTACCACCTATATCCATCATCTAACATCCACCAGGGCCTCTGTCACTGTCTCGACTGCCGCAAACTAACCGGAGCACCTTATAGCTACAACTACATTGTGAAAACCTCCGGGTTGAAGGTCTCCGGGACTGTAAAAGAAGTGGCAAAGACATCGTCATCGGATAGGAATTATTTCTGTCCGGAGTGTGGTATGCATTCATCCCTCTGTCTGGAAGAAAAGGAAAATGGTGTCTGATGAAGGGGTGTTTTGATAGGGACGCCGGTTTTTTCGCGGAAGGAAGGGGCTAATGAAGATTCTGACGGTGTTACTATTGTTCGGGCGGGAGTGTTTAATGACGCTATTTTGAATGAAAGGAAGCCTCAGGTGGAAATTTTTGCGGATATGCGGTTGGAGTGGGTGAGGCCTGTGGAGGGGGCGGAGCAGTTTGGTGGGATGTTGGATGTTTGATAAGCTGGTTTGATGATGGGAGTGAGGGGTTGGGGTACTTCTGTATGATACGTGAGAAATATAGCGTTGATTTCATGGTTCTCGTCTTCTAATGGTAATTTACAAGAAAAATGCATTGCTATCAAGTGTGTTGATCCCTAGAGATACATTATTCAATCAATCAAGACGAAGCAGGAAGGACCCAGGTAGTCACAGATTCACTGGGGATGTTTCCACTCCATTCCTCTCCGCTTTCAGTGGACAGTGTGAGGTAGATGTCGTTACTGAACGTATTCTCGATCACAACCGTGCGTGTTCCATCTGGGTTCAAAGAAGCCACGGACTGGATACCTCCACCGTTCGAATAGGTATAGCTACCGCTTCCATTAAGCACGATCGCGCCAGAAGGCATGAATTTGCTAAACTGCGCCATCATATAATAGGCAGTATTAAGAGTGTAGCTGTCAGCACTGTTGATGGTGACCAAGCCCTGGCAGTTATCGCACCCACCACTCGTCAGGTGCGGTCCGTCATCAGTGTTGGTGCCAAGGGTCCAGGCCATAACTCCCGAAGCGTAGTTCTGGAGAGGACCCATGGTGAAGTCAGCAGCCTGGTGCCATGATCCAGAAGCCGGCGTCCAGCATTCAGTCATGTATTGCTTGACTCCAGGGTTGGAGCTGTAGAACTGGCTAAGGACTGTCCAGTCGACATTCGTAGCGTAGCAGTGCCAAGCTACAGTGTCAACATACTGACTAGCTCCGTTGAGCACGGTCTGGGGGTAGGATGTCACATCTACAATCATAGTCAGCAAAGGCGGAGATAGCTCTCAAACTTGGAACAGCTACCAGTATTGTGGTCATAGGCCCATATCTCCGTGCTCAGCCCGGCATTGGCGAGAGCTGGCCCAATGTAGTTTTGGATCAACTGCGCGGACTCGTAGTCGTAGACGTACATGGTAGGATACCCGGACTGACTGTTCAGGGGCTCATTCTGGATGGTGATCGCATCGATCGTAGCGCCCAATGCTTCGTATGCTTCAATGTACTTCACAAAGTATTGGGCGAATTCGCTGGAGTAGCCGGTGCTTCCCGTACCGCCACTCGTGAGGTAGCCGTCGTTCAGGTTGTTATTGGTCGTGCTGCCATCGATCACACCGTTCAACTTCATCCAACCTGGGGCACTCCATGGGGACCCTAGCACTTTCAGGCTTGACTGCAGCGACTTCATCGAGGCCAACATTTTCGCCATGGCAGTTCCACGATCGCCCAGGTTGAACCCGGAAAGCGACGTGTCAACACTACCCCCGTTATCATCGTAGGTGTATGCTGGGTCTCCAGACAAATCGGATGCGCCGATTGAATGGCGCATCAGAGAGAAGTCGGCGCCATTTGATGTCATCAGCTCATTCAGGAGCTGCTGGAGGGTCGAGCTCGACAACGTGTTGAAGGAAGTGACCGTCGCATCGGTGACTGCCGCCCCAAAGCCCGTAATAGATTGCTTGTGACCGGAAGATGTATCGTCGATGGTGAGCTTCCAGGTGGATTCGGAGCCGGGGCTACCACTTCCCTGTACGGGAGCTGTGATGGACGAGAGCTTGTAGTTGCCTGCTGAATTGGAACAATATGCGGAGGCGTCGGTCGCGCGTTTCCCGGGAGAAGCGTGACCTACAACTGCCAGGCCGGTAACAGCCCACAACAGAGTGCTCATAACCATGTTTTCGGTGTTTAGGGAAAGGGATGTTCCTGAATCAATCGAAGAATCAGGGCAGAGCCCGGGAATATATCCTATGCATTCTTGGCCCCCAAGCTGATGTTTCAGGGACGGTCACCCGCCCCGTGTGCGGCTGTGAGACAGCCCAGTCAATACCGAGACTAATGCAGAACAGGCCTTGGATTTCTGTCCTGAATGAACTTTAATGTCAGACGGGATTCCTGAAGGGGGAAATGGGTCTGGGTGGGGGCCCGGAAGCTTATTCGCCTGATAATAATAGCCGCCCGCTTTCAGATCCGGCGCATTCCGAGGCGATCAGGGGCTTGACATCGCCCCGCGCGTATAAGCTGGGTCTAGGTACGGAGCAGGTTGGTTGCGGGGATCTTATCAGACCCAGTCCATCCCGTGTTTCCTGCTGCTTTTGCCGGATTTGTCGGGGTTGCTTCTCCAAGATGCTTTCGTGTGTTGTCTCTGGATACTTTTGGGTTGTAAAGCCTGTTTGACTGGTTGGGAATCCATGTGGTACCAATATGGGGCCATAGATCGATCGAACTAGAATTGAGGGGGTATCTTGTCAGTGGCTGGTGGGATGATAACAAACGTATGTCAAGGGGGCTGGGAAGATACACGTTTGGTAGACTGTGCAGAGAACGTTGGGGGAATTTCTGTCAACCAATCGCAAATATGCCGCACACCCTCATAATTGCTTCTTTTCTCTGGGGCAAACAAATGAGTCCGGGCTTTCGATATCTACCGCGTGCAGCTTGATAGTGACGCTCACTGCTACCAAATGTGAAGACTGGAGAGAGGTCAGTGGAGAGGAGAGGAGACCGGAGCGGAGGAACGAAGGCGACAGAAATCGTGGTCGGCAGCCACGTGATAGCGTGTAGGCAGGCAGTAAGTTGTCGTCTTCGTCTTCATCAAGACTCGACTCGACCCGAGACCAGGCAACCTATACTTGCCTGTCGACGATAATATTCTTGCTTAATCCATATCTGGGACCTACTGCATTGTGAACTCGCCCAAAGAGATAAGGCATCCCGAGGAAAAGCCCTGTGACCAGAGACAAAAAAAGAAATAACAGGATTCTGAGCCAGACCAGCTTTGCTGTGCTCACGCCCGCTTCCATAGTAACCGACACCACCCCCGCTTGGAAGTGATACCATACAGAGCTTTATTTTTCTGAGACTACCTGGGGTCTTTTTATAATCTACTAGTTAGCTAGCCGTCTGAGAAATCACACGATTTGTCAAGTAGACTAAAAACCACAGCTGGGTGCTGGTCAGTCCTGATATGTCAACCGTCTGTCACTCTTGAACCCATTCCGTTCTATAGATTTTTTGCCCCAGGCATATACGGACCGTCAAATCCCGCACACCCGCGGATCTAATCTACACACTCTTGGCGATAACACTAGCCGATGTTATGATTGACGACAGTAGTTATCCAAGATAGGTTGGCCATAATCCCAACGGTCCGAAATGCGTCAAGACAACGGTGCCCGGGTTGGATGCATGAACAAATGGCTGCAATCCATAAGCCTTTCTTGCGAGGATTGGCCATCACCCGGTTGTGTGGGGTAGTGGTTATCCCTTCGGATTTTGAGTACTCTGTGCTGCAGAATTTCCGACAACCCCGGTTCGAACCCGGGCACGACCTTTCTTCTTTTTTCCTCCCACATCTGCCTCTTTTTTGCTGATGGTCTTTTTTTTTTCAATCGCTTGCTGTTGTTCAATTGTAATTTTCCTACAAAATTTGAACTGGACATAAGAATATGTCCTTCATGACACCATAATTACCCCTCTTTTAGTCAGTACAGCCCTTGGATGCAATATTTTGACTCGAAAGAAGTTCACTCTTACTCCCTTGAGGACAGCACCGACATCACGCATTCACATACCCCCCCCAACGCTTCCAAAGCCCTATAAAGCACCGCATTCGGCTGCTCCTCCCCCTCACCCTCTTCACACTTCTCCAACCCCAAATCAAAAACATGCTCCGCCCCCAGCACGGGAAAATACCTCACCCCCGCCCTCCCTCCTCCAACCTCCTCACCAACTTCTCACTCTCCTCACAACTAACCTCCTCATCCCCAGTCCCATGCACCACCACCGTCCGCGGGAACCCCTTCCCAAACACCCCAAAATCCAACGGAAACAACATCTTCCCATCATCATCATCACCCACCACCTGTCCCAACCCTTCCCTCAAAACCCTCCCCCCAAGCCCCTTCACCCCAGACAAATAATCCAAAAACAACCCCCTCTCCAAAACCGCATACAACAACGGCAATCGCTTCCTGGTCTTCACCTCTTCCTCCGATTTAGGAAACTCCTCACCAAGAGATACCTCCCCGCGGGAAATCCGCCCCGGTATATCCGCTATCAACATCCCCGCGGTATCAGAATCCATCACAGACCCAGGTAACGAGAAACTCTGTGCCCATTTCTCACTCCCGGGATCGGTCATCGGGTAGAGGAGGAAGAGCGCACACGGGGCCGGGATCGGAATTGGTATTGTCTCAACGGGCGTTGCATTTTGCAACGCCGTGACAAGAGCGCACCATCCACCGGCACTTGCGCCTGCCACAATGATGCGATTTATATCAGGGCGACATTCGGGGTGGAGTTGGGGTAGGGACTTCGCAACCCATTTGTAGGCTAAGAGGATATCGGAGATTGTATCGTGGCCGGTGGATTCAGGTAGCACGCGGTAGTCGGGGGAGATTAGGGGCCATTGGTGCGTGAGGGCGTGGTTGAGGAGCCAGGTGGGGATGGCGGTGCGGGTGCCGGTGATCTGGGATGGTTGAGCGGGGGATTAAATATTGGGTTGAGTTACGGAAAACGTACGAGGTATCCGCCGTGGAACCATAGGATGATGGGTTTGGGGGTTTTTGGATCAGTCGGTTGGGATAAGTATACGTCGAGATGGAGGTCTGTTGTTTGGTGGGTGGTGTAAACGTGGGTGTGTTTGACGTGTGGTTTGAGGGCCATGCTGACGGAGACGCGTGTGCGTGCTGACGCGAGGGAATCGGGGACTAGGCTAGTAGTTTGGTAATTAGGTGCAGGGATGTGGTTCTTATCTATCGGATCGAGTGTGACTCAATTAGATATTAATTGCCGCATATAACCGAGCCTAATATAGTTACTTGTCATCCTACGACCCATGTTTTGATTCCCGCGGCTTCATATTTTGATCTTACCTAAGATAATAGACCGTGTGGTTGAGTTATCGATCTTTTGCATCATTTAAACTCACTCTATTTGATCCCCAATCTCTCATAAAGGGCATTTAAGTTCGGCTCTCGGCCCAAATAATCCAGCAAACTCTTAATTTCATCCTGACCTCCGCCTTTTTCTAGAATCATTCGGCCGAACCGACGGCCTTGCTTCGCGTTTAGCGGGTCGGATTGGAAAATGGTCGAGAACATGTCGAGAGCGTAAAGCTCAGCTCTGCACGGATTAGCATTCGAGGGAATGGTGATAGGGATCAACAACGCACTGGAGATACTCATAATAGCCGACATCATAAGCCCCTAATAAATGACTGAAGATCACTTCTCCATGACCCTAATCGTACCGTCCATGCTGCACTTCAGGGCCTTCTACAAAGGCCTCGGTCTTCCGAATAAAGTTGAACACCTGAGAGGTATTCATGTCTTGTATAGCTTCGTGAGACTAAGGGCTGTGCACTACTATATCAAACATAGACAATGACAGCTGCTGCAGATAGGAAAGTGCCATAATCACCTGCCTAGTCTGCAATAAACTATAAGTCATATCGTCCGGAATGCGTTCCCCGTTTGATAATGCTGACTGATAGACTGCAATGGCATCGGCGACCAGAACCACTTTTCCAATATCTTACTGGTGGTTCGCAAAAATCATTCACAATCATTGTACCGTGGAAGTGGGCGAAGATGGTTTTCGCGACTAGATCATGAATCCCATGGCCTAGTTCATGGAAGAGCATAAGGAGTTCGCTGTGTTTCAGCAGACTGGGCTTTACTGGGGTAGGTCTGGTGAAGTTGCAGACTAATGCTGTGGCTGGATAGCTTTGCTTTCCGTTGGTGTCGGTGAATCCCTACACTGCATTAGAAAAGATCAAGCGTAGGGCTTTTGATACATACCCGCTGAAGATTAAAGTTAGCCGCATGACCATATCTACCCGAACGAGGGTGTAGATCAATGTAAAGCTACCCAAGGAACTTGTTTTCTTCGGCTTCGTCATCCCAGACACTGAATATCCGAACATCCGGATGCCACACGAGATCGCTCTCACTGTCCAGCTCAATGAACTCCAACTCGAGAAGGCTCGCAAAGATTGAAAACATCTTCTGGAATGTGATTTTAAAGGGAAATACTGTATGAAATAATTTGGGGAAGATTTCAAGAAGTTGGGATCAATGAGGAACGGAGATAAAGAGAAGAGAGGAAGATTGGGGCGGGAATCGGGATACACTAGCAGCCAATTGACCAATAGGCACGAACTACCAAAGCCACATATATTATCACGATAAAATACTAGCTCTATATCGTCACAGCAGTCCATGTTGAATTGACCAATTCCTTTCCTCCGATGTTAAAACCCCGTCCCCTTCAGTCATCAGAGCCCTTAACAGCCACCCCCCACAAGACTGTAATAGCATACAGACTGGAAGCAGAGTCCACATTTGGAACTCGTTTGTTTACAGGTCTTATCGGTTGAACACGAATCCGCTCCGCACCGAATGATCCGTTTGTCCAAAGACGAACGAGAGACAAGACTATCCTCTTGCTGCGCATGATAAACCGCTTTGGCCTCGGCAACCCACTCCTGGGCCTCTGCCTGGAGGTCCAAGTCCTCGCTCACGGTGGCGAGCAATTCCTGGAACCGGTCTGCCTCTACCGTATAAGTCTTGTCGCTCGGAGATAGATCGAGGCCCATGGCAAAGTAATCGCGGTATTCAGCGGTCAACTTGGCAACACCATAGCTCACACCATTGACCACCCACAGGTTGCCCTCCGTATCGGTATCGTAGGCGGAGAGGTACTCAATAGCGACCATTTGCGCATCCGTGACATTGCCAATGTCAGTGGCATATTTGTGGAACTGGAGCCCGGTGGATTCGACTAGGAAGAGCGGGTTGGCTTCGTCGGTCGAATTGGGGGACAGGGAGATGCCTTTGATGCAGTCCATAGCGCGAGTGAGAGTGGCAGTGGCCAGAACGGCAGTAAGAGAGAGGAAATGCATTGTGGTGGATTGGTCTTTGCAACGGATTGGATAAATTGCTGGGTAGGAGAGACTTTGGTCGAGACGAGCGTCGCTTTATACCTGGGAAAGCGTACTTTCGGTATCTCTTGGACCGAGTACCTCCGATAGAGCCTTATCATTGATGGGAGGGCAACACCTCGGAGCTGATAGACGTTGTCTGTTCATTTAATATAAACTGATAACAGATTGAAAGCTTGTTTGCTCGGGTCAACGCACTAGAGCTCACTAGACAGCATTTAAGCTACCGGGTTCCTGATCCTATCGGACTCCCGTTGGCTCCCGCATCCTTTGCCCGGGCTTTGGGCCCTGCTAGGCGCTCCTGGTGATCCGGTCGTCTCCGAATTGCCCGATGTGCCTAGCTGTGACATCTTGTAGATTCTCTAGCGTGGATGACCCTTCTGGGTCCATTGTCAATGCCATCCATTCGTCTTAATCCCGCAGGGGTCTCTCTAGCAGACTGGTCAAACTGAGTAATGACCGCCCAGAAAAGAAAAAAAAGGTTAGATCGGCAGCCGGACTCTTGGGATCGAACCTAAACAGCGCCTATAGCTTGAGATATAGATGTAACTGCGGGGATAGAAGGGAGGGCGCACAGTCCTGGTCAAGCCCCTCGTCACCCGACTGGGCTATCTATGCAGGAAGATTAGTACGGTCACAGAGAGGAAAGGTCAGACTAAATCGATGGTTCCCTGCCTAGAATTCTTCTGTGCCAGTTAGTCGGAGGAAAGCCAACGAGCGATGCGTTAAAGCGGAATTAATTCCTGCAGAGAGAGATACCGCCCGATTCTGATAAGAAGGTTACACCCGGGTATAAGCAGAAGGAAAGGCTTTTGGATCCCTGGCTTCTTGAGGCGCAGTCACTTCCTGTCCAACACCTTTCCTTGTTTCCACTTCATCTGTCCTTCTCTTTCCCCGGCTTCACAACAACCGTGGATCCATCCATACCAGAACAAAGCGACCCCGCTCCATCCGATCAGGACACCGGAGATGCAGTGCGAGACTTAACCGCAGCCATTTAAAGGCTGAATAGTCTGTTTAGTCTGGAAATTAGGCGCGAGATGTTGAACAATCTCGAGAAGTGGCTGAACAGAACGATCCTGTCTTGAAAGCCCATGATGAGGAAATTGAAAGTGGACATCCAACACAGATCACAGAATAGAACAAGGTACAGCTGATGCTACAACAGGAGATTGATGCAGAAAATAGTGCCTGTTCGGAGACGTATTCTGATACGTTTGTTCCTGGCTGGAGAAAGCTCGAACTAACATGACGCAGTCTTCTGGGAGAAGGTTGCATTCACGCCAGTTGACCAACAGATCAGCAAAGATGCATATGGATTGGCATTTGATCGGTTTGGGCAGATCTATTGATCTTCAACGCAGCGACACTCAACCAGTATCGCGATACTCTTTTAGAAGCGCTCTTCGCCCATGAGGCTTACCGGCGGAGTAATCGGGTTGTAGCTCATTTAAAAATGTAGTAAAATCAAACCCGGCGCTAGTTTCCCCATTAGGTGTAGTAATAAGAACAGACTTATCTACATCGGGTAACTACTTCGGGGCCCACATCAAGGTATGTATAGGGGAACATGGGATACAGATAAGAAACACCTTTCTAACGGGACCTATCCGATTAATGCAGGTCAAAAAAACATGAAAATATGCAACCGAAGCGGCTTCTCGTACTGTGCGGGTCTACCTTAGCGTCCCGCCGGGATGCGCTGTATCCGAGAGTGGCTATAGATAATGAATATGCCATTTGGAATGCCGGGGCCGTTCCTGCACCCCAAGGTCTTCAGGGGCCTAGCAGTCGGCGGCTTTTCCGTGGTTTTCTACAAAGATTTGTATGGAGGAAGATGTATATAGGGATTACGCTGCAAGGTCAATTGACCGTCACACCCAGCTGAAAATCCGGTGCCAATGTTATCTTCCCGGACCAGAACTCACTGGTCTGATGTAATTTAAAAATTCCTAGACTGTTCTATCGTACTGGTGCTATATCTGGCAACAGCTAACAGGCTGTGGTCGTCTCCTTATCGTTGAAGAATAACCGAGCATTGAGTCAGTATCTTGTGTGTTATTTGCTGACGAAAGATAAGGCTAGCTGTATCCAGCGGACGCGTGGAACAGTCCCATCTAAGGTCCTATAGCAGATTCATAGTGGTTTTATAGTAGTATGAGCAGGAGTGGGGAACCTAACATCTAAAGTGCGGCTTAAACTTCTCCCCGGCGGAAGATACATCCGATGTAGCCAATCAAATCACGATATAGTAGGCGACGCCGATAGTGCTATGAACCATGTGGCCTTTAGAGTTAAACTACCTGACGAATTCTGTCCTAAGTCGTATCATGTGCTATCCACTTGGAAGATGTCAGTATGGAAGTGTAAGCACGACAGGCCGCATCAGTGTGGATACAGTCGACAACGAGCTAAAACATAAATTCTAGCGAGCCATGGTGTGAAGGCATAAATAGAGGCAGATATCCTCAAGTTATATTCTCTGTCTATCTCCAACAATCATCTCTCTCTCTCTCTGGACCTATTTACCTTTCAAAGTCTACCCAAATCTCCTGCACAAAACATCTTCTTCTACCACATCAATGGCCTACCAAAGAATCATGCAGGCGCTGCTCGGAGCCGCCGCCGTCGGTCTGACCCATGCAGCAGCTACCCCTGAAATGCAGAAGCGCTCATGCTCCTACACCGTGAGAGACACCTACTGTTTCACCGACGGCGACGCGATGGACTACCGAGAGCTCACCACCACCCAACTGGATGGTATGGTCACTTCCATGCACACAATGCTCGACGATATGAATGCCGCGGCAGTGACCTCCAAGACATTGGAGTACTACTACGAGGGCATCGTTTGTGGAGACGACAACCAGTATACCTGCGATGCCGCGATCCTCGTTACCACCCAGAGCGATGGCGATATTGGCACCTGTGTGATTGAGAAGTCAAAGACTGTGTTTGACGACCTGCTCTCTCTTTGCGGACGATCGGGAGGTTGGCTGGAGATTACCTACAGTAATGGTGCTGAATGGCTGTATGAACAGTATGCCACCAGTGGGGCGGACACGGCTTGTCTCTATGGTGGAAAGTGTCTCACTGTCGACTGTTCTGCTTTTGATGATTGTGTCAAGACTGTGATTTCTTAGGCGCTTTTCTTATCTCAAGAAGAGAGTTGGCGATGGTTTGTTGGGGTTGTTTGGGGGGTTGTCGGAAATGATATGTTGATCTTGTCTTGGATCCTTGCTGCTGTTTTCATTGAGATTTGGTTAGAAGGTATTGTGATGAATTACAGGTGGATAGATTTTTAGGAATGATATCGAATAATATTATGTTAGGACACGAAGCCGAAGAAAACGAGTGATATTGGTATGACTAGCTAGGAGGCTTCTGCCTATGCGGGATGAAAAGGATAACATCACAGTGGCTAATATGATAAGGCACGTGACGTGTTCGCTTACTAATTAATTAGCTGTCTGGATAACGTAATCGGTAAGCGAGTGGCCACCCGCGTTCCGAAAACACGCGTTTTTTCAACCACAAAGCATTGAATCCGCGATATCACCACCAAAAAATGTCCAAATCGTTAAAAAACGGTGTTGAACAAGAGGGCCGGATCGTCCTCGCAATTGAAGCTTTAAAAAATGGCGATACTCCTAATGTGGCCCAAGCAGCCCGCGATTTTGAAGTTCCTCGATCAACTCTCCGGCATCGTCTGCAGGGAATCAAATCACGTACAGAAATATGCGCAAATTCATTAAAATTGACTCCTGCAGAGGAGGAAGCCTTAAAAAAATGGATAATTTCTTTGGATCAGCGAGGCCTTCCACCCAGGCCTTCATACGTTCGTACAATGGCTACTCTCTTAATCCAAAAACGTGATCTGAACTACCGTACAGATATAGGAGAGAAATGGGTATATAACTTCATCAAAAAACATGATACTTTGAAGTCTCGCTTTTCCCGCCGTTATAACTATCAGCGCGCTCGCTGCGAGGATCCAAAGATGATTAGCAAGTAGTTCTCTCATATTCAAGCTACTATATCAGAGTACAGTATCGCAGATGAAGATATCTACAACTTTGATGAAACTGGATTTGTTATGGGAATGGTGGCTACTGCGCGTGTTATTACCAGATCTGACTGTATTAAAAGACCGTTCTTTATACAGCCTGGGAATCGTGAGTGAGTAACATCAATCGAATATATTAACACAGCTGGCTGGGCCTTGCCTCCGTTCGTGATTCTTAAAGGCAAGGTTTATATATAATCATGGTATCAAGATAGAAAGTTACCTTCTGATTAGAGACTTCATATATCACCGAATAGATGGACTACTAATAAAATAAGCCTTTTTTGGCTGCGTGAACACTTTATTCCATTCATCCAAAGCCGAAGAACTGGGAAATATAGCCTCCTAATACTCGACAACCATGACTCCCATTTAACACCTGAATTTGACAAAATCTATAATCAAAATAATATTGTTCCTGTCTGTATGCCTCCGCACTTCTCACACCTGTGTCAACCGTTAGATATTACGTGTTTTTCGCTATTAAAACAGGCGTACGGCGGGCTGATTAAGAAGTTGATCCACGCAGGAATCCACAAAGTTGATAAGAAGGATTTCTTGAATACATATCCAGATGCTCAATTATTCGCTTTCAAAAAAGCAACTATACAGAGTGCTTTTCGCGCCGCAGGGATAGTGCCTTTCTCACCTACCAAGGTGGTTAACCAGCTTGTTTACTGCCTCCGTGATACTAACCCCCCCCCCCCCCCAGCCGGCCAAGTACAGCTTCAACGATACCAAAGACTCCTAATAACGTGAGACAATTAAAGAAGCATGAATCTACTATCAAAAAGGTGCTTCGCGAGCTCTCGAAAAGCCGTCTACATCGATAAAGACTGCTTTATCATATATAATAAAAGGCTGTGAGATTGCGATCAATCAAACAACCCTTCTTGAAGCCGAAAATCGCCAACTCCGAGAGGGAAAAGAGCGCCAAGAAAGAAAGAAGAAAAGGAGTCATCGCTAAATGACTGGTTTTGATGGTCTCACCGTACAGGAAGCAATTGAGGCTTTTCAACAGCCTCGTCAAGCCGGCGAAGCACCTGGAGGCGAGGTGATCCAGCCAGCTGACTATGAGGAACAACCTCGCCGCCGCGCGCCACCCCGGTGTAGTGATTGTAATCAATTAGGCCATAAACGTACACACTGCCCTACAAGAGAAATCAACTAAAAAAATACATTTTCAATGACTTCAATATGTTGAAAAACGGCTTCAAAAATGTATGTTGATCGGAATACGCGGGAAGGGTGGCCACTCGCTTACCGATTACGTTATAGCTTCTTAAATAAGTAAGAATATCAGAAATAATATATATAAAGCTAGACTTTTTATTTTATAAAGTTCTATAACTAGTTTTCAGGTAAGTATAATATAATTTTTCTATCTAATTAAAAATATCTTTTATAGTTGTATTTCTCTTAAAACATATTTTTCTTATTTAAAATCTTTTTAACTTTCTATTTTATAGTTCTATCTTTGATAATTATACTATTGAATTATCAGTTAATAATCTCTTATATTAATAAAAGATCTATAATAGCGGGCTAAAATAAGTTAGTTTAAAATATAAGATAAATGTCAAACCCTAGGATCGCTTCTCCCTGTCCCTGTTAGCTTAACTTCGTTCGTATACGTACCTTCAAACTGAATCGAGGTGGTGTCGGACTGATGACTATCTAAGGTGACTGGTCTTGAACAAGAGAAGAGAAGTAAGGCCAGATAGTGCCGCGCAGCTATCCGTAAGTGAGTACAGACGAGTGTTGTCGCTAAGCTTTGCCAAAACATATGGTACTTAAAGACAATGTGAATTGAGCATGAAGAACAGAACTAGCTAAGTACATAAAAGAGTATCCTTATATTCTATCCTTCATATACCATTTCGTATACTATTTAGGGTAGATCAAGGGTTGATCTAATCATGTTCCTGGATCCCGTATACTATATCGTATACCCTCGATGGTAGATCTGATGATAGATGGTCACGTGACACAGCGCTGCCTCAGACATTACTCTGACCGGGATTCTACTCAATAAGAGTTGCTGGTTGCCCGAGTCCTGCCTTGTCATCGTTTTCTGCCTGACGAGTCCGCTCCGCTAGTAACCTGGCTAGCAGGGGTCTGTAACAGTGGTGTTACAGACCCCTGCTAGCTGAATGGACTAGTAAGGCGGACTTATTAGGCAGAAGGCTATGACCGGAAAGCAAGGACTCTTATCAAGTAGAATCCTGATCTAAGCAACCTATAACCGGAATGGTTACATAACATGTGACCATGACAGACATGTTACTGACATATTATAACATGGCAGCACTATAACAGGATATGGCAGTACTATAATATAATATATCAGTGACATAACATATCATGGCAATGCCATGATGAAGGATAGGATATAAGGACACTCTTTCATGTACTTAGCTAGTTCTGTTCTTCGTGCTTAATAATACTGTCTTTAAGTAATCATATGTTTTGGTAAAGCTTAATGACAACACTTATCTGTACTTACTTACGGATAGCTACGCGGCACTATCTGGCCTTACTTCTCTTCTCTTGTTCAAGACCAGTCACCTTAGATAGTCACCGACCTGACTCACCTTGATTCAGTTCAAAGATACGTATTGGAAGCTAAGCTAACAGGAACAGGGAGAAGCGATCCTAGGGTTTGACAAGTTGCTGGTTGTCCGAGACCTGCCTTGCCGACACTTTCTGCCTGACGAGTCCGCTTCGCTAGTAACCTGACTAGCAGGGGACTGTAACACTGACTAGTTATCTGCCTAAATATAAGTTGCTTTAATTGAACCTGCCTGCCTGAGTCTTCTATCTTACCATCCTACCAGCCCGCACCTTGACATAGTCTAGACTATGATATAACTATAATTAAGAATAAGATATTTGATTATCTTATAAGTATTATTAGTATAGTTCTTTAAGTTACTTAATTTTATAAATTACTTTAATATATCTTTATTTAATTAAATAATTAATTATAATTATAGATTAATTAATACTGTATATTAGATATTATAATTTATATATATGGTAAGAGGTCTATCTAACTTTTTATTTATTAAGTTTTGAAGTCTAACATTCTGTCAAACCCTAGGATCGCTTCTCCCTGTTCCTGTTAGCTTAGCTCCCGTTCCAATACGTACCTTCGAACTAAATCGAGGTAAGTCAGACTGATGACTATCTAAGAGATGACTGGTCCTGAATAAGAGAAGAGAAGTAAGGCCAGATAGTGCCGCGCAGCTATCTGTAAGTGAGTATGGATGAGTATTGTTACTAAGCTTCTAAACATATGGTCACTTAAAGATGATTGTATTGAGCACAAAGAACAGAACTAACTAAGTATATGAAAGAGTGTCCTTATATCCTATCTTTTATATACCATTCTGTATACTATTCAGGATAGATTAAGAGTCAATCTAATCATGTTTCTAGATCCTGTATATTATATTGTATACCCTCGATGGTAGATCTGATGGTAGATAGTCATGTAACATAGTGCTGCCTCGGATGTTACTCTGACTAGGATCTTACTCAATAAGAGTTGCTGGTTGCCCGAGTCCTGCCTGGTCATTACTTTCTGCCTGATAAGTCCGCTCTGCTAGTAATCTGGCTAGCAGGGGTCTGTAACATCACTCTTCTTTTTTCAAGGTTTCTTATCCTCAAGAAACATAAAGATGCATGTTCCTCCTGTGTCAGTTGAGTTTTCTTCAATTTCTCTTTTTTTTATGATGGGTTATCATGTCTTGTTATTGTATTAATTATAATCAGGTAAAGAAATATATCTGTTAGTCTAATAAGATTTATAATAACAGCTTTATTACTGAGAGTTTCTGTAAATATTGTTTTCTGAGAGGTATTTTTTATATTATAGATTTAAAGAACTGAAATTGTGCTGCCTGTACTCATTATGATTGAAAATATGAAAAATAATTTTACAGTGATAAGGAGTGGAATAAGTTAAAATATAATTAATTAAATATATAAAATAAACTTACTGAGGCCCTTGCTGAACAGGCCTGTATTACTGTTAAGATAGCTTGTTTGTTTAAGTAACAGCAGTTCTTAAAAGATTGTGGCAAGCGGATGTTGGATCACGACTTGACTATGTTAGAGTAGTTGGATAAGGAGGATTCTCCAAGTGCTGAGGATCTCCGGGAGCTGGAACATCTAGCTGATGAACACAATGCTGTTTAACTTGCCACTGTATTAGATAATCCTAGTCTGACTTAGTTAATTAGTTCCCCTTCCTTCTGGGCGAACTTTGACTTGTCTGTTGATAGTATTACTTT